ACGATAATACGGAAATATTTACGCGACAAACAAAAAAAAAAAAACTCGAAAAAAAAATCTTTAAACAACAAAAAAAAATCGACTCCCGATTTCCGTCCGATCGATCGACTCCCGATCCTCGAAAATCGATCCTCGATTTTTTTTTTACCCGAAACAACGCGTGAATCTAAGTTATTTAACCGGCCTCTAAACGCCCCTCCCTCGCGGTACGTTACTGAAAATTATTTTTTTTTATTTGGTTTTTATACGCGATACACAAACTCAAGGCAGGTGCACTCAAGCTTTCCCACCCATTTTACATAATACTCGATAAGTCCCCATTTTTTTTTTAATTTAACCAATGTCGATTGTTAATTTCATACCCCGTATATTTCTTGCAGTTTTAATTTCAGAGGTTCGGGGAATTGCGCGTAGAACTGCCGCCAATGGTCGTCGCCGCATTGCTGCTTGAAACCGGCCAAAACGTTCCGGATCATCTGCTTCAGATCGACGCGGATGTTGATCCACGAGGCGGCGGCGTCGCAAAAGAATATGAAATAGTTCTTGTTGAACTCCGGATGTCTGACGATGACCTCGCACAGGCCGCGAAACGCCAGGTCCTTTTCGTCCGAATCGCGCACGTTCCTCACTAGCATACAGCAATTCTTCACTATCACGTCCATGTCGGGCACCGTCACGTCGGGGTACACGTAGAACACGATACACAACGATATGGCCACGGTTTTGTGCATTGTTCGGGCCACCGCGGGCGTTCGAAGGATGTGCACGAAGGCGTTGAGTATCTCGGGCAGGAACGGTTGTATCGATGTGCCCATTACCGAGCACAATTTCCCGATCACCCACGCGGCGTTGTTGCAAACGCCGTCCGTGTGCTCGTCCAGATTTCTGATTATCAAAGGAATGTATTCTTTCACGCTGGCGTCTAAAAACGGGTAACACAGCCCAATCAGTTCCCCGTACAGGGCTATGGACGTTTGTCGGATCAAATTCGAACTATCCTGCATGGTGGTGTACAACAAATAAATCAAATTGCTGTTGGTAACGTATTTTACGAAGTGCGTTTTCAAACCCAACGCCATGCTGTATAAAACATCGTGGGCTACGTTCATCGGTTCCTTATCGGGCGGATCGTACTCGTTGGGGTTCTGTTGGTAATTCAACGAAGCCACCAGGGTGTCGTTAATCAGCTGCAAGCAATGCCAGTAGACGATCTCCGAGTAAGGCAAAAAAGACACCTCTAGAGCTGGGATGACGTTCGAAAGGCACTCCAACACGGCTATGAAGTGATCGTCGTAGAAATTCTTCAATTCCGAGAATTTCCTCATCAAAGGCGGCAACAACTTCGTCACGTACTCGTCTTTGCTCAGGTGATTACCGACCGATTGGGCCAGCACTCCTATGGCATCGTAGAGCAGGTACAAACTGCGACAATGGAACTGCTCGAAACCGTACTTGAAACCTTCTAAAATAAAATCGATGTACGGTATGAGCTTCAACTGGGCCTCCTCTTGGAATATACAAAACGCCGATATGGCGGCCCGTTGCACCCTCTTGTTCTCGTCGACGAAATGCTTCAATAAAATAGTCATAACCGGCACGAAATACTCCTCGGGATTGTCCACGCGTACGTTCACAATCCACGACACGTACCGGCTCAACGTCCAACAGGTGATCACGCGCACCACGGAATTCTCATCGTTCATGCAATGTATCAGGAATTGAATCAACTCCGGCAATTCGGGCTTCAGGCCGTTGAAGCAACCCTCCGCTATCGCGCCCAACGCTAATATGGCGGATTCTTTCACCAAATGATCGGGATTCTGCAGCATCTCGCTGATGAGCGGTATGAGCAACGGCAGAATTTCGTCGCCGAATTTCACGGCGATCGAGTCCAACGAAGCGGCGCTGCACTTCCTCAACGTCCAGCCCACGTAGAAATCGTCGAAGTCGTCGCTCTGATCCTCCGCGTCCTCGTCGCTGTAATACTCTTCGCCTTCGCCGCTGTTGTTTCTATCTCTGAAATGGAACGGAGAAATGTCCTTCGACAGGTCCTTTTTGTTCGCGTCGGAGCCCAAACTGTCCTTCAGCATGTTGAGCTCGCTGTCCGAGTACCGCATGTTCTTCAACAACGTGGGCAGGAGTTTTTCCACGTACGGGCTGAGCAGGTCCTTGCACGTGTTGATTTTGGTGGAGGCCAGCCAGAATTCGCACGCCTGCAGCGCCACGTCCTGGTCCTCGTGGTGGCACTTCTCCAGCAGGTAGCAGATGATGTCGTGCAGGTGCGGCAACAGCGACTCCTCGTGATTGTCGATGTAGATGACGAACGTGTGGCAGACGCATTTCTGCAGCTCGATGTCGTCCGTATTGGCCAGTTGCATGACGTTACGCAGGTACGTGCCCATGTCGATGCTCTGCTTCATCACGGCGAAGTAGTCTTGGAGGAATTGGTTGGTCAATCGGACGATGTTTTGCTTGACCATGCATTTGTCGACGGCGAGAAATTCGACGAATTTCGGGAACACTTCTTTCGTTATTTTGTAGATTTCTTCTTGCGGTTTTTGGCTGTTTATCAGTTCTTCGCAGACTTTGAATAGGGTGGTGAGGGCTACTTCGCTGTACTCGTCTTGCGTTACGAAATTTTTGGTTAGATACGGTACGAGTTCGGGCCATGATTTCAGATGATCTTTAGCTATGATTACGATAATATTGCTTATGCTAATTCTGACCTCTCTCGAAGGGTCTTTCAACAATCGTAAACATTCGTTTTTGATTTTTAACGTATTCTCTTGGCTCAAATTGTTGTAAGTGGATTGTATGTTGTTTTTTAATAATATACCGCTCAAGGATCGTATGTCTTCAGAGAACGCTGGGCTACCCAATATGAACAGGAGATAATTAGGGAAATCTGTCAAATTTTGCATAAGGATCAATCTATCCTGCACGGTTTTCTGGGCATCGCTGTTCGGCACCAAAGCCAATTGCAACGTATCCTCTATATTCTTTATAATGCTCTCCTGAGGCCTCCATTCGCTCAAATTCATCATGAGGTCATAAGAAATCTAGAAAAATCAAAGGTTATGTTCTGGCGAGCTGTACGCGTACGTTCTGGCACGTTATCGACGTTATTTCGACGGCTAGCCATTACGAAACGCCCCGCGGCCGTTTACTTACTCTTTTCCGTAGGTCGATGAGGCTCCAGATGTTCCAAAATTCACTTTTATTTTGCCACCTAGCGCCGCCAAATTATTGACAAAGATCGAAGGATGGAGGATGGAGGAGACAACCGGCATTCATTTAACAAACAGCGGAATATGCGCCGTTGCCAACTGCACATTTCGACTGCGCAACGACGTGCGCTAGTTAAAAATCCCGGGCCAGGACGATTTTCGGATACGACGTTGCCGGATTCACTATCGATACGGTCAATACAACCAATACTTCGTTCGAAAACAATCAATAAAAGACATATTCTTCGATAGAATCACTAAATAACAATATTAACTATACCAAATAAACTCGTACTGAACGTTTCTTATCAATACTATCGGAATCATCATGTTTTATTAAGAATAAACAGACATGTATTTCTTACACAAACATACAATTTGGCAACGTTGTATTTCAATGCTTCAAAACTCTAGCAATTTTTGCTCCTTCAATCAGTGAAATGATCAAAATTATACATTCTGATCATAAATTATGCAGGTATTCAGCCGTCTCAATGTCTCAATTATTAAATTTTAAAATCCTAATGTCACAAATGTCTAATTACAGATAAGTGTGCGCGACGTTGTCATTTTCACAAAAGTCAATAAACCGAATAACAAACAACACCTATTTGCACCTATTAACACCTACAATACAATTAATATGATCGAAATGGATGCAATTCGTTTAAATCTGTAGAATTGTAATACTACAATATAAGAATCTAATAAACTTCAACTGAAAACACCGAAAACATAAATATAGTAGGCTGTGATTAGTGGAAGAATAAAATAACAAAATAAAACAACTAAAGGCTTTTAATTTATTCACATAATTACGCAATATCTAAAGCAATTAATTTACATAATTGTTCGGTAAAACAGTTTTCTCATAATTACCGCATGAATTGGAAATGTTTCGATTAGAACTAAATTCCTATTGGATGATTGTTTTGTTTTTATTTGAAAACTGTCAAAGTGAAATCACAACGCAAAATCGCGTATGCCGTGCCGTGACATGACATCCTGCTTCTTTTATTTTATGCAAATGTAAACTTCGACCGGAAGGAAGTAGAAAATAAGGAGAAGTTATTAATTTAAATGTCCCACTTACTTCTGAGATAAATACTGTGTGGTCCAGTCGATTATTCCTCCCACGATTTCGGTGTTGACCAATTTGTAACTGGCCAATTTAACAGGTAGCTGATCATTGGGGTTAAGAGTCTTGGCGAAGTTCTCGAAGAACTGTCGATAGTAAGTAAGATGATCATCTTTATCGGCCATTGCTATGTTGATTTAATATTGTCGCAAATTCCTATACTACCATACTATACGGATGTGGAAATAAACAAAACTTAACACTTTAAAACACATTCACAGAAATCGATGTTTACAAATGTTGATATGTGTATTTGTACTCTGATAACGGGCTTTTCTCGTCGACTTGAATCAATACCGCCTGGCAATTTAATTATATTGTGATATTTTATTTGTTCTTTATTAGGCGTCAACTTTATAAAAGTTTTATACAATTATAATTAGCCTTTAAAAATGAGCAAATCTGACACACGCACACACACACACAACGCAGCAAGAAGAATTTTACTAAATGTCAACATTTATCTGTCAACATCAATGTACGTACACAAGTGACGTTGCCACGTTTCCTATTATTACTCACAACCTAAGGATTTTTATGAGTAATTTAAAAAAATTCACGATTATATAAGAGATAATCGCCGATAATCGATAAATTGTTAGTCACGTCCGAATATTTGCCATAGGAAATTCATGAAATCATCAAACTCCAGTAAAAATACCAAATATTTATACCTCTACAATAACAAATCTACTTAATAGTTTCAATGCTCTTAAAATCGGATATCTCGCAACCTATTCTATAAACCACTTCTTTAGCGCTCCCGTTCTCTTCTAGGTCTATATTCAAAATCTTCGCGCAATCCAATATGTACGACTCCAAGTCCTCCCCCTTCTCGCCTTCGTTCATCGCGAAATTATTCGTAAAATGCGCCAAATTGGTGAACACCGAGCTGAAGGCGTCGTCCAAATCGAACAGCTCCAGCGGGGGCGGCGGCAGGTCCCTGAACGACGGCGGAAACACCGCCGGCTGCAGCGGCGGATAGGGCGCCTCGAACTTCGGCGTGATGATCCTCAAAGGCTCGTGCTTCACCCCCAATTGCTCATACACCTTAATGGCGTGCGTCACCAGCGCGGTGTTCATCGAATACATCTTGTGCTCGAAGAGCTTAGTGTAATCCACCGATGTAGCCCTACCGGCGGCGTCGCTCAGGCATATTTTGGGCTTCTCCGCCAGCGTGGCGGTTTCAGGTACTATATGATGATCCATTAAATCTATATCATCGTGATCCGTTGGCGGGAAGTACACCTTCTCTCTGCTCAGCAGGAACTCCAAGCACAGCTCCCTTAATTTATCGTTGTTGTCCCTGTCGATGTACTTATCGGAGAACAAGTGGCCCGAGCCTATAGCAATCAGTTTTCCTCCGGTGTTCTCGTTGTAGTATACGGCCCCGATGGGTCTGTCTACGGGGAAGGAAGCGAGGCCGCTGGTGAAGGCGGCCACGCTGGGTTTGTTCACGCTTAAGGTGCACCCGAAGGGGTACACGAACTTGATATCGAGCTTGTCTTTGTTCAGAACGGGGTGCACCTGGCCGTCGCTGATGTAGCACTCTTTCGGATGGAAATACTTGTAGTAGTGCGTCCTGATGAGGCAATCGATGTTGGGCGTGATGCCGAAATGTTCCAATAGAATGTTCACATTCGAATTGTCTTCGGTGGCCCCTTCGGATAGTAAAACCAGCATCCGTCCTCCGGTTTCGATATAATCTTTCATGGCGTTGATTTCGTTTTCTTCAAAGTCCGATTGCGCCCCGGGTAGGATGAACAGGGCGCAATTTTGCAGCACTTTCGCCGTTATTTCTTCTTTGTTGGTGAGCAGTTTCGATTGGAGTTTGAGTTTACGTTGGAATATTTTGAAGTTTTCGTTCGTTCGGAATAGTTCGCGCTTGGACGCGTTGAATATTATTGTATTTTTGGCCTCCGCTGACAATACGTCGTCTGTGGGTGCCATTTTGCTTCGTTCTAATGCGCTACAAACAGAAAAACTGTCGCTTAGCAACCGCTAGATCACAACAAAAATTGTTACAAAATTTACTAAATCGCTTCGAGTATCTACAATATGTTACATCTGTAATTTATATCGAAACTAGCCGGTAATTCCCCTTTCATTTCTTTCGATTTCACACTGAGGTAGCTGTTTTCATAATCTTTCGAAATGTAGTCTGGTAACGGTTCGTTCCAATTTTCGGGGGGCGATTTTCTCTTTTTCCACACGTCATTTGAATAATGGGACATTAATCTTTCCCTCCGTCGATTTTTTTCGCTTTGTACTAATTCGTTCTGAAACATATCAATATTAGTTTAGATAGATTAATTCTCTGTGTACATACAGCAGCGCTTTCATCTTGGGATTCCATGTATTTGTAACAGTTTATCGAATCTCTCTTCCATTGGGAACAGTCTACAGTTTTACCGTGTATGAAATATTGGTGAAATCTTGCTCTAAATGAGGTGCAATCTTTATACTCCTCGTCGTAAATAAAACACCGCCGTATCTAACAAAAAACTCAAGGTATTTTACAAATTAATGGGAGTGATTATGGACGTACCAACCACTCGTCTTGAATTTTAGTCTTATTTTCGGTTTCATTCGAATCGTTATTCGAATCTTTATTTGCTTCTGCTTCCATTTCAAATATAAATTTTAAAAATGTGTGGTTATGTAACTTTTAGATGACATATGACATTTATAAGACGTTCACGTGAACGAAAGTGGTCTTTTCTTTAATAGGTATTAAGATATCAGTACAACTTTGATGAATAACCAATCTAACTTATAAATAATACAGCGTAATTAAATTATTTATTACGTTTCTTTCGTAAGTTAATAAAAATCTTCCATTGATAAGAAAAGTACAAAAAAACTGTAACTGTTTGCATAACACATTTTATTTTTCTACTAGCTTTCGTGACATTTGCACTTGTCAATGTCAATTTTTAGAGATGTCAAAATAAATAACAGGAACTAGGAATAAGTGACGTTATTCAATTCGCACAATACTTTTTACTCGTTTTGGTCGGCAAACGGGAGTTATTTTAGTTAAGATTCCAAAAAACTACCCTAGTAAAATGAATCATAGGCTAATAAATATATGGGATTTTAAAATAACCTTTTTTCTACTAGTTACTGTAAGTATTATGCACAGCAAATCTTAAAGTTACATGTATACCTAATCTGAACTTTTAATACCTAATTAACGTTTCTCAGATAATAAAGATTATTAATTAGGTGATAAAAACATAGTAACTTAGTAATTGTTAATTTATGTATTAGTAAATACGTTTAAAGTTGTACGTAACCTTAAAATATGTATTTTAAATCGCTGTTATATTTCCAGATTATTTACCTATGCGATCCTACGAATAGCGGAGCTGTGCAACTTACGCAGCAAAATATAGACATGACTCTAGGTAAACGAAATGCACCCACTTAAACCCAACAGATAATTTAAACGAACCCATTTTCAGCTTCCAATGAATTAGTGTTTATAAATTTCTACGCCGATTGGTGTAGATTCAGCAGCCTACTCATGCCGATTTTCGACGAGGCCGCCGAAGCAGTAGCCAAAGAATTCCCCGAAGCCGGCAAAGTCGTTATGGGAAAGGTGGATTGCGACAAAGAAAACACCGTTTCATCGAGATTCCACATCACCAAGTACCCCACTTTGAAGCTCATACGTAACGGCCAGCCGGCCAAACGGGAGTACAGAGGCCAGCGATCCGTCGAAGCCTTCACCTCCTTCATCAAGAAACAACTCGAGGATCCCGTCAAAGAGTTCGCCCAGTTGAAGGAATTGGGCAATTTGGAGTCGAATAAACGAATCATAATCGGTGCGTGTTAATCGATTTAAAAAAATCCATTGTTCTGTTATACGAACGGTAGTCTAAATGCATTATTTATGATCCGTTTATCTTATCAGCGAGTCGTTTAAATATGCTAATGCATCGAACGTGTACGTTGCAGGTTACTTCGATCGCAGGGACCAGCCCGAGTACAGCATATTCAGGCGCGTCGCGACGAACCTGAAGGACGATTGCCAGTTCCACGTGGGCTTCGGCGAGGCGTCGGAGAAGATGCACCCGCCCGGCCAGCCGATCGTCGCCTTCCGCCCCGACAAGGACCGCTCGAACGATTTGGACGAAACCTACCCGGGCAGTTTGACCAACTTCGACGAGCTGCACATTTGGGCGTCCGAGAAGTGCGTGCCCTTGGTGAGGGAGATCACCTTCGAGAACGCCGAGGAGCTGACCGAAGAGGGCCTGCCCTTTCTCATACTGTTCCACGCGCCCGACGATAAAGAGAGCATCAAAAAGTACACCGATATCGTGCAGAAGCAACTCATAGTGGAGAAACGTAAGCGTATATTTATTAATACGCTTTTGGTTTTGTACTAATTAATTTTTGTTGTATGTGTTATGAAGAGACTATCAATTTCCTGACGGCCGATGGTAAGAAGTTCGCCCATCCGTTGCACCATTTGGGGAAAAGCGAGAAAGACCTGCCGTTGATAGCGATCGATAGTTTCCGGCACATGTACCTGTTTCCGAATTACAGCGACATCGACCGGCCGGGTAAATTGAGGGCGTTTATTCAGGATTTGCATTCGGGGAAGTTGCACAGGGAGTTCCATTACGGGCCCGACGCCGCGGCGGAGACGGAGAAGACGCAACAGACCACCCCTCCGGATAGTACGTTTAAAAAACTGGCGCCGTCCAAGAACAGATACACGTTGCTGGATAAAGATGAATTGTAGATACTCGTTTTTTTTTTAATGAATTTTTTGTTTGCAAGTTTACGTATTTTTTGGTCGTTTGGCTGATCCGAAAAGTTTATTGCGTAGGTAATTTAATTGTTGGAGAAATTGTAGTTATTTTTTTGTTTGTTGGAAAATTCGCTCGTACTTTTGTAAGATACATTTTTCTTGTACTCTCTACATACCGGTGTCATTTACTTGTTAATTTTATGAAATCAAATTCGGCTATTCTATACAAGTTTGTGTTAAGGAATGTTCTGCGTTCCCTTTAAATATTTTTTTTTAATAAAAAATTGAATTTTCTCTAAGTTATCTAACATTTTAATTGTGCAAAAATATTCCTCATATTTTGCTCGAAATTCCTCCTCATTCACCTCGATTCGTTCCTTTATCCTCATTTTTGTGTACATAAAATGTTTCTAAAGCGATCAATTTATTATCTTTCGCTTTGTGTTCAATTGAATGATTAGAAACAAAGAGAAAACGAAATTTTGTAGTAATTTCTGCATTTAATCTACATAATTCCGGCAACATTGCCGGCGTAATTTCCTCGAGCTCTTGACTCTTGAGCACAGCATAACACTGCATCAGTAGTTATTCTTGTTCTACAATGTTAGCTATATGAAGCTTAAACATTTACCCACCCTATTCGCAACGATTTGTAAGCATTCGGATCAGTTTATCGGTCGTACTCGAATAGATTGCCGCGTTTCGATCCGGGCTCGCCGAAAACTATGAGAATTTTCCTGTACTAACGCAAAACAGGGTGAGTAAAATTGAACATTATATTGTAAATGTAAATAATTAACATTAACAGCGTAATGTTTAAATAGTAATTTTTTGGGGTATGTGCGCTTTGCCCTATAGTCCTCGAACATAATCTAAATTGTACATAAACTTAGTGGTTGTAACATTAAACTCGTCTTTCTTAGAAATAGATGTTTAGATGTACATTATATTTTCATTGTGTACCCGAAAGCAAAAGGTCATCAGCTAAGATAAGACCGTTTTTATCGATACTCTCTGGATTTTTTTATTTGTTCGAATTGTTGACACCGCTAGCGAAAATATCCGATGCTCATTTCACGTTCTAATTATGTATATGTAGAACGTTATTCTATTTCCTACAAATTACCGTCCGGTTCAATATTCTTATAAGCGTTTGCGTTATCTCTTACGATTCGTACTTTTAGAAAATCGTTGAAGATGAATTCGAGCACGGCTTTGTGGATGGTATTTTTGACCGTGTTATCGACTGCAGAAGCCCTAGTCACGTAAGTAACGTTTTTTTTATTAGATATTTTGCCTCGGTGATATACCGGGTGGCTACAAACGCTTGGGACTTTTTTTTCAAAAGTTGGCAATGCTTACTTTTTGACAGCTGTTTGACATGATTATGGAATATGTTTATTTGAATGTAAAAATGTAATATTTATCAAGTTCCACATATTTCTAGCTACATTAATTAACTTTTATCTACTTTCAATACAACTAAGGCAATTTATACTGCTAAATTCTAATTTTCTAGCGAAAAAGTAAATTTTTTGACATTTCATTCATTGCCAACTTTTCAAAAAAACTACAATAATATCGCTTCATATTGCGATAATACAATCTGAATTTTCAACGTCTCCCGTATGCATCGATCCTAAAATAACAATACAAGGGGCTCATCAATCAGAGCCGTCCTGAACCTACCAGCATCCATAACAATTTTAATTACTCACTAAGTAGCCGAACGAAATCCGTCGAAAACGCAGATGCGTCCATTAAAACTTATAAATAAACCGCCGAAGAGGTTCAAGAACTTTTCAACGCGTACTTACCAGTCGAAATAAGCGAACAGTATATAAGTTTATTATTATTTCGCGAGCGCTCTCTGTTTTATTGGAACCCGTAATGGCTCCTTCGTAAATCGTATCAGAGCGCTTCATTCATTTCTAATTATAGCCGGAATGAACGGACACTTGTGTCTGGTTCAAATCGAGGGATTTATGGTGAAATTAACGACATTGTTGCGCCCTTTTTTATTCCCTTCAAGCGCTTCCTACTAGTATAGGCAACACATGGTACATGTACCAGCTAACCGAAAGTGACAAGCCATTTCAGTTGACATTGACAGCCAAAAAATGTTTTATCGTAATGTTGGTTGCATACGTTCAAGTAGATACATTTAATCTACAATTATTTACGAAAATTCAATACAATAAAGATTTACATCGTAAATATTCCTCTCCTTTACCTACTGTTAATCTTCCACTTTCAGTGAATTAGAGTATAATACACATATTCTTTAGAAATGAAGACATACGAACAGCAATCTTGCAAATGGTGAACGTAGTAAGATCGACTGATGATAAGCTAGAAAGGCACGAATACCGCGACAGAATTGTAGGCGAGCAGCTGAAGAAAGGCATGATAAACATAGACAAGAGAATAAAGATGCTGGATCCATTGAAGGGCACCGTAGGCAGGTTGGACGAGAGGCTGGCAGCGGTGGAGACCATCCTCATGCAGAAAAACGAAAGGGAGAAAATGCAATTGCAACGCACCTACGAAGCCGTTATCGATATACAGAAGAACCTGCCAGTTATTATGGAGGAGCTCAAAAATGATATCATAGCTAAAGTAGACACCTCCAACACTCTATAATACTCTAGTAATGTAATGATTCTATTTCAGGTAAGTACCCACGAACCTCCAGCGCAAATAATCGAGCCCGTCATATCCAAAAAGGACTTCGAGAAATTAGAAAAGGAAGTAGTTTCGAAAATCGACCGAGTCTCCAACACCATCAGCAAGCTGGAAAGCGAGTTGTCCAAAATGAAAAACGACAGCAAGCAGATGAAAGATTTGCACAACAAATCCTCGGATAATCTCGAGAAGCTCAAGAGGCACATAAGCGACAATCAACAGTTGCTCAGTAAATACGACAAAAAACTGTCCGAGTACAACAACAAAATCCCGGAAATCGCCAAAATCCAATCCAAGGACGCGGATGAGTGGAAGCGCGACATGCTGGAGTCCTTGGCAGGGCAAAAAACTGGCGTTAAGGAAGTTCTAACGCACCTGAACGAGCTGAGCAGTAAAGTCGATAGATTACCGCAGAAAGTGGACTCTTCCTTAGGGGTAATCAGGAACATCGTTAGCGATAATTTGAATGCCACTTACGATAATCTCACGAACGAATTGAACGGTATACTCAACGCTGTAACAAACACTCGGTTCGGTAAATATTTCGAAGTTTTGATAAATTTTTAGTAATTTTTTGTCGATTTTAGCTATCGATGGACAGAACACGAACGTAATGGAAGTGTTACAGAACGTGCGAAACATAAGAATCGATAAGCTACCAAGTAAAGAGGACCTCTCTATTGCCCAACGGGACATTCTAAGAAAACTGGATGAAGCGAGAATAAGCCCCGCCATAGACGAGATTCGTCGACTTTTATACAACATCGACAACAAAACTAGCCATTCAGGCGACTATTCCGGTAATATAGTAATATATCAATACCATTTCTACCTAGTACTTGTAAATTACTCTTCATTAGGTACAGTACTATCGAACATTCAAGCCCAAATCAGCAGCCTGCCGCAGAAACACGACCTCGCCTCCGTGGAGAATTCCACGCTGGCCAAGCTGGAGCCGCTGGCGAGGGAAATTCGCTTGGCCGGCGAAACCTCCAAGAAAAACCACGAGGACACGTCGAGGAACCTCAACGATTTGTCCGAAATCATCCGATCCATAGCCGACAGCTTCGCCACGAACATCAAGAAAATGCGAACGGACGTCCAGGCGCTCACCAAAGTCGACCAAGTGATGATCAAAACCGCCGACGACGTCCTCGACACGAAGAGGCGCCTCGAGTACGGCGTGCACCAGATCCTCGACGAACTGGCCAAGCAAATCAAGAAGAGCGCCGAGCACATCAACCAAGGGCTCAGCGACAGGTGACCGCCAAACCGCCGCCGTTTCTCCTTTTAATCGACTGCTTGCAGGTTCGATTTGTTCGAGGCGAGCATCCTCGACGAAGACACCGGCGCGCTGGCGAATCTAACGTCGAAGATCGGCGAGGACATCCACCAGGTGTGGAGGCAGATCGGCATAATGTACCAGCAGATCAGCAGCAGCTCGGACACGTTGAACCACCTGCAGAACATCACGGACAGCTACGTCAACGGGTCGCTGGGCGCCATGGACAGCATGAAGGGCAAGGTGGGCCAGATCAACGGCCGGATGACCGAGGTGGACGAGAATCTGAACTACTTGTTGGGCCGGTTGTCGCTGGTCACGCAGGAGTTCAATCGGATCAAGACCGGATTGGGGACCGCCTTGGATCAAATCAGGGATAGTTTTCACACTGTGCAGAGTAAGATCGAAAATACGGGACCGGGGCCGCACAAAATATCGAGCATCGAAGCGGCAACGTACAAGTAGCGATAGAGAGGCAAACATCCGTTTTAAGTATAAAATTTATTTGAAAAAAAAAATTATGAAAAATCGTAGAGGAGAATCTATTAAATAATTTGACATAATTTTTATTAATTCGTTTTAAGTTTTAATGTATTTTTATTAAAAATGTTTACACCATTTAAAACTAATTACGATTGAATTTTTATTTCGTAAATTATAAAACATTGCAGTGACATTAATTAAATGTTGCCTTTTCCCTGGTTTTTTTATACTGTCGAACTAATCAAATCTTTCAGAAATAAGCTACGTTAACTAAAAATTTATTTAGAAATTATGTATCTTAATTTGATAAATACATTTATGTACATTGAGATTAAATATAATACATTTTTTTACAGTATCCTCCTATAACAAATTCAAACGAACCAATTAAGACGAATAAATTCGAATCTCTACAAAAACAAGAGATCGAATTTCATACAAAAAAAAAATGAAAATTACTTTAAATCTGCAACATCTAAAAATACGTTCCTTACAAACTAACTTGTAAATTGAAATGTGAATAATCACCAATTTTTCTACTCTAGTTCCAAACTCGCGTACTCCTCAGGCGACACCTGAGTTACCATTAGGTTGCCATCGGGAAGCATCACGACGACTTTATGTGTGCCACCTATAACACACACAAACGGAAATATTAGATAAAATATTATTAATAATTTAATAAAACGCTTACCGGGACTCGGTGGTTCTGCTCTTACAACTTGCGCTACGACCTGATCGGCACTCTCCATCGAATCGGTTTTCACCGAAAGCGGCTCGTTCACGTCAGCGCTAATCTCCGGCATGGAAATCTCCTGCGGCTGTTGTTGCTGTTGTTGCGTTTCATCCGCAACCGGCGTTTCCATCGCCTCTGCAACTTCGTTAGTCACCAAAAGGCATTGCTGTTGCCCGTCGCTGCCTTGCGTCAACAAAATCGTCTGACCCTAAAGGAACATAAATATGCAACAATTAACGCATTATTCGCGATTCGTTAAACGCGACGTACCTGTTCGTTTTGTCCGGCCACTTGGTACACGGTGCCGTCGTCTCCCGTTATAAATATGGGATTGTCGTTGTCGGTCAATGTAAACGAGGACATATCGGGCGCCAAGGCGGCGGCCACCGTCTGATCGGGATTCACGTTAGCGGCCAATACTTGCGTTTCTTGCGCGTTCGACGCCACCGACGTCATGGGCTCCTCGTGCGCCAAATTCGCCGATTCATCCACGTGGTACATTTGCGGCTCCTCCACCATCGGAACGGACTTCATTTTCGGCTGAGGCGTCGCTTTAGCCGTCAACAGAAGCTCGTCGTCGCCTAAATTACAACACGTTAATTACAGGATTTTAAGCGACGGAATTATAATAATTACTCATTAACGAAGGCATGCTGATGACCGTCTTTGGTTTCGCCTGAACGATTTTTCTTTCCACCTTTTCCGGTTGTCCTCGTACAATCAACGGTTGCTCCTTTCTCATAGGAGACGACACTATCCTTTGCACTAATCCTGTACTGGTTCTCACCAATTTAGTCGTCGTTTTCTGTTGTTGTTGCGGGCTGTTCACCACCGGCATACTCGAGCTTCTAAAATTCAACTTTATTTAGCACAAAATAATCGTATATGAGTATCAATCGTACCTAATTGTGGTACTTCCGATTTTCTTCGTCGTAGGCGAATTCTGAACGATCGGTCTGGAATAAGTGTAAACGTTCTTCGGCGACACCTCGTGCACGGTCCTCACGAATTTCGATTCGCTCGAGATGTTGAATCTCGGCTTCGGCGCCACCGGTTTCGTTCTTACGTAAGTATTCACCTGCCTCGTGACCGAATTGACGCTCTGTGGATTCCTCGCGACAGATTGATTCAGGATTCTTTGCTGAAATAATTTAAAACAACGGTTTAGAAAATGGTAAAATTGTTGGAATAATTCCTGTGCTCACTTGAACTCTAGGCGTTCCCGCACCGACCGCTCTCCTGATAACTTGCGGACCGGTCAGGGCCTTGTTGAGGATAGATGTCGGATTGGCGGCGACTTTTCTCGGGGTAACAGTCAATTTTACTACTTGCTTCGATGGCGAAGCGGTCACGAATCTCTTGTGTGCCTCCTGCGATTGTTCAGTCTTTTGTATAGCCTTCATCTTCTGTTCAAACTAAAATATATACAAACAAATTATTCACCTCTATATAAAATTACAACTAACACGTACTTCTTGTTCCATAGCCTGCGGCTCGACGTCCATAGTATCGTTTTTCAAATCCTCCTCGGTGATATCGGCCGCGGCCAATTTAACGATATTATCCAAAGTCATGTCCGATTTGTTCTCGTCGACCGGATCCGGAGCGGGTATATCGGGATACTCCACGCCGGCAATCTTGCCGGTGGTCGGGTCTAAAATGAACTCGGACGGCTCCTCGCCCTCTTCGGTCTCCGGCACTTTGATTTCCTCGGGGAACGGCAACTCCTCCAAACCGTCGTCGGATTCGTCCTCCTTCGACGTCTCGCCCGACGATTTCGAAGCGGTCTTCTTGGCGAAGTCCGGCAGCCTTTTCAGGCCCACCTTGCGCTCGATCTCCTTGTTCAAGATGACCGGTTGCTTTTTCACGATGTCCGTCGATTTTTTGACGATCGGCGACGGTTTGAGATCGGTCACGATCTTCTTGGCCTTGGCGAATTGTTTTTGGACGATCTTGGGCGTGCCGGCGGCGCCCTTGGGGCTCATCTGGACGATTTGCTGCGTCGACGTGCCGTCCTTCTTCATGATCTTGATGTGAGTTTGGCCGATTTTCGGCGCCACTTTGACGATCGTCTGTCCGCCGCTGGTGGCCACTTTCGAAGTGTTCGAATCCAATTTGATGATACCAGCGGTTTTCGACATGATGTAGACACCGGTGCTCAACGACGGCAATTGCTTTTGATTGATTCGCACCACACCGTTGGCGTCCGGTATCAGAATGTTCTGCGGCAGCGGCGAGTTCTTGCCGAGGCCGTTTTTGAGCACTTGAATCGAAGGGCTCTGCGCCGTCGGTTTGGGCGCGATCTTCCTGTAATGCACTCGAGCCTTGCCTTCGTTCTCCGAATCGTCGGAGTTCTCTTCGAACTTCAAGCGTTTCTCGAACGAATCGTCGCTGTCCGGCGATCTGGACCGCTTCAAGCCCTGGACGCCGTCTTCGTCGGATATGTTGCCGCACCAGGCCTTCACTTGATCCAGAGCTTTCTGCTTACTGGTGCGTTGAGGACGACTGCAAAATGTATAATCAATGAAATGAATACGTACAGAGTGTGGTGGATTTAATTGTGTGTGATAATTACTTTGCTGTTAGACCCTTCGATTCCAAATTGGAAGAGGAACCGGGGGACGTTAAAACGGTCCGTATTTTCGGCGAATTTTTCGCCATGTTGGCGGCCTGTTTGTTTTTTTCCGCTTTCAATTTCTTCAATTGCTCCTCAAAGTCGTCGACCATTTGTTTGCAATGGCTTAAATTAGCGACTGGCTCCCAAGTGTTCTCTTCGCTAAAACAAACCAATTTAATAACGAATCGTGCACGCTTTAGGCAAACGCTGTATAATATAATACCTTGTGAAATGTTCCCATTTTATTTGATACTCCCAAGTTCTCTTCTTGGGATTGAAACGTTTCGCGACGATTCTTTCCACTGCGAATTCGCTCTTCGTGGTCTGCATGGTCCTCATGGCTCTGTTGGAATTGGGATCGTTCAGCTGAAACATTTTTAAACGTTATTAGTAATGAATCTACATAAAAACATCAGCAAATTCTACCATACAACTCGATAAAAAAATAGCTACTTATTTACTCATCATATTTTGTAAAACTTACTGACTTATATAGAGTAAGCAAGCACTACGATTATAACTGTCTAATAAATAATCAATGTGAGCATGCTAAGATTACCAAATTAAAATTGTACAGCAAAAAAATAATAATTTGGATAATACATGCGTAGTACGGTCACTGTATGAAATACCTTTTGAATTGTAGTGACAGCTTTAGGTTTATTAATAACTGTTCTTTTTACCTCAATCAACGGAGATTTTGATGTATCGAATGTCGAATTTTCCTTATTACTGTCTGCTGAAAATAAATAATTACAATATAACAAAAATCACTGTAAAATATTCCTCAATAATTCCTTACCTATATTCTCCGAATCCTTATCATCGTCTTTGATCACCTTGTGTACCTTGATTTCAGTCAATTTAGCACTACCAATCTTATTGTAATATTGTAGGGCCTGTCCCGCCGATACCCAAGCGTCTCTATCGACCTTCCCCAGCAGGCACCACCTTTTGTACATGTCCCAATCGCCCGTCGCCTCTTCGGCCTTCCCTTTCATCGCCTTCTTCTGCTTGTTCTTCCACAACACGAATCCCCAAATCTGCGGTTTGCTTTCGAACTCGCACGAACCGATCACCTGCGACTTGTCGCACGCCTCCTGCGACTTGTGCTTCTGGAATTCTTCGACGAAAGCGAACACTTCGTGGCATTTGCCGCACACCAGCACGTCCAGGTTCTTTATCTCGTTCTGCGAAGCTAGAGAAAATTAACGTTATAACGGTTCGTACAAAAGTACTCGAGTGGTTAAGGTACCTTTAATGGAGCCGGGGTCTTGTAGAACCTCGTCCGCAGACAACATTTCCTCCAAATCGGAGTCTTTCATAACGCCGGCACTTTTGCCCTCTTCGGTACTACACTCTTGTTTCACTTCGTTTTTGACCGGCTTGGCCTCGTCCGGTTTGCCGGCCACCATTTCGCCGCCTTCGTGCATCCTCTTCAGCTCCTCTTCGAGCGAGTACACGGCGTCCTCGTCGGGCTTCGCCTTGCCGTCGAGGTTGTCGTCCATGGAGAGCGCCAGGGCGGCCATGTCGTCGGCGCGGGGCGCTTCGGCGGCGGCCCCCTCGGGCGCCCCCGACGCCAGGGCGTCGAGGAACGTGTCGGCGGCGTCGGCGGCCGGCGGGGCGTTCAGGGCCTCGTTCAGCTCGGAGATGAGCGCGCTGGCGTCGGCGTCGGTCGGGGTTTCGCCGGCGGCGTCGTTGTCGGCGGTTGGCGCGCCTGTGCCCGTCGCGACGTCAGCGCTTCGATTGGCGCTGTCAATGCCGCCGCCGGCGTCGTCTTCGTCGAAATTGTCGAGCATTTCCGCGGCGGGATCGGAAGGCGAGTCCGTTTTGTTGTCCATCGTTCCGCTTTATTTACCAAAACTACTTTCCACGGTCGAGTTTGACGGCTGAAAAATGCCCCCCGTTAAAATATGATAACCGAAAAAACCGGGTATATCGACTGATTCCCGCTCATTTCGCATATCTCTAATCGATTCTATCTCGAATTCTATTATTTAGAATATTTTAGGTGACCTCGATTTGACTTGACTGCTGACGAGTCTACGCACACAAAATGGCTGTGGTAGCCTTGCGTGCCGAAGCGAACGCATTCCTTGACGTGACCGTAAATTTTCGCCGGGAAAATAACGTATCTGTAGGAAATCGAGGAAAATCGGCGCAAAACGGTGTGCGAAACGTAATTAAAGACATGAAAATTACCTTGTTTGTTCTAATTCGTGCAAAGATCCACCACAAGCGTTACAAACATAGCGAAAGTGCTGCCACTAACTAAAAACTAAATGGCAACCGTGTCGCTTGTCGCTGGCGTTGCTCGGCGGGAAATTCGAATTCGGCGTTCGGAGGACGATTCGGACCAATCGGATCACGGGATACGAGTACAGAATTTTTGATGCGGTTTGATGGATTTTGATTGGTGGCGATCGATTTATGATTATTGCACCCGAGAATTTGCATATGCTGCGATAAAAGATAAAAGCAAACGTTTTTTATTTTTCGCCTTATTTCTATGTAGATAATACCAAAACTGGTGAAATATATTTCTACTTTATCTTCTACTAAAATGTACACAAAATAAACAGCACGTAAATTATCAAAACTGTTTTCTACTCCTTACGATCTTTTCTCTTCTATTTCTCTGACGAGTTGAAATTCATGAGATATCACAATGCGTAATATCACCAAATATACATATTTGAAAATTTGAAAATTATTTATTTTCAATTTCGTTTAAAATGTATCAACTTACATATCATTTAGTGAAAAACGCTTACGTACTAATTACCATAGCTTAATAATAAGCTCATTTAACCATTTAATTATCAACAATCCACAAACCACGCAAAAATAAAAACTAAACTAAACGATAAATACAACGTTTAACCTTGAATACGAAAAAAACAAAATGACAAATGACACTAATCACTAATGACAGTAGTGACGTTTTTTAATATTTTTAAATACCTAACCTAATAATAATTAATGTTTACTATAACCATCAATTTTATTATATTATTCCTAAAAAATCAATTAAAGATCTTAAATTACTATTAAAACTGATACGATTTTGCACTGAATTGAGAATCCCCTAGCGTTTGAGATGGCAGATGAAGATAATCCCAAAGAATACCGATGGGAAACCGGCTATGAAAAAACATGGTAATTCATTGTTGCTATTATTATTATAAATTTCGCCTTTGTTATATAGTATTCCATTAATAAGAATTTCGCTAGTTTGCTATATAAATTCTGGTATTTCATCAGGGAAGCCATAAAAGAAGACGACGATGGTTTCCTCCAAGCTAGCGTAGACGATATAGTTCAAAGGGCCAAAAGAAAGAGACAAACCCTGAAGCATGGAAGCCAAAAACTGGGAATGATGAGGCACTTGTACCTGCTCTTGGACTGTTCAGAATCCATGGCCAGCCAAGACTTGAAACCTACCAGGCTAATTTGCACATTGAAAGTATTGTAATAATTAACGTATAATCGTACAATTTAATGTATTATTTGTTGTAGTTATTGGAAATGTTTTTCGATGAATTCTTCGATCAGAACCCCATCAGTCAAATCGGGATAATATTGATGCAAAACAAGCGAGCCGAAAGGGTCAGCGACCTAACGGGAAATTGTAGGAAACACACGAAAGTTTTGGGTAACTTGGGCAAAACCAACTTATCAGGAGAGCCTTCCTTGCAGAACGGCCTAGAAATGGCCTTGTCCTCTTTGAAATTGCTTCCTTCGCACGCCAGCCGAGAAATTCTCGTGATAATGGGCAGCCTCACCACCTGCGATCCCGGAGATATTACGCTAACAATCGATGCAAGTCACGATTCACTCGATCGTTTGTCGAATTACTCTGATCGATCGTTTCTTTTCCAGAGTCTCAAATCGGAAGGAGTAAGATGTTCCGTGATAGGCCTGGCAGCTGAAGTGCGCGTTTGCAGGCAGCTGGCCGATCAAACCAACGGCATTTACAACGTAATATTAGACGATAGCCATTACAAAGATTTGCTGTTCCAGCAAGTGAATCCCCCGCCGGCGGCGGTTTGTCTCGAAGCGAGCCTAATCAAAATGGGCTTCCCGCATCAACCCAACAACGAAGGTTCCGAGGAGCCTCTGACTATGTGCATGTGGTAATAGGATACCAACGATGATGTTGAGAATTGATTATCATTTTTTTGGATTTGTTTCAGTCATGTTGATAGCGTGGATGAAGGGAGTAAACTCACAACGGGGGGTTATTATTGCTCGCAGTGTTTTAGCAAATATTGCGAGTTGCCGGTGGAATGCAGGGTGTGTGGGTTGACTTTGGTGTCTGCTCCACATTTGGCTAGGTCCTATCATCATTTATTTCCTGCTGCGAATTACATGGAAGTGGATTATAGCAGCCAAACTAATGTGTGTTTCTCTTGCCAAAAACCGTTTGGAGAGGGTGATAAACAGGTATAATCGAGTTCGATTAGCGTTGACTTTGTGATTATAATATTGTTTTTTTTAGGTGTATAATTGTCCGAACTGTAAGAAGTACTTTTGCTTAGATTGCGATATTTTCGTACATGAAACGCTGCATATTTGTCCTGGTTGTTCGACTAACCCGTTAACTTTCCAAATAGCTGTTACTCATTAATTATTTAAGTCAATAAACTAGTATTACTTTATTAATTGTTATTCACTTTATTTCGTTTATTTTTCTTGCCACGTTTGTGTTCTATTTCAGAGTTGTTGCGGTTTTGATTCTTACTACTGCTATTACTGTCGTTAAAAGAAATATGTACTCCTGGAGCTTGATAACTGAAAAGTAAGAGGTTTTGTACAAAATTATTGTAAATTACGATCAATTTTTACCCCAATTCATCGACATTTGTGATCTCATATGCTAGGTAAATATGAATCATAGGTAATCTTCTTTTTACGACTAATTGATCTAACTCTGGTAAAAGTGGATCCCAATATTCTTCAACTCTAAAACAATAAATGAAATAATTCCAATATCAACGAATTTACGAAGATCTTACTTCCTGTATGATAGTTTCGTAATTTGATGTAACTTATTATTAAATTCTCGTTTCATAATTTCCACACAAGTAATACATTTTCCTACAGATGGTCCGAAGCCCGTCCAAACTACACTTTTCACTTCGGGAAACTCTTTAATAGCGTGCGTTAAGAGATTTCTTATTTTACTACCAGGTTTTACCTAAAACATTGTTTTAACAAAAATCATTTACCTGCAATTATGCATACCTGCATCCAAAGGAAATTAGTGGGAAGATTAGGTATGGGAATTTTATCCCTTTCGAGAGCTTCCTCGACGTTTTTTCCTTTTTTATAGTTTTCCATTGCAAAATAAAAATAAGGTAACGCAAAGTGAGGTTATATTTTATTACAATTTAAACAGAAGATTTCAATTGCCCAAATAACCGAATAAATTGAGGTCAAAATCAGTCGATAGTTGAAAAAATAAATAACAAAAAAATGTGGAACGCTTCACGATTTTGCGTGTCATCCTTGCGCAGGGGCCATGCTAATCTTCTCTGTATCGTTCCAATTTTAGTATATGTACCGCCGAAGCGAGTACACTAACTACCTTTAACTACTCGTATAAGTATCGAAAACAAGTAAATATATGTAAGCGAGATAAAAGTTACAGAGCCATCTATCGAGTAATAGAGTTTCAACTTTTCTTTCAAGTTGGCGCCATTTTCGCTACCTAAAATCTAATTATTGGAGAATTGATTTTCTTGTAAACTGAATCAATTTATCATATTTTCTTCAAAAGTATCTCATTTTTTCTTGCACTTTAGCATAAAATAAAATATATTTTATGGACTGGATTTGTCAAACAATTCAGCTACTCTCACAATTGTCATAATTGTCAATCTTGTCATTGTAATAAACGACGAAAAGAGAACAAGACGAGAAGTTGCTAGAAACGTCTATTTTCTAGTTGTTATCTTTGCGTTACGAATTGTTTTTGTTTGAAAACCAATCGAGTAAATTCTCCGATCGAACCGAGAAATGTCCGTGTTCGGTTCTCTGATGGGCGATATGGAAGAGGACCCGATTTTCGGGTAAGCTTTCGAATCAGTGAAAGTGAATAATAAATTCGCGATGCGATAGAATCCAAATAGAAGACGGCCATGCTGGTTTTTTTTCGTGAATACATTAAACGTTTCTTTTTCGTAGATCTCACATGCGACATATGCGCCAAATGAGCAACATGATGAATTCTTTGTTTTCCAATCCCTTCGGCATGATGAGAGGCTCAATGTTGGGATTCGACGATTTCGAAGAAAGCAGAGCCCTGGCCAGCCGCCACCACAACATGCACAACTCTCTAATGGCCCCTTTCGCTATGCCCATAATGCCCAACTTCAATAGACTCTTAAGCGGATCGTTAGGTATTGGATAACATTCGCTAACCCCCAACGCCTCGGTACTGATGTTATTTGTATGTAGATTCGATGACTCCTTCTACGAACTACCACAGCTCCAGTACGGTTATAAGTATGACTTCGGGCCCCGACGGCAGGCCTCAGGTGTACAAAGCTACGTCCAGCACAAGAGTAGCCCCCGGGGGCATAAAAGAAACGCAAAAGACGGTCACCGATTCCGTTTCCGGTACTAAGAAAATGTCCATCGGCCATCACATCGGCGATAGAGCGCACATTATAGAAAAAGAACAAAACGTACACACAGGTAAAGTTTATTGTTAGTGAATAATAAATGGAGTACAAGTAACGGGATGTTTAGGTGAAAGGGAAGAACGAGAAGATTTGATAAACATCGAAGATGACGAAAAGGATGAATTCAATTATGAATGGGAGGCCAAAACTAGGAATAGAGCGGAAATTCCGAGGATTTCTTCTGGACATTCGAGGAATAGACACACTTACGCAGGACATTCTTCTATACCGGCCATTACAGCAGGCTCGAGGTACTTGAGACTTGTTTATTTTTGTTTATAGATCTTCTTTATACAGAGCGAGCCAGTTCGTTCAAATGATTTTGAAGGTGCTGGTACGCCCTGTATATCCTAAACTTTTTTTTTCTTATTTTCTGTATATTTTTTTTTTTGTTGTGCATGTATAGTAGTCGCCGACATAGGGACAGAACAACGCAATTACCATCATCACCTCTGGTATCCGCTCGTAGAAGTATAAGATCCCCAAAACTAGCTTTACCTTCGACAAATAGCACTAGGTAGGCGAATTTCTAACGATATGATAACGATAATAATTATAATTATCTAACGTATCCGTTTCGGCGCCGATTTTCATCTAATCATTCATTTTCAACTGCTTTGGAAAATTGCATTCATTTGGTGTTGGTATCGTTGCAGGTACTCCAGACATTATTAAACTTTGTAAATTCAATAAATTCGAGTAAATGTCACTGCTAGTTGCGTCGTTTACTTACACGTAAGTATCGCTCCGATTGAACTGCGCTTATTGAATTGTAATGATTCGATGAAAAAATATTTCGAATAACCCCCTTTAGCGTTTTTTTTTTTCGTACTAACACGATTCATTTATCGAGCATATGGTGGTGGTTTGTTTTCATGCTTGTGGATAAAATGCGATTTATTTGTTGGTTTTTCAGCGCTGCTGGAAGGCATCCGTACAGTTGTCCCAATCAACAGCAACCTCCGAAGAAATCCAAGTCGCTGAAGACTTTCTCGGAGTCTCCTTCGCCCGAACACTAGGCGGATTTGTATTCCACTTTTTTTTTGCGTAGACGTTTTCGTCGCGATAGGTGTTTAGCAAGGCGAAATTCGACATTGAATCGGTGTTATTACATTTCTTATCTATTGGAATTTGCGATACTTTGTTTCTCCCGGTTATTACTTGATTTTTCTGGACGACATACCCCCGGTTGAATTTTGTCTTGTTGCAATTTTTTTGCAGACTTTTATTTACTGTTTTTTTTTGAGGAATTTTCATTTTAGAAAATTGTAGGTATAAGGACGTTTTTTATTTTGTCTTTTTTTGTTCCATCAACAGCTTTACAACCTAAACAGGAATATAAAATAAATCATAGCTTGTGATTGTGCCAAGAGAATTTTCATAATTTCCGGCTGTTGATCGTTCTAATTTATTCGTGAGTAAGACTTTAAATTCCTAATTACGTTTAGTTTAAATGCTGTATATGTGGTGGATATATTGTTATTTGTATCGTATTTTGTGTGGTAATGTTAAAATGTAAAATTGTAATCTATTCATTAGTTCTAGTTATATGTGAAACGTACGTGGACGATCGATTGGGAAATTCTAGTTGGGCATTTTGTGGATGTGGCGAAATTTCTTATCGGTTTTACCGAATTAAAATGCTTGTATTATTGAGCAAATACAAGGGTAAGGTGAACAGTTCTCGGCCCGACAACGAAATAATGCGATTTTCAGTTGAAAAATTACATTATTCTTATTAAATCGAAATCTTTAGTTCGAGACAGTTCGAGAATCGTTCTCAATGGTTCTACACCGTTTTAAATGATTCTGGACCATTCTGAAGCGTTCTAAATGGTTTTAGACAGTTCTAATTGATTCTGGAGCGTTCTAGATTGTTATAGATAGTTCCAAATGATCCAGGTCGAGCACTTTTCACACTACCCTCGTGCATGTCGTTCACATTATGTCTAATTAGTTCTGATCAAAAATTGCCTGTATAATTAAGATTAAATACCATTATATTCCACTTTAGTTTCTTTTATCTCGAACCCCTTAAAATACACAAAACTGCTTAAAAACTCAACTTTATTTGTTACATAAATAAATGCTGATATGTAAGAGTAAATTAGAGATAAATTTTTTTTGCTACGTTTTTCTCATTACTTCAAAGATGACAAATTTCAAATAACTATGCGAATAACCAGTGAAAAGGTATAGAAAATCAAGAGGACATCTATCACTTCATTTTATAATATTTAGTTTCTATCTATTATTGTTTTTTATTACAGACTGATGTAATATTTAAAAGTACTTAGCCAATTGGTAAAAATGCAAAACAATCTTCACAACATCGTATATGAGCATTATTAAAATATGGTAACAATTTTATTTTAAAGGGTACCGCCATTCAATCGACACCCTCGCTTGCTTTATATACATATCAATATAATAAATCAACGAATAAACGCCTACATTTTTTCAAAAAGTTTGTACTATACGAATATAGAGGTATATTCGGGGTTCGTTCCGGCGAATCCCAATACGAATTCATCGGAACAAACCTCGAATCGAAACAGATCTGATTTTCTTTATATCCAAAATACGACGAAGGCTTTAATATACACGGTGCAACATAATTCGAACCAAACGCAAACGCATCGATAAAATGATCATCTTAATTTATGCAGGTGCCCGCCTGTTCGTGGCCCACGCAGAAGATGCGCGGGCTGTGCGAGCTGTCCCAAATGCCGGGGCCGCATCGCGTGCAGAGCCCCGCCAGCGTGCACGGAATCTCCCGCATTTGCCTAAACTGGTGCAGCAGCCCTCGCGCCTTCCTCGCTATCACTTCACCGTCCATATACATCGCTTAAAAAAAACAAAGTTTTTAGCGTTAATCTTAGAGTTAAAATGGTCGGTTTGTACCTAACGAGCTGAAATGCAGCAACATTTCGTCTGATCTCAGATCCTGAGCGATGACGTCTTCAGCGTACACCGATATAATAGCCAAGCATAGGAACAAATGGAAATAATCGGTTAGGTAATTCGCCCAGCACGCCTCCCACATCCTCAACGCCACACCTTCGGTGAACTCCCTCTTGAAGCACCTGCACTCAAACAATCTTATTCGCAACAACGCGATTTTACCAGCAACAAACAACGTACAAAAGTATCCATCGGTGGCAAAAGAGCAACTCCAAAGCGTCCTTGTGCTTCTCGAGGTGTCTATAGAACGCCGGCACCATCAACCTGATCAACTCCCTCAAATATCTCAAATTCCTGTCCATGTCCCTGTCGGTGGGCGTCGCCACGAACACCGCCCTCTGCATCAGCCCTACGAAGCACCAAAAGGCGGCCACTTCGTCCTGTAACTCGCACAAAACCGGCGCCAACAGATCGCTCATACCCTGCGTGTAACTGCAAAAAAAAATCACCATACAATCAACGGCTCTAACACGACATCACCACGCACCCCAATCCGGAATTGTAAATGGCGTAATTCAGTAAAATATTCTTCATAATCTCCACGTTGGGGTTGTTGTCGCCCGAGAAAAACGGATTCCCTCTATCGGTTCTCACCACGTCCTTCTCGACGACGCTCTGGATTTTCCTTCGAAACTGATGGAGCCTGTTCTCGCTCAACTCCAATCGCCTCTTGTTGATCTCCTCGTACTCGTGCCGTCTGATCTCGGCGATTTGGATGCGCTCCTCGAACGTGCTGAGGTAGGGATAGACGTGCAGCAGGAAGGGCCACACCTCGCGCCTCACGCTCCGCTCCATGCCCGAGAAGAACACGTACTTTCTCAGCGTGAGATCGTCCTCCAGCTGGCCCGATTCGTTGAACAGCCCCCTGAACGTCTGCTCGGTCAACTTGGGCACGCGGCCTTCCTCCGGGTGCAACTCCAGCAGGGATATCTCCGGCCTGCACACCATAAAGTGCCGGTAGGGAAGGTTCTCTTCGATTCCTAGCGATTGAAAGATGTAATGAGGTTCTTATGCTGGATTATAGAGTGTACCTTTGGAGTATTTGATGGCGTGAAGTAAGGAGTGCCACTGGTGCAACACTTGGGCGAGGTGATCCAATCCGCCGTGGTGGAAATGGAGGATTTTGTATTGGGATTCGCGCGATGCAACGACCAGTTGCCCGCACGTGCAGCTCTGGTCGTTGAAGAACAACCTCAATGACCTGTACAATATTCATGTTACTCGAGATTAGTGATTTGTGAATCGTTTCGCACACCTCATTTGACTCAAGTCTACGCTGAATCGCCTGCATTGGTGCATCTGTTTGGATTTGGGGATGGGGGAGTTGCAGGCGCTGTCGGGGAAAAACAGGTTGTACTGTTGCATGAGATTTTCCGGCGTGGAAATCCAGTTGCACGTGCTTTCACTAGATGTCATCGATTCCGATCTGAAACGGACATTTTATTTCTAATTTCGTTTAATAGTTGCTACGTAGACTTGTTTGATTAGTTATTTATTTGTAATGAGAACCGTTTCGCAATTTTAATTGCCGATTGTTGTACCTACTTGTTACTTTTGTTTGTGTATACATGTTTTATCAATTCCGTTTATTTTTGACCTAATTTCAACTAAATAATCAGCAAAATTCGTCGTTAAAACTATCATAAATATTAATGAACCGTTCCGTTCCTTAAAAAAAATAATCTAGATTGCTCAATACATTTTTTAGTAAACATTCCTTGACCCGCGGATAATTTATGCATTCAGGGTAAGTAACGCACCTGGAAAATTCGAAAAACTCCGCCGGATCTTTCACGCTGTCCGGCGTCTGGATGATCTCTATCTCCGGATTGGAAATGTCCACGTTTATGCTGATGGTGGGCTTGTCGCTACCCTCGGAACTCGCGTCCGATTTATCCTCGTAGTTCAAAAAGGGATTGGTGTTTTTGAATTCCACCATCGGCCTCTCCACCGCGTAATCCCCCGAATCGTTCGAGGTGAGGCTCTCCAGGCTGTAGCGCTTGCTTTGCTGCTTCAACGGCGTATCTACACCCCAATCGTTTACCCCGTTAGTAAACCGTTTACCTTATGCGATGGAATCTTACTGATTAGATTTGTGTTCTTGGTGATGGAGGCGTTGGGGATCCAAGTGAGGAACAGCGTGGGCCTCCTCACGTCGTTGTATTGATCAATGAAGACTTTGCTGGTGACCGTTAGGTAGCCGGGATTGTGCAAGACGTCGCCGTCGTGACGGCAGCTCGCCGGCGGATGGACGCACACGTTGTTTTTGCAGAAGAGCACCTCGTTGTCTTCGTAATTTGAGGACTCCGTGAGGGCGTCTTCGTGGCCGGTGATGTAGGTGGAAGCGCGCCGGATGATGTCCGATAGAGGCATTTTTCGATCTTTTTAATCTGCGTATTGTTTTATTATAGAGGGTTTAAGGAATGTTGCTTTGTGTGGTGTTGTTTCTATACCTTCTGCTATGCATGTTTCAGGTTCGAAGTATGTGTCTCAAATTCGTGTTTTTTAATGCTATGAAAAACTTGTGACAATAATCGATTATTAACATTTCTAATTGTACAGTCAAATTTTATGATGTTGTCACCTTTTTTACGCATACCAAAAAGTATAGAGAAAAATAATCCGACTCTTACTTGATAAAAAACCAACAAAATTAAACGCAAATCTGTTTACAACTTGATCGATATATTATATTCGATAGTGTGTAATAAGCATACATATGAAGAGCATTTTAAAATACGTAAAAAAAACTATATAATTTCCATTCTTACCCGTCGATTATTCCAAATTCGTGAGACGTGTTGCGCCGCGATTTCACATAATTAACAACAAAACTCGTCCTTGGCGGCGCTCACCGCATTTTCTACGGATGAAAATGGCGAAAAATTCATTTTCTATTTTATCTAATCGCCAACGAACGCCTCCGCCGCCCCCGAACCGAAACTGATGTCGTATTGATCGCATTTGAAAATATATTTGAATTTTTCCGGGAACCAGCACCATCTAGCGACACGCCTCTTGCCGAAACGTTACGTCAGTCTGTCAAATTATCGATTCTTTAATTTATGTTCTGTGAATCTTTTCTTATTTTGATCGTGCCTGAACAGCCACAATATTTTAGGCCTCGAGTAATAAATACTTTTGACAGTGACACTTATATAATATTTGACATTTTATTTTGAAGCGAATTGAAAACAAAAATCATGAATTCGATTGTAAAAACATGCTTACAGGCAAGTCTAGCCAAATTTATGTGCTAATTATAAAATAACGCATCTACTTGTAGGGAAAGAATTGGAGATTACTGGCCCAGAATGTTAAATATTTTAGCAGTCAAGTCGTAGATCCCCCAGATGATTTATTCGCAGTTCCCAGGCCTGCCTCGCGGGATAATGAACCGATTGAAAAACGCAGGGCAAGGTTTGCATTATATCATCTCAATTTGTGTCCATTTTCTCTCCAATTCTCAATTTTAGGTTACTCTATCAATCCAGGAAGCGGGGCATGCTGGAAAACGACTTAATATTGAGCACATTTGCTGCCAAATATTTGAAAACATTCAACGCCGATGAACTGTCGCAATACGATAAGTAATAATCAACATTTCTGTTTATTTTCTTTTTGAAAATTAACTTCTGCTTTTTGTTCAAGGTTAATTAACGAGCCTTCCAATGATTGGGAACTGTATTATTGGGCTACGAACCTTAAAGTAACTCCAAAAGAATATCAGAATAATGTGATGAATTTACTACAAGACCACTGTAAAAATCTAAACAAGGAGATGCGTATTCGCCAGCCTGATTTATAAATGAATTGTGATTATGTGCACTTGCAGTATTTTATATAATATAATTTATTTACAGTTTTATATGTATTTCAAAATTAAAAATAGTCCCTTCAATTAGGCAATACTGAATACACATTATTTCACCCGATTCATGTTGGTAACACTGTCTGACATAAACAAGAAACATAACCTTGAAATACAAATGTCATATACGAAAAGATATGTAATCTCTAAATTTAGATATCAATTAAGTTTATTTGTGATTTCTACCCTTAGGAAACCGAAATGGTTTTCCAAAGTGCATTATCTTATCTATTAAACAAATACCTGGGAGAGTTTGTTGAGAACTTGGACGAGAAGCAGTTGAACGTTGGAATATGGGGAGGTAACATGGCTGTAATTTTTCCTGTATATTTCATTTAAAATACTCGCAATTGCAGGTAACATAGAATTAAAAGATTTAATTATAAGACCATCCGCTTTAGAGGAATTAGATATACCTGTACAATGTACTTACGGTAAAATAGGTGAGTGGATTTAGATTTTATAGTAGGTGGATATTTATTCGATGAGGTCAGTTTTATTGACCTTCTATATGAGATATAAACAAAAAATGTTTTTAATGTGTTCATAATTTTTTTTATGAATCACTATAAAATTTGCTATTTTTTAATTTTTTTAATATAATTTAACACAGGAAGTGTCTGAACGATTATAATAGGTGTGTGATTAGCTTATCAAAAATTGATTAAAAAAAATTGCCAAAGATTTTTGAAGGCCGATTTTTTTATCAGATACTTCTAATTTCTAATAAACAAAAATTATATATTACAGGCAAACTAATTTTAAAAATACCATGGAAATCTCTATACACCGAACGAACTATAATCACAGTCGAAGACGTGTATTTCCTGGCCCAACCAAACCAGCAGGTCAAATACGACCCGGTCAAAGATGAACAGACCAAATTAGATTTTAAACGTAAAGAACTCGCAAGGATCGAAGAAGCCAAAAGAATATCAGAGGAGCAAAGTAAGAGCGCTCATTATTACTTCATAAATTATATTATCGTACACAAATAATTTTATCGTTGTTATCATTTCCTATAACGCTATTCTATTTAAAGCGAACGTCACCTTGAAACGTTTGTTATGCGAATAATAATTGCTGATTTATTTCTAACGATGGTCGCATACATTAAACCGAGTTTTGTAATATTTTAGAATCTGGAAAGGTCGCCAAGCAAGGATGGACGGCCGAATTCGCCGAGAAATTGGTAACCACCGTAATAAAGAATCTCCAATTGAACATCTGTCGCATCCACTTCAGATACGAGGACAAAATTACGAATCCCGAGCAGCCTTTCTCCTTCGGTTTCACTCTCGACGAGCTGGCCGTCGAAAGTACCGATGCCAATTGGGAGAAGGTGCTCTCCGAAGATCTGGTTAAAATTTTCAAAGTAATCCCCTTTTCGAGGAATTCGCGCGTACTTAAATTTACTGTTATGTTCGTTTGTAGATCTTGCATTTGAATAATCTAGGCGTTTATTTGAACTGCAACTCTACCATATACGGAGATCTGAGCACTTTAACCATGGTGGAGAAATTAAAGACCGGAATAGCCACTTTGAATGAGATACCCGAGCATTATAGATACAGTATGATATCGATTTTTTATGTTTGGTTTAAAATAACGGATTTGTTTCGTAGTTTTGGGGCCAATTAACGCTTCGGCTCGACTGAAAATGAACCAAAAACCGGAGCTCGACGAGCCGCCGTATTCCATTCCCAAGTTCCATTTCAACTTGCAAATGGATACGCTCTACGTGGGCTTAGACAAATGCCAATATCAAGACATCATAGCTTTGGTCGATTCTATGGAACGAATGGAGCGCGGCGTACCATTCAGGAAATTTAGACCGAACGTCACCTCGTACAAAGGCCACTACAGAGAATGGTGGCGATTCGCCATTACCTCAGTATTGGAATGCGACGTGAGAAGGAGGCGCAGAGAATGGGATTGGAACCACATCAAAAACTACAGGGAAATGTGCAGGGAATACTGCCAATTGTACAACAAGAAATTGAACAAAAAAGTACGTTTTTACACACTATTTTGCATCGCAAATTGTATGGTTTTTTTCTAGTGTAAAGAATACGATAACGCGAGAATCGACGAAATCGAGAAATTACTACACATCACTAATCTAGTTATAATTCGCGAGCAAGCGCAAGCCGAAATACGAAGGATGTCCGATTCCCAAGAGAAGAAGGGCTGGATCGATTGGATATGGGGCGGTTCGGGTCAATCCAAAGACAACAACGGAGACTCCACCAGTCAGTTTACTTATCTTTTAACCATCCGATAGGCGCTAATAACGTATTTTTCTCTCGCGCAGTGTCGAAATTGAAGAAAGAGATGACGCCCGAAGAGAAACAACAACTCTACCAGGCCATCGACTATCAAGACAACACCGGCCCGCTGATCTACCCGGAGCCGTACGTAGCCATCGTGTGCACCTTCCTGCTGAAGAATTTCATAGTAGAATTGAGCGATGTTGAGGGGAAAACCAACGATCGCATCGTAGTCTTCAATCTCGATTTGAACACTGTAAAATGCAGATTAGAGACTAGACCCGCCTTGCAGGGGATTTCGTAAGTGTACTCACCCCCTTCGGTTTATTTACTATACATAATTTGCATTTTGTTGTAGAGTAAAAGTGAAAATCGACGATTTAACCGGCGTGGGTTTCGAACGCAACGATTTCACACCGTACATCGTATCGTCCGAAGCGAAAAGCGGCGCTGGTTTGTTGGATATATTATACGAAAAGAATCCGCTCGATAAGCAATGCGATCAACGCGTACACGTTACCGCTCTACCATTAAGGATCGTATACGATGCTAAAACCATCAACAAGTTAGTCGATGTGTTCACCATACCGCCCGATTCCTCAGTAAACCAGTACGTTAATAACACTCCATTATTAATTCACAGTGAATAATTCATTTTCGTACGCAGATTGCAAGACGCCGCCGCGAACAGGATCACCGAAATGAAGGAAATGTCCGCGTTAGGTCTGCAGTACACGCTAGAGAAACACCAAGTGCTCGATATAGACGTGGATTTCGAGGCGCCGTATTTGGTGATGCCGTACGGCGGGAAATTCACCGGCGACGAGAACGTGATCGTGGTGGATCTCGGTAACATCAAAGTGAAATCGCTGGGCCGGAAGGCCGATTTGGGCGAGCTGCGCGCCGAGTTGTTCAAAGGCCTCAGCCAGGACGAGATGTTGAATTACATGCAGGAGAACGCGTACGATAAATTCAGCTTGGAGATGACCCGTTTACAGGTACAACGAAAATGCTCGGTAAACGCTTATTATATTGATGATTTTTTTAGATACTGGTCGCCCAAAGCGACGAGGATTGGAAGAAGACTCTGCACGCGCAGAAGATCACCAGCATGCATTTACTACAACCGGTGAATTTGTCGATAAATTTCAGCAAAAGCTTGATTACAGATGATCCTCGGTTACCCTTGACCAAAATCCACGCTGAAATACCGTCTATTAATATCGTAGTATCTGATGCTAGGTTGATGCTAGCTATAGCGTTACTAACCAGCGTGGATTTCCCTAATAAGAACGACGCCGATGAAGAATTTAGTTTGGTAAACATTTCTTATAAATCTCCAGCTTGTATCGAAGTTATGTAATGATTTTTCAGAGGCGATATCCCAGCAGTTCCAGCATGCACTCGCTCCTCAAGGACATTCAAATGCCCAAATCGACCACTCTATTACCGGTCGAAGAAGTCGCCCAGCAACCCGCCGATAACGCGGAATTCATACAACTACAAGCGACTTTCGTAATGGCGCGTGAGTGTAAAATACGAATTATTTAACGGATTTTACGCCATTTGCTTCATTGTAGAGTTCACTGTGACGATCAACGAGCAACAATTGATATCCGATAGAGCCGTTGAAATGGCCAAGTTCAGCATAAACACAATAACCTGCGAGATGAAACAGTTTCCCTCGGTGTTAAAAGTCGAAGTGAACCTGGTTAATATGGATTTCAACGTGGAGAGGGAGAATCAAACGGTGAAGGTTATCGAAACACCGCAAATCGACGGGCGCGAGAACACTCTCTTTAAAATCAAATTTACGCAAGTAAGGCGCTCGATTGGTTCGTAACGAACGAGTTTAATTCGATTGTATCCAGGTGGATCCGAAGCATCCGGATCTCCATTCGGTGTACCATTCCTGCGAGAACAGTTTAGCGTTGAATTTCGGGAACTTGAGCCTGACGGTGCACAAGGAGGCCATTTTGTGCATACTGCAATTCTACTCCAACATCCAGGATCAGTTGCTGCCGGCTCAAAACGATCAGATCGGCAATAAATTCGCCGCTGCGAAATCCTTAACCAGAACTATCTCTAACTCTTCCAGTATACATCTACTGTCTGTTGGGAAGCCTTCGAAGAGTAAGTTCGATATCTAGCAAGGCCGTATATTCCTAAGGTCTGGAAACATAGGTTGAAAAAGTGTCCCGTTATTTGAGGATAAAACAGGGTTCCTAAAACGGCCGCTAGGAGGCGATGTTGTAAAGGACCACGGTTTTTTGCGTACGAATTATCTAAAATTAGCATTAAAAAAGGTTTTATTCAAACTAAAAATAGATACAAAATGTAAAAATATACTTAAATCAGCGATGATTTTGTTGTTAACATCATATCTCGCGTATCTTTGGTATGTATTTCTCCTCGAAATGTCAAAAAATAATTTTTGAAGTTTGACAGCTTGAACTGTCGTCTCACAACCGCGATTTATAAAAAGTCTTCAAATAACGGGACACATTTTCTAATGCATAAGCTTAGGCTGTTTCCAGACCTTAGAAATATAGGGCTGTGATATCTAGTGAGTCTTATTCCGGGCAAGTTTATGTCACTAGCGCCTCTAGCGGGAAATTCTTCACACTCTGTAAATAAAGGCTCTATTACTCTATATACTGTACGCGTTTTTAGAGAAACGTTCGTCGCGCGTTAACGAGACGATAAAGTTCAAATTCGCCGCTCGATTGGAGGAAGTGACCGTGAAATTGTCGGAGGATTACAAAGAAATCGCGAAGGTTTCCATAGCGAAATGTAACGTGGTCACCATCACGAAGGAAACGTACACTCAAGTGAACGCCGTCCTGGGGGATTTTTGCGTGCAAGATTTGAACAGACTATCAGCGCATAAGGATGTAAGTAATTCCTTTATTTACTAAGCGTAATTATAAGTTGTTTTCTTGTAGATATTAACTCAATTAGAAGATGAATCTTTGCAAGTTCAGTTAGTGATAAACAATTTGGAAAATGAGGATAACACCAGCGATTTGAAGAACATGGAGGTGACTGTTTACCTGGGAAGGACGAGGATTGTGTTTTTGAATTGGTTCGTTTCGAACATTATGGTATGTTGTACGTAATATGGTATCTATGAGTGCAACAAAGACGACTTCCACTAGTCATATTGCGACTCGCTCACTCTAACAATTGTTATTTCGATATCCTCTCTTTGTGCAACTCGTAGAATTGACCGTATTTGAGTTACCCAGTTCGGTAATGAAGCGATTACTTTCACATTTTAGACATATTTGAATCAATTCCAAGTGGCCCAAGAGGCGATAGCCAACGCCTCCGCCGCCGCCACCGAAGCGGCGGCGAATAACATGAAAGACGTCTACGTGAAAGCCCAGAAAATCGCTTTGAACATCGAACTGAAAGCGCCCATCATCCTGGTGCCCATCAATTCGAAGAGTTACGATGCTCTGTACTTGGACTTGGGTACGTTTCGATCGATATTCAGTATCACAAGAACCTCTATAGACTTCGAATTTTAGGCGTGATAACGTTACAAAACGAATTCATCAATTTGGACGTGAAAAACGACAGCGGCTTTCCCGGCGTCATCGACGATCTGACCGTTAAATTGGACCAATTGAAAATACTACGGGCCCACGTCGACGAGTACTACACCATCGTCGAGGAGCACATCATCTTGGAACCCACCAATCTCAAATTGTCCATTAAACGGAACTTGTCCATCAGCTGGTACACCGCCATACCCGACATCGACGTCTCCGGGAAAATATCCAAAATACAAGTATATATATTCTCCAAAATCTTTCAAATTGCTTCAGCACGAATCAGAACTGTCCAGAATGATTTACGATTTTGTAGAATGATTTAGAACTGACTAGAATGATTTACGACTCTGTAGAATGATTTAGAACTGCTCAGAATGATTTAGAACGGTTGAGAATGAGTTAGAACTGTTTAGTATGATTTTCAATTATGCAAAAAGGTTTACTACTATCCAGAAAGAATTAGAACTGACTGGAATGATTTACAACGATGCAGAATGATTTAGAACTGTTCAGAATCATTTAGACTACTTCGGGACGAATCAGAACGATCGAGATTCATTATCAGAACTTTCCAGAATCAAAAAAATCGTCCATATTATAATTGCTGGCTCGTGCTTTAGGTGAACCTGAGCAACGTCGACTACCAAGGCATCATGCACATATTGAACGGGAACCTAGCCGAAGGTCGTAACGTGGAACCGGCGAAATCCCAAACCGAGCTGGTGCGCAAAGATCCCAACGATCCGCTCAAATCGCACGTGACCTTCAGCAAAGCCGAAATGGCCAAAGAGATTCTATCGGCGAGCAAACCAACGCCCAAGCCGCACGTCTCGCTGAAATTCACCTTTTCGATGGAGCAATTCGTCATCATGATGTACTACAAACGAGGCGCCACCGTAAGCCGAATTCTTCCACTCGAAACTCGGGATAATCAACGCTTGGTTTCAGATACAAACCGGCCTGGTGCGCAGCGACGAGAGCAAATTCGCCAAGTTCGAGCTGGAGGGGCTGTCGGTGAAAGGGAAGATGCTCACCGACAACTCCATGGTGACGTCGGTGTTGTTTTTGAAGTGCACCATGGACGACATACGGCCGAATCGCAACAACACGTTGAACCGCATCATCGACAAGTCGCCGGAGAAGCACGGGAACGCGCGCGAGTCCAAGAGCATGATCGACGTGACCTACCAGCAGCGAAACGACGACGCCTTCGGTGAGCAGCGCGACTTAATCTATAATTACATAAATAATTTCTATTAATCTCGTTTTGTGTAGTGGACGTGCGCATATTCAGTTTCACGATCGTCGTTTCGATGGAGTACCTCATGAAGTTCTCGGATTACTTCGCGATACCCGATCAGGACGCGGGCAAGGTGGAGTCTTCGAAAGTCTCGAAACAGTCCGGTAAAAAACCGGCCGCCGCTCCGTCGGCTGGACAGTTAACGTTGAATTTGAAGTTGGAGAAGCCCGATATAATATTGGTGGAGCACATGGAGAACAACGACGCCAAAGCGGTGGTTTTTAACGTACGTAAAGTGGATGCGAAGAGTGGTCGGTTTGTAGCGCGATTGTTAATTTCCAGGCGGAGATTCTGCTGAAATATCGCCAGTCCGGCGTGCATCAGGTAGTGAGCGGTATAATAAAAGATTGCGAGTTGTACAGGAGCGTTTATAACCCGGAGTTTCGATCGAAATATAAGGTCACCATTATTCACCCGTTGGAGATAAGCCTGGCGGGTTCCACTCCCCCCGAACAAGGACTACATTTAGAGGTAATTCGATTCCTAAATGATATCCCTGTAATAATTTGTATTGTTTCCTAGTTATTGGTCGCTAATATATTCATTAACGTATCACCGCAATCGATCGAATTGCTCAACCAAGTCCTTTCCGGATTCAGCGTAGAATCGAAAACGAATCTGCAAGAGGACAACGAGTTCAATTACGTCGATTTGTGGAATCCCAAACCGTTCACGGAGGCGGATTATTGGTTTTTAAGCACAGGTATTCGCTTTATACACAAAAAAATACAAATTTCTAACACCTCATTTTGTAGAAGTCGCCACCGACGTGCTGGAATTGAGCGAGAGCGACGACGGCGACTTGCAATCGGTCAACGTTTTAGAAGAGATTTGCATCATATCGGTGCCGTTGATCTCCGTGATAATCGAGGGCGGCGACGGCAGTAAAACTCAACCCTTGATCGTGTTCGAAACGGGTTTTAAAGGCAACGTGAAGAATTGGTCTTCGAACGTAAGTTAGCTACGTTCAGGTCGAATTTTCTCGAATAATCCGGTGCATTTTAGATGACGGTCGAAGCGAGTTTGACGATGCAAATGGCGTACTACAACAACACATTAGCCATGTGGGAACCGTTGGTCGAACCGCAAGTAATCAACGAATCGACCTACACGCCTTGGGAATTAAAAGTCGAGGTAACCTACCCGAACGAGACTAATAAATCTTCTAAACTAATGAGAACTATTCCGCAAAGGTCGCCATGAGCCAACCCGATCGATTAACGTCGAAATCCTCCCTGGGCACCGTGTCGTCGCCCACGAACGTGTCCGATACGGACTTCGAAAGCACCGAAATCGACATCCCCAAGCCGCTGCTCAGCATCGGCCTCTTCTCCGACAAAACCCTCGAGGTCACCGTCACCAAAACGCTGCTCGAGATGGTCGAGTACCTGCAGAAGATCTTCTCGGCCGCCCTCGACAAGGACGCCGCCAAGGCCGTCAAGGACGCCGTCGCCCCCTTCCGGGTCATCAACGAATTGGGCGAGGACGTGGCCTTGTTGCTGGAGGACAGCGCGTTCACCAACATGGAGGCGAGCGACAGCGATTTCAACAAGACGGTGGTGCCGTTGCAGCTGAAGGACGCCTATCGGGACGATGATAAGTTGATGCTGAGCAAAGCCATGATGGCCGTGGCTCAGTTGAAATGCTATTCGTTGAAAATTGAGGTTAGGCTCTATTCATTATAAGACAGATTATAGTAAGACGGTGTGTGATGATTTGAAATCTCTAAAGTACGGTTTCTGGTAGCTCTAGTAGCTCTAATTTTTAAAATAGTTAACTTCTAACGCTTTCTCAAAGTGCAATGAGTGAATGGAATAGAGCTAAATAGCTATCTGTAGCTCAAAAACTAGAGCTGCTGGGTGAAAAATGAGTCAATATTTTGTATATGCCTGTGTTTTAGATAAATTCGGTAGACTCTACGTTAATTCTACCGGTTTCGAGGGCCGATAAAAGGTACTTCCCGTTGAACCATCGCACCAATTTCCACGAAAATTGGGGAATCATATCGGACATAGCGATCGAACACGGCATAACTACCATACTTTTGAGGAGCATCGTACAAGTAAGCGTTTAATTGCAGTTTTATATAAAACCGTATTAAAAAAATAACTCCCAAGGTTCACAACGACTTCAACATACCGGTGGACGTTTACTTCAGGATCGAGCAAGGCAGCCACTTGGAGTTAATCAGCCAAATACCGCCCAAAGGGAAGCTGAACGTTCCGTTGAAAGCCGTCTACACGCCCTCGACGGAACTCTTCTTCGGCGTCGCCGATTTCTCGTTCACTACGGCCCCGTTCGCTTGGAAAGAACTGCAAACCAACTTGAAAGTGGTCAAGAAGCTGCAGTGTTTCCCTAAGAACGCGGAGAAGGAGAACGTGCCGTTCGTGATACAGGCCATCGGCGAGCTCGAGCAGGTTTACTACGAGCAAACCAACAGGCACACGATGACCAGCACTTGCTACAACATCCACCTGAAGCCCTGCGTCAGCTTCATGAATTACCTGCCGGTTACGGTGGTTTGTTGCGTCGATGAGTCCCCGGATGAGTTTACGGTTGAGCCGGGCGATAGCTTGCAATTACCCACTATAGAACCCGGTAGTAATTTCCTCGTTATAAGGGTGAGTCCCGTTGATATGTATAAAGATAGAACCGAGTTAGAGTTAACTGATTGGCGATAGAAATTAAAAATGCTTTTCTGGGGCATACATAGGGGGAAGTAAAGAAATTTGCTGATTATGAAAATCGACCACTTTTCGCCAGCCAAATTCGGCTTATGCCGTAAATTGAATTTAAAAGTAAATTTTTTTGACAGATTTGATTGACGTTTCCCGTTCTTTTGGTTTAAACGGAACTACACCGAAATGAGAGACTTTTTCGTTATTTAGACCAATTCGTTGTTTTTAATGGACGAGAATAAAAGAAATTGCAATAATTCGCAAAAATATTTGATACTTGGTCATTTGTACTTGCCAAAAACGAGGAAACGATAAAATTATTTTTAAAAAACCTACTCTAATGACAGCGGAGATGAACAAACTTTGAACTGTCAAAGTTGTCATTTCGGTTACTATGGGATACTTTGATATACCGGGTGTTTTTTCATTAAGGAAATCAGAAAAATTGATATACGGGGTGGTTTTTATATCTTAAATGAAAAATTATGTGAATTTAAATTGAAATATAGTACAGGGCGATTAATTTTCGTTAAATGTGCGTTTTGTTTTTGGTAGATTCCGAATTACTTGGAGAAGATGTGGTCTTGTAGGAAAGAAGTGAACAATGATCCCGACGAGTTCAATGTATGGACGTTTTACAGCTACGATAGCGCTAGTAAAATGGCGCTGGATTTGGGAATACACGTGGAAAAGGAAAAGGGCGCTTTGCTATTGACTTTGTATTGCCCGTTTTGGATGATCAACAAGACGGGACTTTTGTTATCGTACAGAGTAAGTAATCGATTCGCTTGATCAATAGAGACATTATATGTGATGATGGTTATCGGGTGTTGGTTGTTATCAGTGTAATTATTTTTCAGAAATCTAAAAAAGGTGACAAAAATGACCCCACTAGTTCACCGCAGGTTCGACAAAATTTCGTTAATTCCGCTTTTTTATTTTCGAACATTTTCTTTCAGTTTCCGTTCAATTTCGCTGAGTTCGCTCCTTTATTTTCGTTGATAATATTAACGGGAATTTTTACGCAAATTCGGAGCTTATCGAACGGCAAACGCAATTTTCATTAGCGCGCGAAAATTACGTTTACTGCACTAATTAAAAACCGATCAAACCAACAATTTAACCGTTACTATTATTAAGCAACGAGCCACGCATTTTTTGCTTTGTTTTTTTTTCTGTTTTGTTTTTCTATTATTTCGCATTTAGTTACTCACATCAATTTCCTCCTGTATTAAGAGCTCCGATGATAGCGCGAACGTGTTGTACCACCCCGCCGAATTCGAAGGCCCCGTTCTCTTCTCGTTCGCCGCCAAGAACTTCTTCGGCAAGAAGAAGGCCTCGATCCGCATCGAAAACGGCCAGTGGTCGGATAAGTTCTCGATAGACGTGGCCGGCTCCTCCGGCACCGTCACCTGCAAATTCAACGAGCAACTCTACGAGGTAAATCCCCCCGCCGGCGCGTAATTCGACTACTAAATACCAAATTGTGTCGTACTAGGTGGGCGTGCAAAACAATCTCACCTCGAACGGTTTGACCAAGCAAATCACCTTCGTACCTTATTACATCGTCATAAACGAGGCGCCGTTCGCCGTGGAATGCCAGGAGTACAGCAGGCCGGCGGATCCTTGGAGCGTCATCGAGCCGAAATCCTGCTCGCCCTTGTGGCCCAAGGACACCTCCCAGGATAAACTGATGAGGATACGAGTGAAAGACACCGACGAATGTTCAGCTCCGTTCTTATACACCGACAGCCACACCACTCTACTCAAATTGGACAATAAGGTACAATGAGCTAACTTACAGTTGCGATAGAACTAATTTTTGTACTTGCAGTTTGGAGGGTTGAACGTAGACATTCAATTAACCGAAGGAGGGATTTTGATCAACGTGGCGCCTTACGAAGACGGATCGGCCCCGGCTCTGCTACTAAACCACTCCGATTACACGTTGTGCTACTGGGAGAAAGAGTCGGTGCAGAAACGGTACCTGCAACCGAACGAATCCGTTCTGTACACGTGGGAGAACCCGTCGGGGCCGCGCCAGCTCGTCTGGGACAGGGGCAACCGGCGCGAAATCATCGAGGACCTGCGCAAGGACAAGTACGGCGAATTCAGCCCGAAGGACGGCGTCTACGTGTACTGGACGTCCTTCTTGGACGGCATGCAGAGGATCCTGTTGTTCACGAAGGAGCACTGCTTGGCCGAATCGGCGCAGGCCAGCAACATCTTGGAGCAGATCCAACAGGAGATCGACATATCGATGCACGGCATCGGATTGTCTTTGGTGAACAACGTCGCCAAGCAGGAGGTGATGTACGTCGGCATCGCCAGTTCGGGCGTGCTCTGGGAAACCGCCAAAATCAATTCAGAAAGGTACTTATGAAATGTTGTTCATTACCCTCCAAAACAGCCCAAAGATAACAGCTCAAGGACAAAATCGCCCAAGACAAATTAGTCCAATGACCCAACAGCCCAAGGACAAAATTGTCCTCTGTTGGGACAACTTTGCCGGGGTTACTGATGCGCTCTAATTCATTTAGGTACAAATACATGGACAAGAGAGCTTCGGACGTGGTGGAAGCGGCCTACCAGCAGCTGGTGCTGGATTCGGTGGGGAACAGCAAGCAATCGTGGCTGGTGCAGGTCGACAGCAAAACGGAGATCGATTTCAAGGCGGGCCGGATGAACAGGCCGCAAAAGCGTAAGATCCGGCGGTCGTTCTTGCCCGGCCTTTGGTTGCAATTGAAGACCAGTCCCAGTCAGGTGCAGATCCACGCGAAGATCAATCGATTGCAAATCGACAATCAATTGTACGATTGTTTCTTCCCCGTCGTGCTGGCGCCGGTGCCTTTGCCGAAGAGCGTCGCCTCGGAAAGTAAGCTTATTAAATACAGCGAAAAGTACTGTTTGATAGCATCGTTTATTTTTTTTTTTAGCTATTAAACCTTTCATCGAGGTCAGTATAGTACAATTGTTGATGAAGAACAGCCAAATACGCCAGTTCAAGTACTTCAAAGTATTGGTGCAAGAGTTCCACGTGAAGATGGACATCGGTTTCGTGAACGCTCTCGTCGAAATGTTCTCGGCGAGCGAATACACGCCCGAACAACTCGTAAGAGAATATAATTATAATTCGAAAAAGTCGTTATACTCGAACGTTTCGTTTGTAGAAACAACAATTCCTGTTGGACAAGGAGAAAGTGGGCGAGGACCTGTACCAATTGGCCGCCATGAAATCCATACAGCAACAGAAGAGCTTCTACGATTTGTTGCATTTCTCGCCGTTGAAAATCCACGTGAGTTTCTCGCTGGCCTCGTCCGGCAATTCCAGCGAGCAATCGAGCACGCCTCGTTTCGTTAACGTGCTCCTCCAAGGATTGGGCGTGACTCTAACGGACGTCAACGATGTCGTTTTCAAGTGCGGTTTTTTCTAACTTTAGATACGTTTTTTGGTGCTGATAATGAGGATTTGCAGGTTGGCCTTTTTCGAAAGGAACTTCAGCTTCCTGACGCAAAGCCAGTTGATCAACGAAGCTTCCAAACACTACATGGGTCAATTCATAAAGCAGTTCTACGTGTTAATTTTAGGTTTGGACGTGATAGGCAACCCGTACGGTCTAGTATTAGGCATAACGAAAGGCGTCGAGGATCTATTTTACGAACCATTCCAAGTAATTACTTTAAATTTACACTAAAATCGCGAGATTACAATCGCTTCATTCAAGGGCGCCATCCAAGGACCCGGCGAATTCGTCGAAGGCCTGTCATTGGGCGTCAAAAGCCTCTTCGGGCACACGGTAGGTGGCGCCGCGGGCGCAGTATCCAAAATAACCGGCGCCATGGGCAAAGGTATAGCGGCGTTGACTTTCGACGAAGATTTCCAACGCAAGCGAAGAGAACAGAAGAACAGGAAGCCCCACAACGCGCAGGAGGGCCTCGCCAGGAGCGGCAAAGGCGTCGTTATGGTAACAATCATCCGCCTACCTTCTATATATCTATCTATTCTCATGCGATCTCGTAGGGATTCTACTCGGGAGTGACGGGCGTCTTCACGAAACCCGTGGAAGGAGCGAAGGAATCGGGCGTGGAAGGGTTCTTCAAGGGCTTGGGCAAGGGCGCGGTGGGTTTGGTGACGCGTCCCGTGGCAGGCGTGGTGGACTTCGCCAGCGAGTCCTTCGACGTGGTGAAGCGGGCGGCCGAAGGGCAGAACGAGGCGGTGAGGTTGCGCGCGCCGCGGTTCATCCAAACCGACGGGCTGTTGAAGCCCTACAATCGCACCGAGGCGATAGGTAACAAGTATTTGCACAGCCTTTCGAAGGGCAGGTACGCCAAGACCGATGTCTACGTGGCGCATTACGATATCGTGGAGGATAAGGAGGTGTTGATGTTGACTAATCAGAGGATCGCTTATATAACGCACAGCGATATGTTCGGGCATTGGCAGGTAAATAGTGGTCATTACTGAGTAGGCTATACGGTTCAATTGTTGTTTTTTTTTAGACTGATTGGCAATTTACGTGGGATGAGATCACAGCGCCTGCCAAAGTCAATCCGAAAGGGGTTCTGATTCAGTTTACGGAGAGGAAGAAGAAGGTGTTTTCTTCCGGGGAATTCGCCAAAGTATTGTTAATACCGAATCCGAAAGTGAGGGAGGAAATTTGCCAGAGAATCGAGTCGCTACGGACTGCTTAACTATTCGCTTAGATTGCTTGTGTACTTTTAACGTCTTTTTTCTTAACTAAACATTCAGAATATTGATTTTTTTTACCATTGTTTGTTGAGTTTTGTTTTACTGCAAAATTTTTATATTGTTTTGAATATATTTTTGATGAAGCACAAATGAAGCACTAGTTTTTTTATTATACCAAATGTTGTAGACTTAAACAATATATTTTAGACATTTATTAATACATTCAAAACCGGAATTAAAGAATTTAAATGCTATTTACAATCAGGTAATTTGATATTTATTTTTTTCAACACATTAATACTAACAACAGAGTGGCGTTTTCCTATGCAAGCCACTGTTTGTATTTACGAACATTTACAACATCTCGTCAGGATTGAACATACCCTAAAAATAGTGCGTTAATAAAGGAAACAAATGCATGTGTTATTAATTACCTTGGCCCTTCTCAATATGGAATCTTTGCTGGCATCGTAGGGATGGTCTTTCGATGGAATTTCAAGTATAGCAGGTATGGGGGTGTTGTGACTATCGATTACGTGCCTGATAATTTCCGCGATGTTTTGATTGATCAAAATAATATCAATGTCGTCTCTTTTCATGAACTTTTTGAAGGTTTCTTCGATTTCGCTCACGGCAGTATCTATGAGAAAATTATATCAAATTACGAGGGGAATACGTTCATATATAATTGAAATTAGTACTTTTATCGACGACCAAAAAATTAGGGTGTCTGTTTTTGTTAATTTCCCCAACTCCACCCAGGAGGAATCCAACGCAGGTATCCTAAAAACACAACATTTGCTTTATATTTGAATTTACGTATAATAAGACTTACCTCGTCCCCGATCACTGATATCAATTTACCTTTCATTGCGGAATGTAAAGCCATTTTTTAGGAGTTAATTTTTAAATATTTTAATCACGAACAAACCCAAAAAAGTCACCTGACTTGACACAAGCAGCTGACTTTGACAGTTTGACAATTGATTTTCAGTATTACCAACAGAATAGTTTGTATGACTATCCCTTTCTTTTATGCCACAAAAAAGTGAGAGCTTGTTATGTTCTAGTACACCTGCCACCTGTCATATTATCAATAATGTCAGTTGTCAGTTGATGTTTATTTATATTGGAAAGAAGAAGTTGTTTATTTTGACAAATTTTGAATTTTTGATTATGATTTGTTAAAAAAGTTTTATGGAAAAAGAAAAAGAAATGTCGCAATCCTACGCACTCGCTCCTCTAGCAGACCAATATATGGTGGTCGAAGAAATGGAAGGCAACAAAGACTAATTATTTTATCGCGCAAAATGAATAAATACCAATTTTGTTTTAGACGAGCACGATCAATTAAAGGCAGAAAACACGGACGATTCGAATCACGACTACGACAAATCAGGCGCTCCTCTTCGAGAACAGGACAGATTCCTTCCCATAGCAAACGTCGCTAAAATAATGAAAAAAGCCATTCCCGAAACAGGAAAAGTCACTAACAAAGTACTCACATAAAACCTATCCCATTCCCTGCTCAAAATTCTAACTAAACGCATCCACAGATCGCCAAAGACGCCAGAGAATGCGTCCAAGAGTGCGTCTCCGAGTTCATCAGTTTCATCACGAGCGAGGCCAGCGAACGATGCCATTTGGAAAAAAGGAAAACCATCAACGGAGAGGACATTTTAGTCGCTATGAACACATTAGGCTTCGACAACTACATAGAACCTTTGAAAATATATTTACAAAAGTACCGAGAAGTGAGATCGACATGTTTTATAATCTTTCGAGTTTTACGTCTGTTATTTTACAGGCCGCCAAAAGCGATAGGATTCCTCACGGAGACGAAGCTTTTGAAGAGATGCCCGAAGAATCATTCAGTTAGTTATTATGCTCTAATAAGTATTAGTTTTATATTGTTAATATGTTGTAGGTACGTCTGGGAATAGCGCAGAAAATGGTAATACTGAAACTGTTTTGTACACCTACCAGGACAATAGCACCATTCAACAGTTTCAATTAGGCTAACAATATTCCTGTTTTTTTTTAGTTTAGTTGTTTGAATACATTTTATAATTCGAATTGTATAGGTACTAAGTAGAAGTTTATTCGTAGATAAGTATAATTTATTACAATAATAACTCTAAAACTAGAAAAAAAAAACACGATTAAGCCTTGAGATAAGCCGCCTCTACTATCACCCGCAGAGCGGCCAGCGCCTCCTTGGAAGTTTGTTTTATTAACTTCGACGGCAATAAGAAACCGTACCTGAAGAATATCACCCATTACAACATCTGTATAAGCTATAAATAAACCCCATTACCTTCCATTATCGCCCAGCTCAATGGTGTAGGAGTACTTGGCGCCAATCGCCGCCTTGGCCCAATCATCGGAGCCCCCGGCGGCGGGATAGAGAGTAACAGCGGACGATCCGGCCGTGTACCTCGGCCCACCGACTCTCACGATGGCCTCGACCGCTTGGTCGGCAGCCAGCTTCAAATCCAAATAGTCCGGCGGCACCACCTTCATGTAGCCCCAGGGGTACAGGATGTACTGCCCGTACGAGTGGAACGAAACGTACGCCGCCAGTTTCTTCGGAAGACCTATTAACAACGAATACATAAAGTATAGTTAATGGTTTGTATTCAGCGACTTATTTAAACTTTAGCGTGACTCTAAATACGCTTCTCTAGTCCCTAGTTACTCCATAACAATATAGTAAAACTGTCAAGTTAAATAGGCGTATTTAGAGTCACTCTAAAAGTTAAAATGAGGTGTTGAATACGGTCCAATGTTTGTGATAGATTGCCTTTAATGAAGTCCCTCATGACGCGAGTTTCCGGCTCGGAAAACGGCCCTTTACCGCAGAAGGTGTCGTGGCAGGAATTGTGCGACACGCCATCGTAGCCCCATTTATACCTGCAACAAGAATCGCATGGATTCGCTGGCTCCAATCGTGCCTCGAGCTCACCCGAAGTTCCTGTTCAAATCGATGCCGTAGCAGACCCTGCCGGTGACGAGGTCGGGCTGCTGGGGCCGCCGGTTCTTGCGCCACAGCCGGTCGGACGAGTGCGAGTACTCGTAGCCGTCGGGGTTCAGTACGGGCGCCACGTAGAAGTCCGTGTTCTGGATGTAGTCGCTTTCCTCTTCGAACTTGGCCACCAGGTGGTTGATGATGTAGGTGACGGCGGCCGGGGAGATCCATTCGCGCGCGTGTATGCCCCCGTCGATCCACACCGGCTTGTTGGTTGGATTGCCGTTGGATATCTTCAGGACCTGCTCGGTGGATAAGGCGTTAATGAGGTGGATGGATGCTGGTCGAAGAACGAACCTTTATGGGTCTACCTTCGTACGATTGTCCGATGTTGTAGACGGTGCATAATGATGGGTAGACTTTCGCGAAGTACTCCAGGAAATCCCATATGACTGTTGTCCTGTGGTAGGCCACCCAGTTCAAGCGAAAACCTGCGTAAATGTATTATACTAATTTTGTATGCATTGTACAACGCTAGTACCTGATCGATCTTCGTTATCATCGGCCACTGGCGGGTTTTCCGCGTCTATAGCTTCTTGTAGATTTCGTATGACTATTTCGAATTTGATGTCTTCGTTTTTGAAAGCTTCCTGGACTTTCTGTATGGCCTCGGGCTTCACAATCACGTCCAAATTGGTCGCGTTACCGCCCCACGTCGATATCCACCCTTCCTTCTTCAAATCGACGATCACTTTCTTATCCTCCGCGTCCTCCAAGAAAATCCTCCACAGCTGGTTCCCGTCGTACGAAATCCTCGTCGAAGCTTCGCGAAAACAAAAATATTAAAAACCATCTTCTGTTTAGAATGCCTTAAAGAGATATCGAATTGAATTTCGAAGAGTATCGGCGTGGAGGAAGAAAGTTCGCCGAACTCGCATGTCGAATTTAAAGTGGCGAAAATTCTGAGCGATCACTGACCTGCAACGATTCCCGCGGCCAGTTCGACCGCGACGAGAAGGAGGACGGCGCGCACCATGGCTGTGTGACCGGCGGCGCGACGGTGCCCGACTTTATATACCCGTTTGGACCCGTTTGGTGGACCAACGGTACACGGAGCGGGTTCTTCCAATCGCCGCGGAACATCTACAACGTTGCACAGGGTCATCCTTTACTCTATTCGGGCTGTTTTAATAGGAAATGTACGATGTTTGTCTTTTTGTACATCGCTTCGTTCGAAGGGGTGGTTTGGACCTCAGGAGGTGGGTTAGGTAGAAGATACTTTGGGGATGTTTAGATGATGTATTAGGGTAGGGTAGTTAAAAATATCACGTTTCTAGCTGGGGTATTAACGATTTTGTAGGGGTACTAATTTTGACGGGTAGTGTATAGTAGTATGAATGATGTTTCATCCTGTATATCGCCCTGTATAGTAATTCGGGGATTTTATAATTGGACAAGTCGGAGGAATCGCCTTGTATGTTGTAATAGTTGTTTTGAAAATAAACGGCTATTTGAATGCAAATGGGAATTTGGTCGAAATCGTCTCTTCGGAATTCTACACAAATCGAAGATTATCCACGATATTTTCGAATTTTTTAGGTTTTTCTTTTCGCGGAGATTAAACGGTTTGTTTTTTCTCGCATTTTTTGAATAATCCCCGCTCGTTACACGTAGGTTTTAATTTCATTTTTTTTATTAACTGCACCTTTTGTTCGAGACTTTGTTTTCGGATTTGTTGAATTTTAATTGTTAGCCGACATAATAGATGTTTACATTTTTTCGTGAGGTAATTGAAACATAAATTAAGGCTGTGTTTGGGAAATCGCGAAAATGCGTACATTATATGAAATTTTCTTTTGGATTTTTTATAAATCACGCGCGAGAAAACTGATTTTTCTAAAACGTGACGAAAAATCACGAAAATCTCGAACAATGAAGGTAGTTTTTTTTAAGCAATACTTACATATAAATTAAAATATTCTTATCTTACTTGTTTTTATACAATATAAAACAATTCTTAAATGAAACAAGGCCGTATGTGGAATTCGGAATTTAAATATTAGTATAGTTTTGAATCATTTGCCAATTTAAGCAGTTGATAAGATATCATATTTCTTATGACGTTTTACCTTATGAAATTGAAGAAGAAATTAAATAAACGAAAAAAATGTACTACTTGAAATTACCACAAATTTATATTTTATACAGGGTGTTGCTTTTTTAAACCCTTTTTTCTAATTATTATATTCGTAGACTTGTTGAGTCACGATATTAAATAAATTCCCTATATTAATACCCTGTAAGTAATCGTATTGATAAGTACTTAAACAATGATATTCTTAAACAAGAATGTTTAATTTATAATATTCTACCAATATTTATATAGATTTAATTCATCCACACTTATATAAACCTAATTTCCTTATATTCTCATCATTTTGCTACACTAGTTTCTCAAGTATAATTTTTAACTGTACCAAATAATATTATAATGCCCTAATAACGATGGATCACACAGAAAAAATCACCAGACCGATACACCCCAGGGAACAAGCCAACATTCTATCGGTGTTGTTCTTCGGGTAAGCAAACTCCATCAGGGTTATTTAATAATAATAAAGCAGAAAGTTTTACATAAAAAAGCCGGAATAATTCTCTGCTCGCAGGTACACGGGCAGCATACTCTCCACGGGCTTCAAAAAGGAGCTCGAAGACGACGATCTGCACCAGGTGATTCCCAAGTGCCGGTCGAAACAGTGCGCGGATCGACTCGAGCACGCTTACCTGAGCCAGAAGAAGGTCAAATCGCCCGACAAGCGGGTCTCCCTTTTCCGGATAATATGGAATCTGTACGGGTTGCAGTACGTCGCCATTGGACTCTTCAGCATGGTCTCCAAACTATTAATCAGGTAAATTAATTCGTTAGTCAACTAGCTGGATTAGTGTGGGGTGTAATATTAAGGTTTTTTTTAATGAGATCAAATCACCCTGTATATCAGATTTGACGTCAATTTATCAGCAAATGACATGTTTGACACTTTGAAGTTTGTTCTTCGCAGCTGTCATTAGTGTAGATTTTTTTAAATTAATTTGATTATTTCTCGGTTATTGGTAAATATAAATGACGAAAAAAACGTATATTTTAGAGAATTTATAGAGTTTTCTTTAATTTTTATTCGTTAAAAGCTACGAAATTGTTTAAATAACGGAAATTTCTCGCACTTTGGTGTAGTTCCGGTTAAACTAAAAAAACGGGAAATGTCAATAAAATATTTCTTATCTGTCAAAAATTTCACTTTTAAATTTAAATTAAAGAAAAAAAAACGATTTTTTTCGTATCGATTTTTATACAGAAGTGCAAATTTGTACGCAATATGGTATCAACGAGTGCAACAAAGTCAACTTCTCATGTAAACGAAAAAGAAAGAGCGATATTACGAGATTGCAACTTCCTCACTCTAACGACTAATATTTTAATAATCTCTTTGTTCAACTCGTAGAATCGATCATACTACATTTGCACTAACCCATAGAGTGATTTTCCAGCTCGCTGGAACCGGAAGCCCTGTCGAACCTAATCGGCTACTTCCGCCCCGGCCAAAACAAATTCACCTTCTACGACGCCCTCTACTTCGCCGGCATGCTGATGGCCCTCAAGACCTTCCACGCCCTCTACCACCACAACTACATGGTCTTTTTGAGCGAACTGGCGCTGCAAATTCGCTCCTCCTTCTGCTCGGTCATCTACAGGAAGGCCCTCAGGCTGTCGCCCACCGCCCTCGCCGAGACCAGCTTGGGCAACATCGTCACGGTCATCACCAAAGATGTCACCACGTTCGAGGATTGCCTGCACACGTTCAACAGCATCTGGGTGACCATCATCCAAACGGTGTTCCTGTGCTATTTGATCTACCGCAGGATCGGCTATCCCGCTTTAGTCGGGGTTTTTATATTGCTCGGTCTGGTGCCTTTCCAAGGTATGTATGTATTACCTCATCGAATGTAGCTTGGCTATTGAATTATTCCAACTGGAAAACTACATCTGACGAGGTAGAGTTTTGGAAGAGTCCATTTTATTGCTGAAATTCTAGCTTACACCGCTAAAATAATACGAAATCTTCGATTGAAGATGGTTAGATGTACCGACGAAAGGTTGCAGAGGATGCAAGAGGCTCTTTCTACTATTAAAACCGTAAAAATGTACACCTGGGAGAAGATACTGGCCGATAAAATAGGCGAAACGAGAATGTGAGTATCAGCTCCTCATCAACTCTATCGTAGGATACAATCTGTATCGTAATTAACGTTTGCATTGCAGGAGAGAAATGAAGATCATGCTGACGGGTTCGTACACGAAAATCGCCGTGATGATATCGAGCAGCTTGGAGGCGAAGTTCGCCTTCTACGCCATCCTGATGCTCTATCTCTCGGTGCACAACGACATGAGCGCCGAGGACATCTTCTACGCGATGAAGGTGTTCGGCAGCCTGCGCGTCAGCATCGCCATCGTCTTCTCGTTCGGCTTCTCGCGCCTCGGCGAGTTCTCGGCCTCGTTGCAGCGCATCAATCACATCCTGGAGCTCGACGAGCTGGCCGACTTCGTCGACAAGCCCGACGACGAGCCGCAGATCGACTTCCGCGACGTGTCGCTGACGCTCGGCGACAGGAAGATCCTGCGGCACGTCGATCTGAAGCTGCAGGTCGGCCTGAACGCCGTCACCGGCCAGCTGGGCGGCGGCAAGAGCTCGCTGATCAAGGTGGCTTTGAGGGATTTCCCGTACGAGGGGGAGGTGAGGACGCGCGGCAGGAAGAGCTACGCCTCGCAGGATCCTTGGTTGTTTCCGTCGTCGATCAAGCAGAACATTCTGTTCGGCGAGAAGTACGATTACGATAGGTACAAAGCGGTGGTGTCCGCTTGCGCTTTGGACTACGATTTCGATAATCTAGAAAAGGGCGATGAGACCATAGTAGCCGACGGTGGTAATAACTTGAGTAAAGGCCAGCAGGCTAGGGTGAACTTGGCTCGATGCGTGTACAAAGACAGCGATATTTACCTCATAGATGATGCACTTACAGCGTTGGATCCCAAAGTGCAGGAGCACATCTTCCAGCATTGCATCCGGGGTTTGTTGAAGGACAAATGCGTGGTGTTGATAACGCACAATTCCAGGCACATTAAGAAAGCCGATCGAGTCGTGGTGATGCACGACGGCGTCGCGAAATCCTACGAAAACGTTCAAGACGTCTCCGAGGAATTGCTCGAAGCCATCGAGGTCGTCGAAGACAAGCGCACCGTCGATGAAGAAGTTAAAGACGATGAGGTTGCGAACGAGGAGGATAAATTATTGGTCGCCAAGCCGCCGGCGAGCAAGAAGATGCAGGTGTACCACGAGAACAAAAAAGCCGGCGGTGTTGATCTCAAATTGTACCTCAAATACATCAAATACTCCGGGGGATTTTTAATGGGCGGGCTGCTGCTCGCCTCCTACGTGGGCTCCACTTTGCTCGAAAGCACCTCCGAGAAGATGCTGAGCAACTGGTAAGTATACACGTCTCCTTCTGGTCACATTCCTACTCCAGTTTCCGCTATATCTGTAGCTGATCCTTTGAGCAACTTGTGTCTTCTAATATCCCTATTACTACATCAAAATCCATCTTCTCGCGTTACAGGATCAACGAAAAATCGAAGATAACAAACGTGAAAGAAAGAAACTTCATCAACTCGACGATCGACTTGGATTCGCTCGACATCGATAACAAAACCACCGTGTTCCTGAATAACACCTTCAACATTTCGACGGAAGTAATCCACGAAGTGGGCAGACTGGAACTGCACGCGGACAAGATAATGAACATCTACACGATGGCGATCGTCGGCTACGCCGTGGCGGAGCTGGTGAAGAACTTCCTCGTTTTGAAGATGAGCCTGGCCGCCTCCATTACGCTCCACAAGAAAATGGTGGCGAGAATTCTGAACGCCACCATGCAGTTCTTCGACACCTACTTCATCGGCAACATACTGAACAGGTTCTCGCAGGATTTGAGCGTCATCGACGAGCAACTCATGTTCATCGTGACTATGGTAGTCGGGGTAAGATGGCGCTTTTAATAATTAACGAGTCAGTTTATTGAGTTTAAATTAACAGATTGTCTTCCATTTGGTCGGATCGTTGGGATTGATCGCCACTATAAACTGGAAGTTCATCATACCCGCTATAGCTTTAGGGATATTTTCGTTTTTCTGCCGATTGGTTTACATTAGAACGGCGAGGAGTTTGAAGCGACTCGAAGCGGCTAGTAAGAATTTTTCAAAAATCGTCAAACTAACAATCTCTAATTACTACTATTTGCAGCTCGTAGTCCATTAGTAGGTCATTTGAACTCCACCATGGACGGCCTGACGACGATCAGAGCCTACAAGGCTCAGGATATTCTGAAAGACGAGTTCGACAGACACCAAGATTTGTACTCGAGCGCTTTCTATTCCTCGGTGTGCATCAAAGGAGCTTTCGCCTTCGCCATGGACATCGCCTCCTTATTCTTCTGGCTATCAGTCGTCATTAGATTCCTGTTTTTCGACACGGGATCCAACACGGGCGACGTGGGCTTGACTCTAACCCAAGCGGGAATGCTCAGCGGCATCATCCAAGGCGGTTTGATGGTCTGGTCGGAGGTGGAGAAGAACATGACGTCGTTCGAAAGAGCCATGGAGTACACGACCGTAGAGAAAGAGGAGAAAACCGGTTCGGAACCCGAGAATTGGCCGAGGCGCGGCGAAATCGTCTTCAAAAAGGTGTCGCTGCGATACGCAAACTCCGACGACAGAGTATTGAAAGGCATCGACTTGGCGATTAAAGGCGGAAGTAAGATAGGCGTAGTGGGAAGAACCGGAGCCGGAAAATCCTCGCTCATTTCCGTCTTGTTCAAACTGTACGACTTCGAAGGCGACATACACATAGACGGTACCGACGTGAAGAAGATCTCCTCTACGTTCCTGCGCCAGCACATTTCGATCATACCGCAGGATCCGATCATATTCTCGAGCACCGTGCGCAGCAACGTCGACCCGCTGGAGACCTTCACCGACGAGGAGGTGTGGAAGACGCTGCACAAGGTCCACCTGGACGGCGCCGTGCCCGCCTTAGACACGCAAATCAACGAGCTGAAGTTCAGCACGGGCCAGCGGCAGCTGATGTGCCTGGCCCGGGCCATCATCAGGAAGAACAAGGTGGTGGTGCTCGACGAGGCGACGGCCAACATGGACCCGGAGACGGAGCGCGTGGCGCAGAAGATCATCGACGAGAACTTCTCCAGTTGCACGTTGATCGTGATCGCCCATCGGCTGGACTCGATCTTGGACTGCGACAAGGTGCTGGTGTTGAACAGGGGCGCCGTCGAGGAGTTCGATACGCCGAGGGCGCTGCTGGGGAATCCCCGCGGGCAGTTCTTCGCCATGTTGAAGAATAGCGGGATGCAGGAGGATATAGATAGGATCGTTTCGAGTACGTAGGTTGGTTTTGAATTAATTAAAAGACCGGTGTTTTTTTTTTTATTAAACAATCATTTTTATTAAAAGAAGCGATTATCACAAAATGACAATTTTTATGAAATTATCGTTAGAGTCGTTTTACACAAAATAGGACGATATAAATAAATTGAATTAGTTAAATAGCGTCACGTAATCGAAATTATACATGTATAGAAGAGAAACAAGAGATTCGTTGTAAATAAATACAAAATGCAAATTTTCGTTAAATTACTGGTCGACTTATATAAATTATTATAGGTACTATAAATCGATTTGACTAAAAGTTTGACTGCTTCGAGTAAAAAATAAAAAAATCAGTCAGCACCATTATAAAAAAAAATGTGCGTACAATGACGCTAGAAGTGATAACTTCCTCCTAATTATTCCGATTTTCATAGACTCTCCTTATCCATTTCCATAACGAAATTATCACTTCAAAAAATCCGGAGCAATTCGCAATTGTTCCTCATTCGATATTTTCATTCATACACTTTATACATTCTCAAAGAAATAATTATTTATATACTTAACTAGCTTAAAAAATACATTCCACGTCTTCCAAAGGCTGCCAAAAATATTGGGAAAACTGTCGATATTTACAAAAGATTAGTTTAATTCAATACTTAATAAAAGATAGAGAGAGAGTCGAGATAATTTTTAATGCTTAGAGCGTTTCTTTAAACAAAACCACCACCGATTTTTCCCTTTTAATAACGAGAGAACACTGGTTAATCGCAGCCGATGGAAAAGATAGTTAAAAATGTGCACGAAAACGGCACGATTGGGCAACAATATCGTACACATTTTCATAAACTAAAACATAAAGCATATTCGCTATATCCTCCGCAAGACCGGCGCTTCCTCAATCGGCAGTATACAATGTAAAAGTGAGCAGCGTTGGGACGGATTCAATCGGAAGCTAACCGAATCATTGCGGATTATCGATTTTTCTTTACAACGTTCGAGTATTTATCGTTCGTTCGTTCGAACGAACGATCGAAGAGTATTGAGGCTAATAAAACAATAAAAAAAATAATAAAATAAAAAAACATTCGCAGTTTACGTGAGGTAGTCTGGACTCGGCTCCGCCATCGGCTCCGGAGTGGTGAACAGCGGATTAGGAAACTCCGGCGGATGCGGCAGCGGTCCCGTCGACTTCGGCCTGCGACGGTAGGCCATCAGCCAGCAGGACACCGCTATGGCGACGGCGACCAAGGCCAGCAGGGCAGTGATTATCAGCGCGATGATAAAGCCGATCATCGACACGCAAATGTCTTCCGAACGTTGAGCATTCGCCGCTGAATTATGGAAAAATACATTGGTAAGAAAAAAAAATTATTGTTGAAATTGATGACGAAATTGACTATGTCGTTGGCGATGTAATTGATTATGAAGTTAACGATAAACTTGATGCTGAAAGTGATGATAGAATTGAGGATTGACTGGTTCATTATTTGTACTTTCGCCATTAATTGAACGATCCTACTAATGGATGGAAGACTGTACTTACCAGTTTGCGAGTCGGGGTATTTTTCTTCTCGTTTTTCTAAAGTCAATATGGCATTCGATTCTATGGTGATTTCTTCTCTCAATTGTCCAGCTAGTAGTTCCCCGCCTAAGGCTAATTCGGTACCGTTTTCATCGTCGGAAGCTTCAACAGCTCTCTTCCTTCTACCGAAAGCGTTGTAACCTCGACAATTAACCTACCACACAAACGAATTCATTATAAATCAAAACCGAATCAAAAGGAGTATGCACACTTACGGGTTGGCATCGACCGAAGCACACCCTGATGTTGCACTGGAACCTGATGTTGTCGCTGCTGGGGAACTTGAAGGCGTTGAAACTGGCCAGTAAACTCTGCGTGTCCGGATTGTACTCCCATTCGCCGAATATGGTGGGATCGGTGGCGCAGCCGTTCTCGTCGGTGACGATGTACTCGTTCTCGACGTTGTCCTCCATCGTCTTGGCCACGCAACTCCTGGCGAAGCCGCCGTAGATCGAGCCCGGCTGGACGTCCACCTGCAGCATGAGATTATCGCCGATTTCCGCCGAGTTTATCTCCTCGCCGGTGGGCGTGACGATCTTCATGAGGCACGTGGGCGGCGGGCCGGTGTTCGCTATGGTGCCCGCCGTCGTCAACATCGACACGTTGAAGCCCAACGTGACGTTCTGCTCGCCGGTGTGGTACACGCACTTGATGTGGTACGCTTGCGCTTTGTACGTTACTAGTTTCGGGTGTTTCTGGATCACCAGCACGAAACTGGCTTCTCCCTGTTGCACAGAAAAATATATGTAAGTGGGTGAATGTTAGGTGGTGGTGGAGTTGATTTACGTTTACGTGAATTAATCCGCATTCGCCGAAATGTACTTTGAAGTATTCGATTCGTTCGCCGGTGTCGATGGACACGACTCGTCTGCATTTCTCGTCCTTGCTGTGGCCTTTCACGTACAGGATGCCGTTGAAGCCGATTTCGGAGAGGATTATTTCGACTTGTACGCCGTCCGATAGGCAATTGACCGTCAGCTCGGGTCGCGGGAAGTCCGTTTTGTAGTAAGTAGTTTGGTCTAGAAATTCGTGGATTTACACAATCGCGATTTAGTGAGTATATTAAAGAACTTACTGCATAGAATGTCGGCGTTTCCGACGTAACCGCTGATGCACTGGCACCGACCCAAATGATTGGTGGCGTTGCAGAAGGCGTTGACGCCGCAGTGCTTCAACGAGCAGGCGAGATCGCACGTCTTCGTGTTCTGGTTGCAGTACTTGTGATCGGGGCAGTCGTCGTCCCGCTGGCACTCCGGCCCGGCGTCCGGCACGCAATTGCCTCGGGCGTCGAAGTGGTAGCCGAATTCGATGGGGCAAATACAGTTGCCCCTCTCGTCGATGATGAGGCCCTTTTCCAGGGCGCACACGCAGCGACCGCGCTCGTCGATCTTCAGGCCCTTCTCCACCGGACAGGGGATGCACTCGTCGTTCTCGTTGAGCGCCAAGTGGGGCGCGCACGCGCATTTCCCGTCGGCCGTCAGGACGTAACCTCTGTCTATCGGGCATCTAGCGACTGGAAATTAATTCGATTAAAGTTTGTACTCGATTCGAGTATGATAGTTGTACTTACTTGGATCGCATTGTACGGCCGGGTTACCTTGATAGCCCGGTCTACAGATGCATATCATCGTTCTAACCGGTTTGGTGTCTATTACGTGACATTCCGCGTTGACTCCGCACGGTTTCGTGGTGTTGCAAGCATGCACGCACTCACCACCGATGCAGGCGTACTGCGAAGCACAATCCCAGTCCATCCTGCATTTCTCCTCTCTTCTGATACAACCAGTTTTACCGTCGCTAACGGTGCCCGGCGGGCAAATGCATTCAACCACGTGATTGTAAACCTGTTACAATTAACGCAATTACAATAAAAGTATTGGATTCACTTGGAAATTAACTTACTTTGCATTCGGCCAAGGCGTCGCAAGGATTCGCTACGGCGCAGGGTAATTCGCATCTGCTGTTGATGCACGCCCTGGTTCCAGGACAATCGGAGTCCACTCGACAGCCTACGATGTTACAGGACACTCTCGGGTTGCCCTTGAGGCCTGGCGGGCATTCGCAAACGGCTCGGTGATTGTAGCCGTAACACACCGCCTCGTCGCCGCAGGACGAACCGTCGGCGGCGCAAACGGGAACGCATTGCCTATAAAAATATATTTAATAACATTGAATAAATCTTCGTAGAGTGTGATATATACCTGTTGATGCACGTGTGATGGGTGGAACATTCGCTATCCGCTCTACAACCGATTCTCCTGCACTCCAATTCCGGATTACCGTCGAAGCCTTGCTTGCAAGTACAAATCGGCTTGTGGTCTTTAATCCTACATTCGGCGTTCGGTCCGCAGTTGCACGGGTTCCTGCAAATGCCGTTGAAACAAGCCTTGTTCGACGGGCAATCGCCGTCCGATATGCAAGCCGCCGTTATGGCGGTGACGGGATTGCACGTGCCGCTGCCCGAGCTGATGTAACCCGGCGGGCACACGCATATCATCGTTCTGACGGGCAAGGTTCCCACGACGCGGCATTCGGCCGGCCTGCGGCACGGCTCCAACGCCTCGCAGGGATTCCGGCACACGTTGTTCAAGCAGGCCAATCTCGACGGGCAATCGCCGTCCGTTCTACACTCCGGCTGCGGTTCGTGTTCGCAACTGACGTACGGGTTTCCTCTGAAACCCAGCGGACATCTGCATACGGCTAGATGGTTGTGAACGGTGCACTCGGCCCGAGGCGAGCACGGGTTGTCGTACACGCAGGGATTGATGCATTGCGCGTTGATGCACTGCCTGTCGCCCGGGCAATCGCCGTTCGACAGACAACCGATCGGCAAGCATCTGTCGGTGGGCACGCCCCTGTAGCCGCTGATGCACCGGCACTCGGCTCGGTTCTGGTAGACGAAGCATTCGGCGTTGATGCCGCAATCGTCGCGCACCAGGCACGGGTCCACGCAGTTGCCGTTGATGCACGCCTTGCCGAAGTCGCAATCGGAATCGGCGCGACAGCCGACGGCGTGACAGGCTATGTTCGGATTGCCTTCGTGTCCCTCGCGACAAGAGCACACCGCTCGGTGGTTCTGGACGTGGCAATTCGCGTTCGAACCGCAATCGCACGGTGACGTACACAATCTACAAAACGAAATATATCGGATGTTATAGATCCGGTTTTAACGAAAGCTTCGGCAAAACATTACCTGTTGATGCAAGCTTCCTTATCCGAGCAATCGTCGTCGCTGGTACAACCCGGTGGTATGGGTACAATAACAGCGTGGCACTCTCCGTTCTCGTCGGGCACCCATCCCTCCGGGCACGTGCAAGTCATAGTTCTGACGGGCGTGGTGTCGGCAACGGCGCATCGCGCCGTCGGATGACAGGGCGCCAGGACGCCGCACGGATCGACGCATCTCTCGGCGATGCAAGCCAACCGGCTGGGGCAATCGATGTCGAAGTTGCACTCCGCCTTGCCCTCGATGCGCCTCGGGCCGCAGTAGGACAACGGGTTGCCGTCGGGCAGGTTGGGCGGGCACAGGCAGCCGGCCACGTGGTTTTGCACGTAGCAAACGGCGTTGCTGGCGCACGGCGGATTCGCGATCGACGAGCACGGATCGACGCAGCGTCGGTCGATGCACGCCCTGTTCGACGGGCAATCGTTGTCGGCGCGACACTCGACGCGCTCGCACGCGACCAACGCGTTGCCTTCGAAGCCCGGATGACACCTGCAGGTGGGGCGGTGTCGCTGGCCGAAGCATTCGGCGTTGCGGGCGCACGGGTTGTTCAGCACGCACGGATTGAGGCACTGGCCGTTGTAGCATCGATGGTCGTCGGCGCATTCGTCGTCCGATCGGCATTCGAGCCGGACGCAGCCCAGCTGGGCGTCGGACGAGTAGCCCGGTCGGCAGGAGCAGGTCGGGTAGTGATCGATGACTTTGCATTCGGCGTTCGGGCCGCAGTTGCAGGGGCTCGCGCACAGGCGGTTGATGCACGATTCGGATTTCGGGCAGTCCGAGTTCGAGGAGCATCCGACGGTCGGACCGACGGCTGGAAAATTGGAAGATTCAAAAACTGTTAATTGACTGACAATTGGAAGAGGTCTATATTAAGAAATGGTCTGAGTAGAGAAATGGCTGTAAGAGTAAATAATAAAGTACTTACGAGCTATGCAGTCTACGGTCGGATTACCGTCGTATCCATCGGGACATCTGCAACTGGCCTGGTGATTTCTGACCGAACAGAAAGCCGTAGGAGCGCATTCGTTGTCGTATACGCAAGGATTCACGCATCTTTCGTTTCTGCACACTTTATCCAACGTGCATTCCTTATCTGCGTAACATTCGGGCGGTATAACTTCGATGATTCCTTTCGGTACATTCGTGCATTCGTAGCGCGCGTTACCGGTATAACCAGGCGCGCAGCTACACACAGCTTGGTGGTTCCTCGACAGGCATATGGCGTTCACGCCGCATCTGTCCACCCTGCAAGCGTCCAAGCAAGAACCGCCGATGCATTTCTCCCTGTCGTCGCACTCCGAATCGATCACGCATTGCGGTTTGATCTGCGACACGCGCACGCAACGACCCGAAGCGTCCACCATGGTCTCCGGCGGACATTGGCACAGGATCGTCCTCAAAGGCAACGTGTCTTGGATGATGCACTCCTGGTCTATGGAGCAAACGTTCTCGGTTGCGCAAGGATTCGCGCACCTGGCGTTGATGCAAGCGAACTGCGACGGGCATTCCGCGTCGATCCTGCAACCCGGCTCCGGCAGCATGCCCAAGCATTTGACGAACGGGTTGCCGGTGGTGCCGACGGGACAGGAGCATTTCGGCTGGTGTTGCAGCCCTCTGCAAGTGGCGCCCTCGGCGCACGTGTCTTCGTCGCAGACGGGCCTGCATACTCTGTTCAATCGATCGCAGGATTCGTGATCGGCGCAGTCCTCGTTGTAGTGGCATACGCCCGTTATGCAGGAGATGAGCGGGTCGCCTTGCGTGCCCGCAGGGCACCTGCATTGACCGATGTGCTTCTGCACCGAGCATTCGGCTCCTCTGCCGCAGGACAGCGAGTTGCACGGGTTCTGGCAGTATTCGTTTATGCACGTTTTGTCGTAAGGGCAATCGTCGTTCGATGTACATTCAGCTGTAAATACACGATTAGCATATCATACAAACGATTAGGTTTAAGCGAAACTTACGTTTGTAACAGACGATCTGCGGATTACCCAACCAACCTCTGGGACAGGAGCAAGTGGGTCGATGGAAGGTCGTCCGGCATTCGGCGTGCGATCCGCAGGGATCGGACAGTGCGCAGGGATCCTGGCAGCGTTGGTTTACGCACGACTTGTCGTTGGGGCATTCGGCGTCCGATTTGCATTCGGGTCGCGATTGCGGCGGCGCGTAGCACTTGTACGACGGATCGCCCAGCAAACCGGCCGGGCACTTGCAGGTCGCTCGGTGGTTGATCGGCGAGCATTCGGCGTTGGCTGCGCAAGGCGAACCGCCGATCGAGCACGGATTCGCGCATTGCCTGTTGACGCAAGTCTCGGTCGGCGAGCAATCGGAGTTGCTCTTGCAACCCGGTTGTTGTTGAGGTTCTAAACACAAGCAGAAAATCGTATCGTTTAGTACAGATTCAAATCGAGCGATGGATTTATATGATTAGTGTTGCTGTTTATGAGGTTAGGGATTAGAGGATTATAAATGCTTGCTGAAAATAAAATAAAACGATTAGATTGCGTCGTATTGGTTAAGAACTCACCTAATCTGCATTCGATATCGGCGTCTCCCACGTAACCGGGCAAACACATGCAAGACATGGTGCGCAACGGTAAGGTGTCGACGACCGTGCATTCCGTATTCTTACCGCAAGGGTGCGTTTCGTAGCAGGGATTCTTGCAAACGCCGCCGAAGCAGGCCAGTTTCTTGGGGCAATCGGCGTCCGCTTTGCATTCTGGTTGTTCTTCGATGGCTTCGATCTTGCAGGCGCTGAGCGGGTTGCCGGTGTAGCCGGGCGGACAGGAGCACTGCGGCCGGTGGTTGTAAACGGCGCAAAGGGCGCCGGCGCCGCAGTTGCACGGATCGTAGCAACGTTCGTTTTTGCACGCCAAATTGTAGGGGCATTCATCGTCGCCGGTGCATTCCGGTCGTTCGCATCTCACGTACGGATCTCCGCGGAAGTTGCTCGGACAGTGGCACCTCGCCTTGTGGTTGTAGTCGGCCCTGCATTGGGCGTTCAAGCCGCAGGAGACGAACAGGCAGGGATCCACGCATTCCTTGTTGACGCACGCCTGCGTCGGGGCGCATTCCGAATCGGAGCGACAGCCTATTTCGAAGCAAACGTGCTGCGCGTTGCCGGTGTAACCGTCCCTGCAAGTGCACACGGCCCTGTGCAGTTGCGGTCTACAATCGGCGTTTTGGCCGCACAGACCGGGTCTACAAGGATCGGAGCATCTGTTGTTGAAGCAAGCTTTGTCGTTGGTGCAATCGGAGTCCTGCGTACATTCCACTTTGGGTTTGGGACTGTCCGGTACGAAACATTGCACTTCGGGCGAGCCTACGTAGCCCGACGGGCACGTGCAGATCGCTTGGTGGTTCACCACTTGGCATAAGGCGTTGATACCGCACGCTCCTCTACAAGGATCTCTGCATTTCTGAGCGTAGCAGGCTTTATCGCGCGGACAGTCCTGGTTGATGATGCACTCGGGGTAGGTGCAAGTCGCCGCTCCGTTCACCGTGAGGCAGTGGCCGTTGCCGTTGCAAGGAGACGGGTGACAGGGGTCTCGGGGTTCCTCGGTCTTCGGCGGTTCCCTGCACAGCGTGAACGGATCGCCGACGAGCGGTTCGGGGCAACTGCACACCGGACTGTGGTTGATTACGTGGCAAATGGCCGCGAAACCGCAGACGCCCGGACAAGGATCCACGCATTTCTGGTTCAAGCAGGCCCGGTTCCGGTCGCAATCGGCGCTGATCGTACACTCCGGTCGGCAACCGCCTGCCGTCGGCGTTCCGAAGAACCCTGGTAGGCAGTCGCAGATCGCTGTGTTTCCGGATTTCTTGCATACAGTGTTTATTCCACACGGGCTGGGATTGCATGGGTCTCTAGGCGGTGGTTCTACGATTAAAAAAAAACTGCATTATACCTAAATATTCGTTTTGTAACAGTCTCTATTTTACCATCGTGGTAAAATTTTTAGCACATTAAACTTCGCTTGATGTGGCTGATGTTCAAAGCAAAATTGCCAATTTATTATTGTAAAAATGTTTATATTTAACGGGCAAATAAGACAGATCTCTTGGGATATTGATTTTAAACTAATTCGTTCGAGTTCTTCCGAAAGCTAATTTTTTCAATTAATATTAAAAAGACGGAGAATTTTGTCATGTTTATATATTTTTAAGATTATTTTATTCGTCATGTTTAATGCTCATTTATGTTTTTTTACCACATTTTATATATTTTATTAGATCAATGAAATTGATATTCATTACTGATAGGCAGTGAAAATTTTATTTAATTTCATATTTTATTTATGTATTTTAAATTAATCTGTATTACTGGTTGCATAACTAATAGTTGCGAGCGTACCTAACTTCAGATCTAACTGACTTTAGCTTATGAGGAATCCAGCTAAAAAACGCGAATAATCGAGAAACAACCTACCTATAACGGGCGTGCATAATCTAAAAGCGTCTCCCGTATACTTCTCGGGGCACGTACACACCGGCACGTGGTTGGTGGTGAAACATTCGGCGCCGACGCCGCAGGTGCCGGGACACGGATCCGAGCACTTGCTCCTGATGCAAGCCCTGTTCATCTGGCAGTCGGCGTTCGACAGGCACTCCGGCCTGCAGGCCTCGTACGGATTGCCGTGGTACTCCGGCAGGCACGTGCACACCGCGTACTTCCCTTCCGCGCGACAGATGGCGTTCGCGCCGCAAGGCGACGGCCTGCAAGGGTCCTCCGCCGGTCCTGGAGTCGGTCTCGGAGCTGCAAATGCAAACGTTAATATCTCGTAGATCGCAGGATAAATACCGATTGATTCAATTCAGACCGCAACATGATCGTTTCTATGTGTTTAACAAAAAAAAAAAGAAAGTTGCATTGACACAAATGTCACTCTTTCTTTTTCCTTTATAAGTGTCTAATGGAAGTTGTCTTTATCGCACCTATGTTGCGATCTGGAATGAAGCACAGTGTATGTGTACGACTAGATTGGTTAACTTTCGATGGAGCAAATCTTACTTGGCGGATGGCAGACGGCGAAGGGGTCTCCTTCGTAGCCGTCTGTACACACGCAGTTGGGTACGTGATTGACGACGAGACAGCGGGCGTTCAGTCCGCAGGACCCGGGACAGGGATCCTTGCATTTGTTGTTAATGCACGCCAGTTGTTTGGAGCAGTCGCCGTTCACGCGGCATTCGGGTCTACAGGCGGGCGGGGCGCCGACGTAGCCCGGTAGACAGGCGCACGTGGCGCTACCGGCGGGGGTTGGTTCACATTGAGCGTACAGGCCGCAAGGGGACGGAGCGCAAGGTCGTGGCGGTTCCGTTTTTTCGACAACTGTCAAGTACAAAATTGTATTAGGAGCTCGGCGGTCGGGGGATTCGGGGAACGTACCGATGGCGAGTTGGCATCGTATGAACGGATCGCCGCTGTACCGTTCGGGGCAGGTGCAAATGGGGTTGTGGTTCACCACTTGGCAGAGGGAATTGATGCCGCACGTTCCCGGACAGGGATCGATGCATTTTTGATTGACGCAAGCTTGGTTTAGAGCGCATTCGGAGCTCGAAACGCATTCAGGTCTACAAGCCGGAGGGGAACCGACGTAACCACGCAAGCAACTGCATATAGCCTGACCGTTAACATCCCTACATTGGCTGTTCGATCCGCAGGGCGACGGGTAACAAGGATTACTCGGCGGAGGTTCTAAATAAAAATCAATTTTTAATCGCACACTAATCGCGAAAACTACCACCCGCTACTTACTTTCTATTTTCGTACACAACACAAACGGATTTCCCGAGTAACCTTCCGGGCAATTGCAAGAAGGATAATGGTTGAATACGGCGCACTCGGCGTTCTGACCGCAAGTGCCGGGACAAGGATCGCGACACTTTCGATTTACGCAGGACTTGTCCCGCGGGCAATCCTGATTCACCAAACATTCGGGTCTGCATTCCTGGTAAGGATCGCCGCGGTATTCGGCGTAGCACTCGCATACGCCTTCGTTGCATTTCGCGTTGGCGCCGCAAGGATTCGGATAACAAGGATCCTTCGGTTCGGCTAAAAACAACCAACCAAAATTAAGCGTTTAGCGCTCCATTTTCATCTGTAGGCGATGGAGAACTTACGTTTAGGCGGCGGAAGGGGCGAGCAACTGGTAAAGGCGTCGCCGGTGTATCCGGCGGGGCATAAACAAATCGCGTTGTGGTTTTTCACCTCGCACAGGGCTCGTATACCGCAGGAACCGGGACAGGGGTCTTTGCATTTTTGATTGATGCACGCCAGGTTGCTCGGGCATTCCGAGTTCACCACGCATTCCGGCCGGCAATTCGGCGGGTTGCCGAGGTAACTCGGCAAGCAAGAGCAGGAAGCCAAGCCGTTGATGTCCCTGCATTGGCTGTTCGCGCCGCAAGGGGACGGTATACAGGGGTTCTTCGTTTCGGGGGCTTCTTTCGGAGGTGCTAAAATTACGGAATATGATCGTAGAGGTATATAAAGCTTTACATCGTTTATATTAGTACCTGGGGTGGGGTAGCATCTGGTGAAGGGATCGCCCGTGTGGCCTGGTTGACAGGCGCATATCGGATTGTGGTTAACAACGTTACATAATGTATTCAAACCGCACGTTCCGGGACAGGGATCGAGACATTTCTGGTTCAAGCAAGCTTTGTTTAGCGCGCATTCGGAGCTAACAGTACATTCGGGTCTACAATTCGGTGGACTGCCGGAATACTCCGGCAAACAAGAACAAACAGCTTGTTCGTTCACTTCTCTACATTGACTGTTAGGACCGCAAGGTGATGGTTGGCAAGGATTCGCTGGTGGTGGAGCTGAAATAGCAACGAATTAATCCCTCATAAGCCTCGCAAGTTTTACACAAACTTACGTTTCTCGATTATAACAACGCTACAGTACTTAAAGGGATCTCCGGTGTAACCGAACAAGCAAGTACAAGACGGTAAGTGGTTGATGACTTGGCAATCGGCGTTAAGTCCGCAAGTACCGGGACAAGGATCTCTGCATTTGTTGTTTATGCAAGCCTCGTTCGAAGGGCAATCGGAGTTGATCGAACATTCGGGTCGGCATCCTTCGTACGGGTTACCGATGTACTCCGGTATGCAAACGCACGATCCGGCCCCGTGTCGTTCCTTGCACACGGCGTTAGCGCCGCAAGGCGACGGGAAACACGGATTGATTTGCTCCGATGGTACCGGAGCCGATGGTACGCACCGTTCGAACGGATTGCCCGAATGGCCCAACGAGCAAACGCAGTTGGGCGTGTGCGAGACGACCCTGCATTCGGCGTTGATGCCGCAGATGCCGGGGCAAGGATCTTTGCATTTTTGGTTGACGCACGCCAGATGGTTGGCGCATTCGGTGTTACTGACGCACTCGGGCCGGCAGTTGGGCGGCGCGCCTTGATAATCGGGCAAGCAAGAGCACGACGGCGAGCCGTTGGAGTCCTTGCATTGGGCGTTCGGGCCGCACGGCGATGGGTAACAAGCATCCGCAGGTTTCCTATCGGGTTCTTCTCGGATCGGTAGACACCTGGTGAAGGGGTCTCCGCTGTATCGGTTCAAGCAGCTGCAAATCGGGTTGTGGTTGACCACTTGGCAGTTCGTGTTGATGCCGCACGTTCCGGGACAGGGATCGATGCATTTCTGGTTCACGCACGCCCTGTTAAGCGGACATTCCGTGCTGGAAATGCACTCCGGCCGGCAAGTGGGCGGCGAACCCACGTAACCCGGTACGCAGGAACACACCGCCTGGCTGTTGATCTCCCTGCATTGGCTGTTTGGTCCGCAAGGCGACGGGTGGCATGGATTTTTAGGCGCTTCCACTAAAATATTACCATCGTTAACGCGTTATCATGATACAATTAGAAATAACCCACCTGGAATCGGTTGACAGGATATAAAAGCGTTACCGGCGTAACCGTTTCTACAAGAACACGACGGAATGTGATTGATGACGGTACATTCCGCGTTTTGTCCGCAAGTACCGGGACAGGGATCCACGCATTTGTTCCTAACGCAAGCTCTATCTCTCGAACAATCGTTGTTCAAAACACATTCCGGCCGACAACCTTGATAAGGATTTCCTTGGTACTCGGGCAAGCACGTACATACACCCTGGTTGCATTCAGCGTTGGCGCCGCAAGGGCTCGGATTGCACGGGTTCTTTTCGACTTCGACCGGTACAGGTTTGGGATGGCAATTGGTGAACGGATCGCCCGTGTAGCCTTCCAGGCACGTGCAAACCGGTATGTGGTTGATGACGCTGCATTGAGCGAGTACGCCGCACGATCCCGGGCAAGGATCGCCGCATTTTTGGTTCATGCAAGCCAAATTGCTCGAGCATTCCGAGTTTATAACGCATTCCGGCCGGCAATTCGGCGGCGTTCCCACGTACGTTGCTACGCAAGAACAAGACGGTACTCCGTTGACGTTCTGGCAAATCGAATGGGGACCGCACGGGGACGGTACGCAAGGGTTCTGGATTTCCACGGGTTCCGGAGGCGGTGCTAAAAACCAACGTTTCTTCAGAACTAACTAACTAATTTATATGCAATCTTACGTGGTGTGGGGTAGCATCTGGAGAACGGATCTCCGTTGTAACCGGACTGGCAGCTACAGATAGGACTGTGATTGATGGTGGTGCATACGGCGTGTAGACCGCACGTTCCGGGACAAGGATCGACGCATTTTTGATTAGAGCAAGCCCTGTTTTGAGCGCATTCGGAGCTCACCGTACACTCGGGTCTACAATTCGGCGGACTGCCGGAATACTCCGGCAAACAAGAACAAACACCTTGCTTGTTCACTTCCCTACATTGGCTGTTCGGTCCGCACGGAGAAGGATGACACGGGTTAACTTCAATCGGCGCAACTACGAATAATTACCAAATATAGTACCGATAATATTTTAGTAGTAAACACTTACTTTCTCTAATTACCGAGCAGAAAACGAACGGATCTCCGGTGTAACCTTGCAAGCAATTGCACGATGGCAAATGATTGACGACTTGACACAAGGCGTTCTGACCGCACGTACCGGGACAAGGATTTTCGCATTTGTTCCTTACGCAAGCCTTGTCGTAGGGACAATCCGAGTTCAACACGCATTCGGGCCGGCACCCTTCGTACGGGTTACCGATATAATCCGGCAGGCAAGCGCAGGATCCGGCGTTGTTCAGTTCCCTGCACACGGCGTTGGCGCCGCAAGGCGACGGTACGCAAGGATTCGTAGTTTCCACAACAACCGGTCGAGGAGCGTCGCACCTTACGAATGGATTACCGACGAAGTTTTGGCTGCACACGCAATTGGGCGTGTGGCTGACCACTCTACATTCGGCGTTCGAGCCGCAGATGCCGGGACAAGGATCCTTGCATTTCTGGTTGATGCACGCCAGATGGTTGGCGCATTCGCTGTTACTAACGCACTCCGGCCGGCAATTCGGAGGCGATCCGATGAATTCCGGCAAGCAGGAACAGGACGGGGATTCGTTGATTTGTCTACATTGCGAATTCGGTCCGCAAGGCGACGGATTGCAAGGATCTCTAACTTCAATCGGTTCGACTAAAAATTGGGTTTTATTAAGTTTGTAACAAGGAGATTTCTTTGCGTTCTTACTAATGGGTGAGCATCTAGCGAAAGGATCTCCGGTGTGTCTAACAGCGCAGCTGCATATGGGATTGTGGTTGACGACTTGGCACAAGGCGTTCAAACCGCAAGCTCCAGCGCAAGGATCGATGCATTTCTGGTTGAGGCAAGCTCTATCCAAAGCGCATTCCGAGCTCGAAACGCACTCGGGCCGGCAAGTCGGCGGGGAGCCCCGGTAGCCTGGTACGCACGAACAAATCGCCTGTCCGTTGGATTCTTTACATTGGCTGTTCGGACCGCAGGGCGTCGGATTGCACGGGTGTTTCGGCAACTCCGCTAAAACAATCTCTCTCGATGAATTCGCCCCTAAATTTACCCTAACCAATTTACCTGGTACCGGCGTACACAGCACGAAAGCGTTCCCTCGGAAACCCTCGTTGCAAGTACAAGTAGGTATGTGATTGTAAACGGTACACGAGGCGTTCTCGCCGCAAGTACCGGGACAAGGATCCTTACATTTGTTGTTAACGCAAGCCAAATTCCTGTTGCAATCGGTATTCAACACGCACTCCGGCCTACATTCCCTGTAAGGATCCCCGTGATACTCGGGGTTGCATCTACAAACTCCTTCGATGCACAACGCGTTGGGTCCACAAGGCGCTTTGCAGGCGTCCACCTCCACGGGCACCACCTCCGGCGGTTTAATCACGCAATACGCGAACGGATCTCCGGTGTAACCTTCGGGGCACAGACAAACGGGCACGTGGTTGACGACGTTGCAAATTGCCAAAGCGCCGCACGCTCCGGCGCACGGGTCCCTGCAATTCAACTGCATGCACGCCAAGTCGCTGGGGCAATCGGCGTGGATGGTGCACTCGGGCTGGCAATTCGGCGGTGAACCTCGGAAGTTCTCCAGGCACGAGCACGACGGGAATCCGCCGGAGTCGCGACACCGGCTGTTCGGGCCGCAGGGCGAGGGCGCGCAAGGGTTTACTATAATCGCTACATCGGGCGGTGGAGCTGGTGAAAGTCGATTTAGAGTTACGCGGGTTAATTGAGGGGATGTTTGAGGTCTTACGAGGTACGTGGTAGCATCTGGTGAATGGATCTCCGGTGTGACCCGACTGGCAGCTACAAATCGGGCTGTGATTGATGACTTGGCAATTGGCGTTCAGGCCGCAAATTCCCGCGCAAGGATCTCGGCATTTTTGATTGATGCACGCTTTGTTTTGCGGACATTCGGAGCTCACCGTACATTCGGGTCTACAATTCGGGGGACTTCCTGTGTATTCCGGCAAACAGGAACACACAGCCTGTTCGTTCACTTCTCTACATTGGCTGTTCAAACCGCACGGGCTGGGATGGCAAGGGTTCAATTTTTCTTCGATAACTAAAATTTTACCGTTAATAATATTGTAGGAGTATACGTTATTAACGTTTCTTACTCGTTTGTACTACACCGCAATATTTGAAAGCGTCACCGGTGAAACCAGCGATGCAAATACAGGCCGGTAGATGGTTTATGACTTGGCATTCGGCGTTCAATCCGCACCTACCAGGACAAGGATCCTTGCACCTGTTGTTAATGCAAGCTTTATTTGAGGCACAATCGGAGTTTAACGAACACTCCGGTCTGCAACCCTCGTAAGGATTACCGATGAAATCGGGCAAACACGTGCAAGATCCGGCTCCGTTCTGTTCCCTACACTCTGCGTTTATACCGCAAGGCGACGGTATACAAGGAGTTCGAACCTCGACGGGGACAATTTCGATTTTAGCGCGACATTCCACGAACGGGTTGCCTTCGTAGTTGGAAAGACACACGCAGTTGGGCGTGTGGCTGACCACTCTACATTCGGCGTTGGAGCCGCAGATACCGGGACAAGGATCCTTGCATTTCTGGTTGATGCACGCCAAGTGATTGGCGCATTCCGAGTTACTAACGCATTCCGGCCGGCAATTCGGCGGGGTTCCTATAAATTCCGGCAAACAAGAACAAGACGGCGCATCGCCGATCTCCCTGCATTGGGCGTTGAGACCGCAAGGCGACGGTACGCAAGGCTGCTTCACCGCCACAGCTTCCTCTCCTAGTACACAAAACGTTTCGTAAACGCTCCTATAGAAACAGCTGTTGAAATAATTACTTATCGGGATGCATCGGGTGAAAGGATCGCCGGTCAGGCCGTGCCTGCAGCTGCATATCGGGTTGTGGTTGATAACCTGGCATAACGCGTTCAAGCCGCAGGTTCCGGGGCAAGGATCGATGCATTTCTGGTTCACGCAGGCCTCGTTTAGAGGGCATTCGGAGCTGGAGACGCATTCGGGCCGGCAGGCGGGCGGGGATCCCACGAAGCCCGGCACGCAGGAGCAAACGGCCTGCTCGTTGATCTCCCTGCAGCGGCTGTTCGGGCCGCAGGGCGTCGGGTTGCACGGGTTCTTCGGGGTTTTAGCTGCAACAAACGCGGCGGATTTACGGCTGAAGGGATTTATCGCGCGGGCGCGGTATTTACCTGGGACGGGCGTGCAGAGGACGAAGGCGTTTCCTTCGAAACCTTGCAAACAAGTACAGCTCGGTATGTGATTGATGACGGAGCATTCCGCGTTTTGTCCACATGTACCCGGACAGGGATCCACGCATTTGTTTCTGATGCAAGCTTTGTTTCTCGAACAATCGTTGTTGAGCACGCATTCGGGTCTGCAGCCCACGTAGGGATCACCGTGGTACTCCTCGATACAAACACAAATTCCGTTGTTGCAGCGAGCGTTCGCTCCGCAAGGCGACGGGTTGCAAGGATCTTCTATAATCGCCGGTTCGGGTGGTTTAGGTTGGCACGAGGCGAACGGATCGCCGGTGAAACCTTCGTTGCAAGTGCATATCGGCAGGTGATTGGTGACGGTGCAAACCGCCTGGAAGCCGCACGATCCGGGACAAGGATCCCTGCATTTCTGGTTGATGCAAGCCAAGTTACTCGAGCACTCCGAGTTGATCGTACATTCGGGTCTGCAATTCGGCGGGCTGCCGATGTAATCGGCGAGGCAGGAACACGACGGGGCGCCGCCGATGTCCCTGCATAGGGAATTGGGTCCGCAGGGCGACGGAACGCAGGGATTCGTCGGGATTATTACGTCAGGTTTAGGAGGAGGTAGGTGGTAGCATCTGGTGAACGGATCGCCAGTGTAGCCAGATTGGCAACCGCAAATCGGGCTGTGTTTGATGACCTGGCAATTGGCGTTGATGCCGCAAGTGCCCGGACAAGGGTCCGCGCATTTGCGATTTATACAAGCTTTATCGGATGGACATTCGGTACTTATAGTGCATTCAGGTCTACAACCCGGAGGACTTCCTATGTACTCCGGTAGACAAGAACACACGGCTTGTTCGTTCACTTCTTTACATTGACTGTTTGGACCGCAAGGCGACGGTTGGCAAGGATTAACGTGCTCGATTACAACTAAAAATAAGGAAGGAATGTATCGAAATAAAAAACGTACGCGATGAACGCGATCTTACTTTCTTCGACGATTCTACAATGTCTCCAAGGATCGCCCGTGTAACCGGTTAGACAATTACAAGACGCTAAGTGATTAACGATCTGGCAGATGGCGTTGTTTCCGCAGGCTCCCGGACAGGGATCCACGCATCTACTGTTCACGCACGCTTTGTTTGAAGGGCAATCGGAGTTGCGGGTGCACTCCGGCCTGCAACCGCCGTAAGGATCTCCAATGTAATCGGGCAGACATTTACAAGCGCCGGCTCCGTTCCTTTCAGTGCACTCCGCGTTAGCCCCGCAAGGCGACGGTAGACACGGAGTGGGTCGTTCGATGGGGAGTTGTACTAAAATAATCTATCGGTTAAACACGCGGTGTTCGGTAGAGGATTTTTACTTACTGATAGGTGAACAGGAGGAGAAGGAATCGCCGGTGTAACCGGGTAAACAGACGCAATTGGGAGTGTGGCTGACTACTCTGCATTCGGCGTTCGAGCCGCAGGTGCCAGGGCAAGGATCGGCGCATTTTCGATTGATGCAAGCCAGTTGATTGGAGCATTCGGTGTTGCTCACGCATTCCGGCCGGCAATTCGGCGGCGATCCGATGAATTCCGGCAGGCACGAACACGACGGGGAATCGTTGATGGGCCTGCATTGGGAATTCGGACCGCAGGGCGTCGGTTGGCAAGGATTTACAGTTACCACCGGTTCCGCTAAAAGTACGTTATTAATTACCAGCACAGGGTGTTATTACAGTTATCTTACGTATGGGTAAACATCGCACGAACGGATCTCCCGAATATTTATCTTGGCATCTACAAATCGGATTGTGGTTGACCACTTGGCAAAGGGAATTGATGCCGCAGGTTCCGGGACAGGGATCGATGCATTTCTGGTTGACGCACGCTCGATTAAGCGGACATTCCGTGCTGGTGACGCACTCCGGTCGACACGCGGGCGGGGAGCCCAAGAAACCCGGCACGCAAGAGCACACCGCTTGACCATTCACCTCTCTACATTGGCTGTTGGGACCGCAAGGCGTCGGGCTGCACGGGTGTTTAGGAGCCTCGTCTGCAAACCGCCGGGAATTAGCAACAAACTTCGCCATCGTATACGCACTCAACGATTTACCTGGTATTTTATTGCACAATACGAACGCGTTACCGGCGTATCCTCTAGTACAAGCGCATGTTGGTATGTGATTGATCACCGTGCACTCGGCGTTCTGGCCGCAAGTACCCGCGCACGGGTCCTTGCACTTGTTCCTGATGCACGTCCTGTCTCGCGGGCAATCCGAATTCAACACGCACTCCGGCCGACAGCCGTCGAAGTGATAGGGATCGCCCCGGTACTCCGGAAGGCAAGCGCACGTACCGTCCGAACACGCCGTATTCTTACCGCACGGCGACGGGTTGCATTTATCCACCGTCGCCGGTACGATTTTCTGCGGTACGCATTCGACGAACGCGTCGCCCGTGTACTTGGCCGGACATTCGCAGATGGGGGTGTGCGTTCGAACGGTGCATACGGCGGTTATACCGCAACTTCCCGGACACGGATCGACGCATCTCTGGTTGATGCAAGCTAAATTCGACGAGCAATCGGAGTTGACGGTGCATTCGGGTCGACAGTTGGGCGGCTGGCCTCGATAGTTCGGCAGGCAGACGCACACGGCTTGTTGCGCTACCGCTCTACATTCGGAATTCGCGCCGCAAGGGCTCGGATAGCACGGGTCTACTTGAACGGGTTGAACTGGTTCCGGTGGTGGAGCTAAAAACACGCAATTTTACGCAATTTTCTTCGCATATTTGCGCGAATACACTTACGGGGTACTGGGTAACACCTCAAGAACGGATCTCCTGTGTAACCTACAACGCAACTACAAATCGGGCTGTGGTTGATTACTTCGCATTTGGTGTTTAATCCGCACGATCCGGGACAAGGATCGCCGCATTTCTGGTTTATACAAGCCCTATTTCGCGCGCATTCTGACGATATGGTGCATTCGGGTCTGCAATTCGGCGGGCTTCCTATGTAAGAAACCAAACAAGAACACACCGCCTGTTTGTTCACCTCCTTACACTGACTATTCGGACCGCAAGGACTCGGCTGGCAAGGATTCTTACGCTCTTCAATTGGCTCTAATCGAATACACGAAGCGTTAATATCGCACACACCAACACTCAAACTCATCTTACTTTCAACGACGATAGTACAAAATCTGAACGGGTCCCCGTTGTAACCGGGCAGGCAAGTACAAGACGGCAGATGGTTGACCACTTGGCAAACGGCGTTCTGGCCGCACGTACCGGGACAGGGATCCCTGCACTTGGCTTGCATGCAAGCCCGGTGCGAGGGACAGTCGGAGTTGAGGACGCACTCCGGCCTGCATCCTTCGTAAGGATTGCCAACGTAGTCGGGCAAACAGGCGCATGAGCCGGCGCCGTTGCGCTCGGTACAAACGGCGTTAGGGCCGCAAGGACTCGGGCTACAAGGTCGCACTAGTTCCACTATCACGGCTGAAATTCACGACAATGGATTAGATCAAGCGACGGGGGGGTTAGTGGGTTTAATCGCGGTGCGTTCGAGATAAGACTTACGTGGTGGTGGGGCGCAATTGACGAAGGGATCGCCGACGTAGCCGGGCGAGCAAACGCAATTGGGCGAGTGGCTGATCGTCCTGCATTCGGCGTTGAAGCCGCACGCTCCGTCGCACGGATCCTTGCACTTTAGATTGATGCACGCCAAGTGACCGGCGCAGTCCGAGTTGCTGGTGCACTCGGGCCGGCAGTTCGGCGGGGCGCCGCGGTATTCGGGCAAGCACGAGCAAGAGGGAGCGCCGCCGGTTTCCTTGCATTGCGAATTCGGTCCGCAAGGCGAAGGATTGCAAGGATGCGGCTCTTCGACGGGTTCGATTCCTACGATTGAGTTTCACGTGTAAACAGTGATTATACGAAAAATTTAGGGGGCGGCTTACTTATGGGCAGGCATCTGATGAACGGGTCGCCGGTGTAGGATACTCGGCAACTGCAAATGGGGTTGTGGTTGACGACTTGGCAGAGGGAATTGATGCCGCAGGTGCCGGGGCACGGGTCGATGCATTTCTGGTTCACGCAGGCCTCGTTTAGAGGGCATTCGGAGCTGGAGACGCATTCGGGCCGGCAGGACGGAGGGGATCCTATGTATCCGGGTACGCACGAGCAAACCGCTTGGTTATTTATCTCCCTGCATTGGCTGTTGGGTCCGCAAGGCGACGGGGAACAAGGATTCACTATTTGAGGTGCTAAAAATTCGCGAAATTTAGAACGACATAGCGAGGTAGTTTGAATGGAATTTACCGGGCCTTTTCGAGCAAAGGACGAAGGCGTTGCCTTGATAGCCGACCGAGCAGCTGCAAATCGGTATGTGATTGATCACGCTGCATTCGGCGTTTTGGCCGCAAGTACCGGGACACGGATCGACGCATTTGTTCCTCAAGCAAGCCTTGTTTCTGCTGCAATCGTTGTTCAGAACGCATTCCGGTCTGCATTCTATGTATGGATCGCCTCGGTAGTCGTCGAGGCAAGTGCACAAACCGTTATCGCACCGCGCGTTAGGTCCGCAAGGCGATGGATTACACGGATCGATTTCCACCGGTTGTTCTGCAAGAATCTCTTTTTACAAAACGAACTTACACGCGGTGATTTCTCCACTTACTTTCCGGAGGTTTCAACTGGCAATAACTGAACGGATCGCCGGTGTAACCCTCAGGACAAGAGCAACTCGGCGTGTGGTTGATCACGTTGCAAACGGCCAAAGCGCCGCAGGATCCGGGACAAGGATCCTTGCATCTTTGGTTGATGCAAGCTAAGTTACTCGAGCATTCCGAGTTGATCGTACATTCCGGTCTACAATTCGGCGGGCTACCGATATAATTAGCCAAGCAAGAACAAGAAGGAGTGGTGCCTAGATCTTTGCACTGGCTGTTCGGACCGCAAGGCGACGGCACGCACGGGTTCCTAACGGGTTCCGGAATTTGAACGGCCGGTTGTGCTAGAACGAGATCTATTTAGCGCCGAATTAAGGGGATATCGGTGGGAATTCTTACGAGGTATTTCGTAGCATCGCATGAACGGGTCGCCGGTGAATCGCAAGACGCAGCTGCAAATGGGACTGTGATTGATCACGTGACAATCGGTGTTCAAACCGCAGGTTCCGGGGCAAGGATCCGAGCATTTCTGGTTGATGCAAGCCTTGTTTTGCGGACATTCCGCGCTCACCGTGCATTCGGGTCGACAGCCGGGCGGGCTACCGATGTAATTAGCCAAGCAAGAACATACTGCTTGTTGGTTGACTACCTTGCATTGGCTGTTAGGACCGCAGGGCGATGGATGGCAAGGATTCGAAGGTTTCTCTGTTACAGCTACAACGAGATAATTGTATCCGAACATTCGAATATTACGCACTACCTTTTACTTACGATCTACAATGAAAACGTGGCAGTATCTGAAAGGATCTCCCGTGTATCCTTCCAAACAGGTGCAGGATGGTAGATGATTGATGACTTGGCAGTTGGTGTTTTGTCCGCACGTTCCCGGACAGGGATCTTTACATTTGTTGTTTATGCAAGCCTCGTTAGAAGGACAATCGGAGTTCAATGAGCATTCGGGTCGGCACCCTTCGTACGGGTTACCGACGAAATCGGGCAAACAGCTGCACGAACCGGCGTTGTTGTGCTCGCGACATTGCGCGTTCGCTCCGCAAGGCGACGGCGAACACGGGCTGATTTTCTCCAGGATTTGCGGTACTAAAAACACGAAATATTAACACCGCATCCTCGAAAACGGTCCGGCGAAAACTTACGCTGTGGCGGCTGACAAAGAACGAACGGATTACCGACGAAATTGTTCACGCAAACGCAGTTGGGCGTGTGGCTGATGACCCTGCAATCGGCGTTTTGTCCGCATATTCCCGCGTCGCATGGATTCCTGCATTTCTGATTGATACAAGCCAGATGAGCCGGACATTCGGAGTTACTAACGCACTCCGGCCGGCAATTCGGCGGGGTTCCTACAAACTCCTGCAAGCACGAACAAGACGGGGAATCGTTGATTTCTCTACATTGCGAATTCGGTCCGCAAGGCGACGGATTGCAAGGATCTATTCGAACTAGTTCCACGACAGCCACCGGCACGCATCTGAGGAAAGGATCCCCGTCGTATCCATCGTTGCAGGAACATATCGGATTGTGGTTGACCGTGTGGCATTGCGTGTTCAAGCCGCAAGCACCGGGACATGGATCGACGCACTTTTGGTTGACGCAGGCCCGGTTCAAAGGACATTCGCTGGAACCGACGCACTCCGGTCGACAAGCGGGCGGGCTGCCTGTGAATCCCGGCACGCAAGAGCACACCGCTTGCCCGTTCACCTCCCTGCATCGGCTGTTCGAGCCGCAAGGAGTCGGCTGGCAGGGATTCTTCGGAACTTCCGGAGGAACGGGACTGCACGATATAAACGCGTTTCCTACAAATCCTTTGAGGCAAGTGCAAGTCGGTATGTGATTTATCACGCTGCATTCGGCGTTCTGGCCGCAGGTGTTGACGCAGGGATCGACACATTTCGAACGTAAGCAGGCTTTATCCTTCGGGCAATCGGTGTTCAAAACGCATTCGGGTCTACAACCGCGGTAGGGATCACCGTGGTAATCCTCTATGCAAGTACATAGTCCTTCGTTGCATCGGGCGTTGGCACCGCAAGGTGACGGATTGCAAGGATCCTCCACTACAGCCGGTGCTAAAAAATCGTTCCGGAATAACACCGATAAACTTACACCTCCGTAAAAACTTACTTATTACTTGTATTTGACAATAAGCGAACGGATCTCCGGTGTAGCCTTCGTTACAAGCGCACACGGGAGTGTGATTGTTCACGGTGCAAGTAGCCTGAACTCCGCATGATCCCGGACAAGGATCGGCGCATTTCTGTCTCATGCACGCCAGATTGCTGGCGCATTCGAAGTTGTTGGAACATTCCGGCCGGCAATTCGGCGGACTTCCCGTGTAATCGGGCAAGCACGAGCACGCGGGAAAACCGCCGGAATTGAGGCACACCGAATTCGGACCGCAGGGAGTCGGCACGCAGGGATCTCTGACCGGCGTGACCGGCACGTTCACCGGAGGAGCTACAAAAATTGATGCGTTACAGAAGACGATATAAGGTGAGGATTGAATTGTATTACGTGGTATGGGAAGACATCGCGCGAAAGGATCCCCGTTGTAGCCTCGTTTGCAACTGCAAATGGGGCTGTGATTGATGACTTGGCAATTGGCGTTCAAGCCGCAGGAACCGGGACAGGGATCCGAGCATTTTTGGTTGATGCAAGCCTTGTTTTGCGGACATTCCGCGCTCATCGAACATTCCGGCCGGCAAGCCGGCGGACTTCCGACATAATTCTGAAGGCACGAACACACAGCCTGATCGTTCACTTCCTTACATTGGCTGTAGGGACCGCAAGGCGAAGGCCGGCACGGGTTTCCGTTTACCTCAATCGTACTTTCCGTAGGTTGTACGTCGCAAAATTTGAACGCATCACCCGTGTAACCTTGCAAGCAATTGCACGAAGGCAAATGGTTGATGACTTGACACAAGGCGTTCTGGCCGCAAGTACCGGGACAAGGATCCTTGCATTTGTTGTTCACGCACGCCCTGTTCGGAGCGCAATCGGTGTTCAAGCTGCATTCGGGTCTGCAACCCTCGTACGGATTCCCGACGTAATCCGACGCGCAACTGCAAGATCCGGCGTTGTTCCTCACCCTACACTCGGCGTTCGCTCCGCAAGGCGACGGCACGCAAGGCGACACGTTCTCCGCGGGCCTTTCCACTACCGGATGGCACGATATGAACGCGTCTCCCGCGTAGCCGTTCTCGCAGACGCAAATGGGAGTGTGGCTGATCACCCTACATTCGGCGTTCGAGCCGCACATTCCGGCGCAAGGATCGGCGCATTTCCTATTGATGCAAGCCAATTGATTGGAGCATTCGCTGTTGCTGGTGCATTCCGGCCGGCAGTTCGGCGGGGCACCGAGGTAGCCCGGCAGGCAAGAGCAGGCCGGCGAGCCGTTGGCGTCTCTGCATTCGGAATTCAAGCCGCAGGGCGACGGTCTGCACGGGTCGATCGTCTCCACTGGTTCTGGAGCTGGTCGTATACGAATCGTTTGTTAGGTTACATAAGGGTAGTTGTTAGATGCTTACGTTTGGGGGTGCATCTGGTGAACGGGTCGCCTTCGAGATCGCCGGGACAGGCGCACACGGGATTGTGGTTGATGACTTGGCAGATGGCGCGTAGACCGCACGTTCCCGGGCAGGGATCGATGCATTTCTGGTTGACGCAAGCTTGGGTGAGGGAGCATTCCGAGCTGGATACGCATTCGGGTCTACAGACGGGCGGGCTGCCTATGTAACCCGGCAGACAAGAGCACACCCCTTGCGAATTAACTTCTCTGCATTGGCTGTTCGGACCGCAAGGTGACGGGTTACAGGGGTTCTTAATCGCGATGGCTACGGGTTAAAATACAAGTTACGATTATCGCCCGAAAGTGGATTAGGCAATTTACGTACGTTCTAAAATCCTGCAGGAAATAAACGCGTTTCCAGTGTACCCCGCGGGGCAACTGCACATGGGAATGTGGTGAACCACCTGGCACACGGCGGTAGACGAACAAGTACCGGCGCACGGATCGATGCATTTATTTCTACTGCACGATCGATCGCTGGGACAATCCTGGTTCAGTACGCATTCGGGTCGACAGCTCCTGTAGGGATCCCCGTGATATTCCGGGATACAAGCGCACTTTCCTTCGTTACAAACAGCGTTGGCTCCGCAAGGAGACGGCCTGCAAGGATCATCTTCCACGGCGGGCGCAACTTCGATCGGTTTGGGGTAACAGTTCCTGAAAGGATCGCCCGTCATCTCGACGGGACAGGTGCACACGGCATTGTGGTTGAATACGCTGCAGATGGCGTTCAATCCGCAGGAACCGGGACAGGGATCGGCGCATTTCATTCGCATGCAAGCCGAATTGCTGGGGCAATCGGCGTTTATCGTGCATTCGGGCCGGCAATTCGGCGGCATGCCCACGAACTCCGGCAGACAGGAGCACGAGGGCAGACCGTTGTGTTCGTGACATTGGGAATTAGGCCCGCACGGCGACGGAGCGCAAGGATTAACGCGTTCTACTACCGCTGGAACTAAAAGTGTACCGTACAAATAACAATCTTCCGCGCCTTAGCGGTACTTACTTTGCGGCTGGGGGTGACACCTGATGAAAGGATCGCCGGTGTAGCCGCCGCGGCAGCTACAAATCGGACTGTGGTTGGTAATGTGACAATCGGCGTTCAAGCCGCAGGTACCCGGGCAAGGATCGGCGCATTTCTGGTTCAAACAAGCCTTGTTCAAAGGACACTCCGAGCTCTGCAAACATTCGGGCCGGCAACCCGGCGGCGTGCCGACGAAGCTCGGCAAGCACGAGCACACCGCCTGCCGGTTGACTTCTTTACATTGGCTGTTCGCACCGCACGGCGACGGCCGGCAGGGATCCGTTATCACGGCAACTGGGAATAGACGAGCATTTGAGTTCGATTGAATCGCACGGGCGAGTTAGGCTAGGCTTACTTCGTGGAGGTTCTTCGAAGGGCGCGCAATAGGCGAACGGGTTGCCGGTGAACGCCGGCAGGCACACGCAGCTGGGCGAGTGGTTGACCACCTGGCAGAGGGCGTTCGAGCCGCATGCGCCGGGACACGGATCGACGCATTTGCTCGCCGCGCAGCTCCTGGTCGGCGGGCAGTCGGAGTTGCGGATGCACGCCGGCCTGCAGCCCTGGTAGGGGTCGCCGAGATGGTCGGGCAGGCAGGCGCAGGCGCCGGCGCCGCGGCGCGCCTCGCAGACGGCGTTGGCGCCGCACGGCGACGGCGAGCACGGGTCCGTTTGCTCCAGCGGGATGCTCACGGCTGGAATTTGGTTCGTTTGGGTTACAGCGATTTTCGGCGCGGGGTAGCGGGGCGAAGCTGTAAGCGGACCGGTTGCGCAGGGAGTTGGAATTTTAACCACCACGTAAACGTTATCTCGATGTCGGTTAATGAGATTGGCATTGGGGAATTTGCAGGGTGTATTTGCGTTTAAACTTAAACCAGGGTGTATACCAGGGAGATTTTGGTTTGATTTTTATATTAAGCATTTTTCCACCGCATTTCGTTAGGGATTGTAAAGCATTATTGTAATTCTGACCTTTTTGTAGAATTCGTTCGCAGGGGTTGTTTTTAGAGGGTTGTTGTTTCGTAAATAATTCAAGCACCAGGATTTTCGGGGACCAGGGGGGGTTAAGTTTTCGGGGCTTGTACGCTCTGTGAACCAACCTTTTGTTTATTTAAAGCTCCGGGTTATATTTTTGGGGTAAGTGGGGTTGTTTGTTTCGGCATTAAAAAAATAGCAGCGTGCTGATTTGCTCCAATCGAAAGCTCCTTTTGTTATCGTTGGGGGATGTAACCTTACCTTATCATTAAAATCCCCTTTTTTCTCGCAAACAAGCGTGAGTATTTACAGCCATGCATGCACGGAAGTTTCTACGAACCATTCCAAACGGTTCCGAACAGTTCCAAGCTGTTCCGAACCGTTCCTAACTTTTCCGAACAGTTCCAGAAACTTCCTTTATTATTGATATTCTCAAACCGACACCAGAGGATATTAAAGAAACAGTAATTTCAATTTTTTTTTTTCAAATCAAATTATTGTCATACGTCGATTTAATATTAACGTGTAAACGTTCTTACTTTCTTATTAAATCCTACGTTTACACAGTACGCTTAAAACCCGCAAAAATGAATTTTTTTCACAATTTCCAATTCGTTTACTGCTTCATTAACACCTCGTAAACCCCAAGAAAAAATCCTACCTGGTGTTGGCGAGCATCCTCTGAACGGGTCACCGGTGTATCCGGGCGAACAGCTGCAGGTCGGATTGTGATTGACGACGGCGCAGAGGGCGTTCGAGCCGCAACTGCCCGGACACGGATCGCGACACTTTTGATTCACGCACGCCAACGCGCTACCGCACTCCGGATTTATCGTACACTCGGGCCGGCAGTTGGGCGGCTGACCCACGTAATTGGGCGCGCACGAACAAGCCGGCGACTCGCCGCGTATCAGACAAGCGGAATTCGGACCGCACGGACTCGGATCGCACGGATTCACCGGCGGTTTCTTCTCTGAAAAAACCAAACATATGCACCAGTTAATTGTACCGAATAGCCTGAGTAGTAGAGGTGAAATAACTTACCGGTCGGTTCTGGGAAGCACCGCACGAACGGATCGCCGGCGTGGCCTCGTACGCAGCTGCATATCGGGTTGTGGTTGACGACTTGGCACAGGGCGTTGATGCCGCATGTGCCGGGGCACGGATCCACGCATTTCTGGTTCAAGCAGGCCTGCGTGAGCGGGCATTCGGCGCTGACGACGCATTCGGGCCGGCAGGACGGCGGCGAGCCGGTCAAACCCGGCTGGCAGGAGCACACGGCGACGCCGTTGTTCACTCGGCACACGCTGTTCGGGCCGCACGGGCTCGGCTGGCACGGATTGACGGGCGGCGCGATCTTCTTCGGGCGACAGGCGACGAAGGGATCGCCTTCGTGGCCCGCCGGACAGCCGCAGGTCGGTATGTGGTTGACGATATCGCAGACGGCGCCCTGTCCGCAGGTGCCCGGACACGGATCGACGCATCTAAGATTGCTGCAGGCCTTCCTCGGCGAGCAGTCCGAGTTCATGGTGCATTCCGGTCGGCAATTCAAGTAGGGATCTCCTTGGTACAGCGGCAGGCACGAGCAAACGCCTCGCTCGCACTTGGCGTTCTGGCCGCAGGGATTCGGATAACACGGGTCCTGCGGTATCGGCGTTTTGGGCGTTTCGATTCGCGCGCACTCGGAGAACGAGTCGCCGGTGTAGCCGGCCAGACAGCTGCAGATCGGTATGTGGTTTTGCACTCTGCATTCGGCGTTGAAGCCGCACGAGCCGGCGCACGGGTCGCGGCACTTCTCGGTGATGCAAGCCGCGTTCGACGGGCAATCGGTGTTGACGACGCACTCCGGCCGGCAATTCGGCGGCGCACCGACGTAGTTCGGCAGGCAGCCGCATACGGCTTGGTTGTTGATCTCTCTGCAATGCGAATTCGGGCCGCAGGGGTTCAGCAGACAGGGACTGTCGACGGGACGCGGCTTCGGCGGCGCCGGCGGTATTTCGCGGCACCTGGTGAACGGATCGCCGGTGAAGCCGGCCTTGCAGCTGCAAATCGGATTGTGGTTGATCACCAGGCAATTGGCGGCGATGCCGCACGCGCCGCTGCACGGATTCGCGCATTTGAACTTGTGACAGGCGCGGTCGTGCGGGCATTCCGAGCTGACGACGCATTCGGGCTTGCAATTCGGCGGCGAGCCGGTGTATTCGGGCAAGCACGAGCAAACCGGTTGGTCGTTGACCACGCGACATTGGCTGTACGGTCCGCACGGGGTAGGATCGCAAGGATTCTTCGGTTCCGGTCGAGGCTCTATTAAAAATATATCCATTAATAAATCTACTAAAATTAACGTTTGAAATCACTCACGTGGCGTCAACTGGCAGACGGTAAACGGATCGCCGGAGTAGCCTTCGATGCAATTGCACAGCGGCAGGTGATTCATTACGGAGCATTCGGCGTTCTGGCCGCAAATGCCCGGGCACGGATCGGCGCATTTATTTCTGATGCAGGCTCTGTTCGTGGGACAATCGGAGCTCAGCACGCACTCCGGCTTGCAGCCTTCGTACGGGTTACCGTAGTAATCTTGGATGCACACGCATGAACCGGCCCCGTTGCGCTGGCGACACTCCGCGTTAGAACCGCACGGCGACGGTTCGCACGGATTCGGCTTCTCCTCCGGCTTGGGAATGCATTGAACGAAGGGATTGCCGGTGTAACCCGAAGCGCAAGTACAGGAAACCGTGTGGGATATCACCGTACATTCCGCATCGGAACCACAACTTCCTGCAAAACGTACAATCATGTAGTCCATGATTTTTGTGTAGACGATTTAAGTATACTAACCTGGACATGGATCTTTGCACTTGTTGTTGATGCAAGCTTGAGAGCTTGGGCAATCCGGGTTAATGACGCATTCGGGTCGGCAGTTGGGCGGCGCGCCGACGTATCCCCGCACGCACGAGCAGGACGGGCTGTCGCCGGACACCCTGCAAACGCTGTTGGGTCCGCAGGGCGACGGCACGCACGGATCGGCGGTCGTCTTCGGTTTCTCCTCGACGATCACCCGGCAACTCTGGAACGGATCGCCGGTGTAGCCGTCCCTGCAGCTGCATATCGGGCTGTAGTTGCGCACCTCGCAGGCGGCGTTCAGGCCGCACGAGCCCGGACACGGATCGATGCACTTCTGGTTGACGCAGGCGCGTCGCGGCGGACACTCGGCGCTGACTATGCACTCCGGCCGGCAGGACGGCGGGCTGCCTTGGTACCCTTGGATGCACGAGCACACGGCGTGGTCGTCGATGTTCTTGCATTGGCTGTTCGGTCCGCAAGGCGACGGATTGCATGGGTCCGTCAGAGGATGCGGCGGTTGTTCGATGGCTCTGCAGTAGGTGAACGGGTCGCCGGTGAGCGTGTCGGGACAAGAACAAACCGGTATGTGGTTGATGACGTCGCATCTGGCGTTTTGACCGCACGTGCCGGGACAAGGATCTCGGCATTTCTGTCCGATGCAAGCCCTGTCTCTGGAACATTCCGTGCTGATGACGCATTCGGGTCGGCAGGATTCGTAAGGGTTTCCTCTGTATTCGGGTAGGCAAGTACAAATTCCGTTGTTGCATTGAGCGTTGGGTCCGCATGGCGATGGATTGCACGGATCCACCGGTCTGGGTCTCTCCGTTTCGATGGGAATCGGATCGCATTGGGTGAACGGATCGCCCGTGTGGCCTTCCAAGCACGTGCAAATCGGCAAATGGTTAATCACGTGGCATTGTCCGTTGTATCCGCACGAGCCGGGACAAGGATCCGTGCACTTTTGATTGATACAAGCGCTCTGTGATTCGCAATCGCTGTTCAGGATGCATTCCGGTCGGCAGTTCGGAGGTGATCCGAGGAAATCGGGTAGACACGAGCAAGTTGGACTGTCGCCTACGATTCTACATTGCGAATTCGGTCCGCAGGGCGTCGGGTGACAAGACGGCGGACGTTCCGTGGTCGATTCCTCGATAGCTGCAAATAAATTAATTGTATACAACTTTAAGTTGTACGAATAAATACATACGTTGCGGTGAACATCTCAAGAAGGGATCGCCGGTGTAGCCGGGCGGACAGGCGCAAATAGGATTGTGGTTCTTCGTGGTGCACTGGGCGCCCAATCCGCAGGTATTCGGACAAGGATCGGCGCACTTTTGGTTGACACAAGCCTTGTCCAACGAGCACTCCGAGCTGACGATGCACTCCGGCCGACAGCCGGGCGGGCTGCCCACGTAATTCGGCAAGCACGAGCACACGGCCTGCTTGTTCACCTCCCTGCATTGGCTGTTGGGGCCGCAGGGCGAGGGCGCGCACGGGCGCTCGTCCGCCCGCTCGACCGCCACCTCGCGGCATTGGAAGAAAGCGTCGCCGGTGAAGCCGGGCGGACACGAGCACGTCGGTATGTGATCGGAGACTTTGCATTCGGCCGATACGCCGCACGTGCCGGCGCACGGGTCCAGGCATTTGTAGCCGACGCAGGCCAGGTGCGATTTGCAATCGTCGTTGGTTTCGCACTCTCTGCGACAACCGTCGCTGTGGTACGGATCGCCGTGGAAGCCGGGCAGGCACGCGCAGGCGCCCGCGTTGTTTCGTTCTCGGCATTCAGCGTTAGGACCGCATGGTGATGGCGAGCATGGTGTAGGCGGCGGAGATCTTTCGGTTGCTGCAACAATTTACCAATTAATGTGAGGATACTCGTAATTGGTTGGAAGCAAAGACATTGTAACTAAGAGGTCGGTAAGTACGTGGGGCAACCGATCTCTCCCAGTCATTAGAAAATTTAAAACAGCATAACAATCTCCAAATATATGGTATTCATCATAGAAACATTTAGTCTCTTAGTTGTAATGTCTTTGGTTGGAAGTATATATGAAAAAGTGTTAGTAGATACAATAAAAAAATAATCCAGTTAGTTTTGTATACTAGTACTAGAAGTAGATAGAAAAAGAGGTCTTACTCAACGGAGGTAAAGTACAAGAGGTGCTAGGGTCTCCTTGGTATCCAGGCAGGCAAGAGCAAACGGGAGCGTGCGAGACAACCGTGCATTGGGCGTTTATACCGCAATGGCCTTGGCAGGGATTCGTGCATCTTTCGTTTCTGCACGCCAGATTATTGGGACATTCTAGGTCGTTTATGCATTCCGGGCGGCAATTGGGCGGGCGGCCGATAAAGTTGGGCAAGCACGAGCAAGCCGGTTGCTCGCCGGAGATTCTACATTGGGAATTCGGCCCGCACGGCGACGGCACGCAAGGGTTTTCGGGTTTCGCGGGAGGTACTAAAAGAGAAAAATACTCCTGATGAGGCTCGACGAGGATTAGTGTTAACACGAGTGTAACGTACGCTGTATTCTGGAGCAAACGGTGAAAGGGTCTCCCGTGTGGCCGGGGGAACACACGCAAATGGGATTGTGGGTGACGACCCTGCATTGGGCGTTCGAGCCGCAGGTGCCCGGACAGGGATCCACGCATTTCTGGTTAACGCAAGCCTTGTCTTGGGAGCATTCCGAGCTGCCGACGCACTCCGGCCGGCACATGGGCGGCGAACCGGCGTAGCCCTGTATGCAAGAACACACGGCGTGCCCGTTCACCTCCCTGCATTGGCTGTGCGGCCCGCAAGGGGACGGCTGGCAGGGTTCCGGACGTTCCTCGATCACTACGGGGGAAATCGCAATTAAGTAAGCCAACGAACAAATCGCCATCCGACTCGAGAGAATCTCACCGGGTTCGATCAGATTGCACCGGTATCCGGGATCGCCGGTGTAGCCGACGATGCAGGAACAGCTCGGCACGTGATTGATCACCCTGCATTCGGCGTTGATGCCGCAGGTGCCCGTGCACGGATCGATGCATTTGTTGTTGACGCAGGCCCTGCTGCGGTCGCAATCGGTGTTCGTGATGCACTCCGGCCGGCAGCCGGTGTAGGGATCGCCGTGGTATTCGGGCAGGCAGGAGCAGGAGCCGGCGCCGTGGCGTTCTTTGCACACGGCGTTGGCTCCGCAAGGGGACGGGTTGCAGGGGTTTCGGGGGGATTCTGTAACGGGCGCTGAAAGTGCAAAACGAGGGGTTAATTCTAAGCAGAATGGAGACGTCGAGATCTTACTGGGAGGTAGGAACGCGCAACCCTTGAAAGGATCGCCCGTGTAGCCTTCGGCGCACTGGCAGATCGGGGTGTGTTTGACGGTGGTGCACGTGGTGTAGGATCCGCAGGACCCTCGACACGGGTCCGTGCACTTTTCGTTTTGGCACGCTAGGTTTCCGGGACATTCGGCGTTTATGAGGCATTCGGGCCGGCAATTCGGCGCTCTGCCGATGTAGTTCGGCAGGCAAGAGCAAACCGGTTGGGAGTTAATTTGTCTACATTGCGAATTCGGACCGCAAGGTGTCGGAATGCAAGGATTACCGCTCGGTATTTCGATTTTTTCTAAAAAAGAAAAGAACAGATTGCATGCATATAGATAAAAGAAAAATAATACAAGTAAGTCTGCAATACAGTATTGAAGATATATAAGCATCAGTTAATTGCAAGAATATGTATGTATTATCTACTCGAATAATTAATAGTTACATCTTGCAAATAACTGATTTAAATACAATAGGAAATAAAGAGAAAGTAGTAGGTACTAAATTACATTACATCTACAATACGACAGAACAGACACAAAGCAACGAAACTGAAAGATATTCCATCAACCATATACGAATCCTTCAATTTCGCTACAACTAAACTACAAAAGAGGAAAACTAATCTTACTTTCTTCTAAGATACATCTAACGAAAGGATCTCCGGTATAGTCGGGAGGGCAACTACAAATCGGATTGTGGTTTATCACCTGACAGAGGCCGTTTATCCCGCAGGTGCCGGGACAGGGATCTTTGCATTTCTGGTTCAGGCACGCCTTGTTTTGGGCGCACTCCGAGCTCACCATGCACTCGGGCCGGCACGTGGGCGGCGTGCCCACGTAATTCGCCTGGCACGAGCACACGGCGTGCCCGTTGATTTCCCTGCATTCGCTGTAGGGACCGCAGGGCGAGGGCTGGCAAGGGAACCTCGGCAATTCGACTACAAAAGTTTTACAAACGTTTACAAACCACGTTCGCTCGATGGGTTAATTACGAGGTGCTTACTAGGTGGCGGTTGTCGGCAGGAGGTCAACGGGTTGCCGGTGAAGCCGGGCAAACAAGAGCAGGACGGCGAGTGATTGACCACGTGGCATTCGGCGTTTATTCCGCAAGTACCCGGACAGGGATCTTTGCATTTGTTGTTTACACAAGCCCTGTCGCTTTGGCAATCGGTGTTGGTGACGCATTCGGGTCTACAACCGGTATAAGGATCACCTAGATACTCCGGTAGACAAGCGCAAGATCCAGCTCCGTTGTGTTGCCTGCATTCCGCGTTGGCGCCGCAAGGCGACGGATTGCAGGGATTTCGAGGCTCTTCCGTCGGTCGTACAACTAAAATAACTACTTTTATACACACTGTACATCCTTTGTGACGATAATATTACTAGGTAGCGGGTGACAGCCGGTGAAAGGATCGCCGGTTTGGCCGATTTTGCAGCTACAAACGGGCCTGTGGTTGACGACGGTGCATTCGGTGTTCGAGCCGCACGACCCCGGACAGGGATCGATGCACTTCTCGTTTTGGCACGCCAAATTGCCCGAGCAATCGGCGTTGATGACGCATTCCGGCCGGCAGTTGGGCGAGCGGCCGACGTAGCCGACGAGGCACGAACACGCCGGGCTGTTGTTGACGTTCCTGCATTGGGAATTCGGGCCGCAGGGCGACGGTACGCACGGATCTTCCGGCGGATGTACGATGGGAGGTTCTGAGAGAAGCGTTCGATTCAATTCTCGTCGTTCGCACATCTCCGGACTTACTTACTTTCTTCCACTATGCACCTGGTGAAAGGATCTCCTACGTAACCCGAAGGACAACTACAGATGGGATTGTGGTTGATGACTTGACAGCGGGCGTTCAATCCGCACGTTCCGGGACAGGGGTCCTTGCATCTCTGGTTGATGCAAGTTTTGTCCGACGAACAATCGGCGCTAACCATACATTCGGGTCTACAAGTAGGCGGGGATCCGGTGCAATGTTCTTGGCAAGAACACACCGCGTGATTATTTACAACCCTACATTGACTGTAAGGTCCGCAAGGCGATGGATTACACGGTTCAATTCTCGGTACTTCAACTAAAAAAATCCTACGTTTTAAGAAAAGACACGCGTATGTACGAACATACGTACTCGGTGTTAAGTGACAAGAGGTCGTCGGGTTCCCAGTGTAACCATCCAAACAGAAACACGAAGGAGCGTGGTTGGCCACCACGCATTCGGCGTTAATCCCGCAAGTCCCCACGCAAGGATCCTTGCATTTACTCGCCAAACAAGCCTTGTTCCTCGGACAATCTATGTTCGTGACGCACTCCGGCCTGCAGCCGCTGTACGGATCCCCGACGTATTCCGGCAGACAGGCGCAGGAACCCGCGCCGTTTTGCTCCCTGCACACAGCGTTAGCGCCGCAAGGACTCGGACTGCAAGGAGTCCGCGTCTCTTCGATCACCTCGACGACGGGCGTACACCCGGCGAACGGATCGCCGGTGTATCCGGCGTCGCATCGGCAATTGGGCGAGTGGTTCACCGTCGTGCAAACGGCGTAGAACCCGCACGAACCGGCGCACGGGTCCTTGCACCTTTCGTTGATGCACGCCAGGTTGCCGGGGCATTCGGAGTTGATCGAACACTCCGGCCGACAGTTGGGCGATCTGCCCACGTAATTCGGCAGGCAAGAACAAACGGCCTGGGTTCCTATCGCCCGGCATTGGGAGTTGGGACCGCAGGGCGTCGGCACGCACGGCGTGCCGGTCGGTTCGGGTTCTAAAAACGATTCCGCCGGTGTTATTCGCGGTGTAATTTTTACGTTTTAGTGGTCGTCTTACTTTCTTCTTTGATGCACCTGACGAAGGGATCGCCGGTCAGACCGGCCGGGCAGCTGCAAATCGGGTTGTGGTTGACGACGTGACAGCGGGCGTTTAATCCGCACGTTCCGGGACAGGGATCGCGGCATTTCTGGTTGATGCAGGTCGCGTCTTGGTTGCAATCGGTGCTGACGACGCATTCCGGTCTACAGCGAGGCGGCGAACCGATGTGGTCCTTCAAGCAGGAACACACGGCGTGATCGTTCACGACGCGACATTGAGAGTTGGGGCCGCACGGTGAAGGCGTACAAGGTTCTAAGGGTGCCGGTCTCGGAGCTGCATAGGAAGAATTCACCGCGTGTATTCGAATCGAGTTAGTGTTAGTAGCGTCCTTACTTGGAGCCGGTTCGAAATGGCAACCTCTGAATGGATCTCCAACGTAACCCACGAGACAATAGCAATTGGGCAAGTGGTTGTTGACTTGGCATTCGGCGTTGATTCCGCAAGTACCCGGACACGGGTCCTTGCACTTGTTGTTCACGCACGACTTGTCCTTCGAGCAATCCGAATTGGTGACGCACTGCGGCCGGCAACCGGTGTAAGGGTCGCCGAAGTAGTCGGGCAAACAGGCGCAAGAACCAGCGCCATTCAGTTCTTTGCACAGGGCGTTGGCGCCGCACGGCGACGGGTTGCACGGGTGGGCGGGTTCCTCGATAATCGGCACGTCTAAAATACACGGCAGTAGTAACGCTGCGTACGGCGGCGAATCGGGCGAAACTTACATTCGTGGCATATGGAGAAGGGATCGCCGGTGAAGGAGCCGCCGCAATAACATTGCGGCGAGTGATTGACCACTCGACATTCGGCGTTGACGCCGCAACTTCCCGGACAAGGATCCACGCATCTTTGGTTGACGCAAGCTCGAGCCGACGGACATTGGCTGTTCACCGTACATTGAGGTCTACAATTCGGCGGTTGGCCGTAGTAATCGGGCAAACACGAGCAAACCGCTCGTTCGTTCGACACTCTACAATCGGAGTACAACCCGCAAGGAGTCGGTACGCAAGGATTCGTTATCACCGGTCGGGGAGGTTCTAAAATATTCAATCGTTACACATAGACCTATACAACGCAACGAGAGTCATCATTACTTTCTTCCTTGAAACACCGGCTGAAAGGATCTCCGGCGAAGTTTCTCGGACAGCTGCATATGGGACTGTGCAAGACGGTTTTGCAGAGCGCGTTAAAGCCGCAAGTGCCCGGACAAGGATCCACGCACCGCATGTTCACGCAGGCTCTATCCGAAGGACACTCGGAATTAACCATGCATTCGGGTCTACAAAGCGGCGGGGCATTTATGCAACCTTCCAAACAAGCACAAACGGGCAAATCGTTATGGACGCGACACGTACTGTACGCCCCGCAAGGCGATGGCACGCACGGATGGGACTTCCTGTGGTCCTCGATAACTAAAGGATATACAATCATTAGGCGGTTAATCGTTCGGAACTACAGCAGATGTAATCTGCTTGTTGCGGACTCTTACGTGGAGGTATGACATTGCAATGGACAAGAGCGTTGCCGGTGTAGCCTTGCAGGCAATAGCATTGCGGATTGTGATTGATCACGGTGCATTCGGCGTTGATGCCGCAGTTTCCGCTGCAGGGGTTCCGGCATTTCATGCCGAGGCAGGACTTATCGTGGGGACAATCGTTGTTGGAGACGCACTCCGGCCTACAGCCGGTGTACGGGTCTCCGTGGTAACCGGGCACGCAGGCGCAAGCGCCGGCGCCGTTCCGTTCGGTACAAACGGCGTTCGAGCCGCACGGGGAAGGATTACAAGGGTATCTCGGTTCCACTACGACTAGAAGAGAAAATAGATGAAAAATAGCGACAGCATAGTAGAGCGTCTACAAGACCGTACGGAGAGCTGAAAGATGGAGCGAATGTAGAAAGACATGCGACTTACCGGTTTCCGCGACGCAACCGGAGAACGGATCGCCTTCGAAGCCGGGCAGGCAGCTGCAGATCGGACGGTGATTGACGACGTTGCATTGGGCGTTGAAGCCGCAGGCACCCGTACAGGGGTCCTTGCACTTCTGGCCGACGCAGGCCAGGTTGAGCGGGCAATCCTGATCGATGAGGCACTCCGGTCGGCAGTTCGGCGGTAGACCGTACATGTCCGGTAGACAGGTGCACACTGCTCGGTTGTCGATGGTGCGACATTCGGCGTTAGGCCCGCACGGGGACGGTACGCAAGCGTTTATAGGCGGTTTCGGTTTGACTGGAACAAACAAAACATGTCACGAAACCTTCTGGAAACTATTAGTGGGTATTTGATGAGAGTTCTGGCGGTGATCTTAGGGAAACCTTCTGGTGAAATTTGCATGAACAAGAACTTTCTTCAGTTATGTGAGCAAGTAACTTAGCCCCAACTCTTAAACACCCCGAAATATTAGAGATTAAGAATGTGCAATTAGTGTTGCCTACACGTAGTTATCGTTTTTGTCGATGATAATTTGGGTCATTTGGTGAAATTTTGCAAATACTATAAATGATGAATCGTTTAGAAATTTCCACTTACCGATTATGGTGCATTGAACGAAGGGATCGCCGATGGAATTCGGCGGACAGCTACAAATCGGGTTGTGATTGTGCACTTGACATCTGGCCGCGATGCCGCAGGTGCCTTGGCACGGGTCCTGGCACTTCTGGTTGATGCAAGCCTTGTCCAACGAGCACTCCGACGTGACCAAGCACTCCGGCCGGCACGCGGGCGGCGCACCGAAGTACCCGATCTGGCAGGAGCATACGGCCTGTTCGTTTCGCACGCGGCACACCGAATTGGCGCCGCACGGCGACGGTTCGCACGGATCGACCGGTTGCAGCGGTTGCGCGCGACACGCCGTGAACGGATCTCCGATCAGACCGCGACCGCACACGCACACCGGCACGTGGTTGACCACGCTACATTCGGCGTTCAAGCCGCAGAGACCTCGACAGGGATCCCGGCAGTGCTGCGACAGACAGGCCAAGTGGCTGGCGCATTCGGAGTTCATCGTGCATTCGGGTCTGCAACCGCCCACGTACGGGTTGCCCACGTAGGGAGGGATGCACGTGCACCTGGCCAAGCCGTCTTGCACGGTACATTGGGAGTTTTCGGCGCACGGAGATGGATTACAGGGATCGATCGGTCGGATTATAATCGGCGTTTTGGTGCAACCGATGAAAGCGTCGCCTTCGAAGCCGGTTTTGCAGCTGCAGAACGGATTGTGGTTGATGACATCGCATTTGGCGTTTCTACCGCACAATTCGATGCAAGGATCGACGCATTTCTCTCTGACGCAAGCCTTATCTCGCGGGCATTCCTGGCTCATGGTGCACTCGGGTCGACAGAACGGCGGGCTGCCTACGTAGTCGGCCCTGCACGAACAAACCGGCCGGTTTTCCTTCACGTGACAAATGGAATTCGGACCGCAAGGCGACGGATCGCACGGGTTCGCGTGCGGCCGCTTCGGCTCCTCGGTCACCGGCGGCGTGTAACAGCCCAAAAACGGATCGCCCTGTTGCCCCGGCGGGCAGCTACAAATCGGATTGTGGTTGACGACGGTGCAGAGCGCGCCGGCGCCGCAGGTGCCAGCGCACGGATCCACGCACTTCCGGTTGACGCACGCTTCGGTTTGCCGGCACTCCGACGTGACGACGCACTGCGGCTTGCAAATCGGCGGCACGCCCGCGTAGTCCGGCAGGCACGAGCAGGTGGCGAAGCCCTGGCGCGACACCAGGCACCGGCTGAACGGGCCGCACGGCGACGGATCGCACGGATTCGGGCCGGGCTGCGGGCGCGCGTACTCGTAGCAGCTGACGAACGGATCGCCGGCCAGGCCGGCCGGGCACGAGCAGATCGGTATGTGGTTGCGGACGTCGCAGCGGGCGCCGACGCCGCAGACGCCGGCGCACGGATCGACGCACTTGTTGTTGATGCAGGCCTTGTTCAGGAGACAGTCGGGGTTGACGACGCATTCGGGCCGGCAGGCGATCAACGGGTTGCCGTAGAAACCCGGCTTGCACGCGCAAGTCAAGGCGTTTTTGGCGCGTTTGCATTCGGCGTTTTCGCCGCACGGGATCGACTGGCACGTCGTCTCTTCGATTACCGGACCTACAAATAACATAACATTAGATATGCAAGTTTATCGAGTAAAGTTAAATCGTTTACCTATTGGTATTGAACAGTGTTGGAACGGATCGCCGACCAAACCATCGGGACAGTGACAAATCGGCGTGTGTTGGATGACGGAGCACAAAGCGTTTACGCCGCAACTTCCCGGACACGGATCGATGCAAGAGTTTCCTAAGCAGGCCGTGTTGAACGGGCAATCGGCGTTCGTTAAGCATTCCGGTCGACATTGCGGGTTCCACGGCGCCTCGGGTCCCAAACACGGATCGCAAACGGCTATTTCAGTACCGTATACGCTGCATTCCATATCGCCGCACGGCGACGGTACGCACGGCAGCACCGTTACGTTAGGATAGCTCGGTATATTCACAGCGGGCGTGGGGATGCATTGGAAGAACGGATCGCCCATGCAATTCTCCGGACACACGCAAGTGGCCGTGTGGTCTCTTACTTGACACAAGGCGTTGACGCCGCATAGATTACCAGTAGCGCAAGGATCCAAACAGTGTCGGTTTAGGCAAGCTTTGTTAATTGGACAATCAGAATTCAACACGCATTCGGGCACGCAACCCAATTGCGGATCGCCTTGGAAATCGGGCAAGCACGAACAAATCGCTCTACCGTTCGCGTTCTGGCAGATGGTGTTTATACCGCAAGGACTCGGATAGCAGGCGTCTCCTTCGGGCGCCGGTACAGGCAACGCGAAACATCTTATAACAGGATTTCCTATGAAACCGTACAAACAGGAACACACCGGATGGTGCCTTTCGACTTTACAGTGCGCGTTCGCTCCGCACGATCCCGGACAGGGATCCTTGCACCGATAACCGATGCACGCTTGATTATCCCGGCAATTTTCGTCGACGACGCATTCGTAACCGTGGCAACCGCCGGGTCCCGCCGGATCGCCTCCGTAGCCTTCGGGACATTGGCACAGCGGTTGTCCGTCGGGCGATACGACGCAATGCGCTCCAGGACCGCAAGGATTCGGCGAGCAAGGCGTCGCCGGTTGCAATCTACATCCGGTATAAGCGTCCCCGACGTATCCCGAGCGACAGAAACACCGCTCCTCGTTGTCGGCGACGTAGCAATCGGCGTTGGCGCCGCACGGACCCGGACTGCACAGCAACGTGATCTTGTGCTCGGCGCAATGCCTGAAGGGATTGCCGCCGGTGCCCGGCGGACAGAAGCAGATCGGTTCGCGAAGGGGATCGCATCGGGCGCCCAGACCGCAAGGATTCGGTTCGCACGGGTTCCTCGCCTCGACGCAACCGCGGATCGTGTTGGGGCTCTCGAGGAAGCCGGGCAGGCACGTGCACTTGGCGAAGCCGTTCGCCAGCACGGCGCACTGGGTGTTCGGGCCGCAGGGCGACGGCTCGCAGGGATGGGCGGGCAGCGAGCAGGGCACGTGCGGCGGCGTTCCTTCGTATTCCGGCAGGCAGAAGCAAACCGCGTTGCCTCCGACTACTCGACAACCGGAATTCGGTCCGCACGGATTCGGCGAGCATTCGTCTCCTTCGGGTACTGGAATAATACAAAGCTGTAGTAATCTAGAAAGGGTGTGTGTTAAGGATCTAGTAATACTAACTGCAATTTTTGAATGGGTTCCCGGTGAGTCCTTTGGGACAGAAACATATGGGATTGCCGTTGTCGAGTTCGCAGAGGGCGTTGACGCCGCACGGGTTCGGCTCGCAGGGACTCCCCGACGGGCGGCATTCGATCGTAGCGTCGCCTCGGTAGCCGGGCGGGCATTTGCAGGTCGGCACGTGGTAGATGACGTCGCAGACGGCGTTGGCGCCGCACTTGCAGGGCGACGCGCAGGCGCCGTTGATGCAGGCCTCGTACGAGGCGCACTCGCCGTCGCCGCGGCAGCCCGTCACGGCGTAGCATTCGGTGTAGGGATTGCCCGAATCGTAGCCCGGCAGGCAGCGGCATTCGATGCCGTGGTTGACGGGCACGCATTCGGCGTTCTCGCCGCACGAGTCCTCCGAGCAGGGGTTGATGCAGAGCCGGTTCAGGCGATCGCAGAGCTTGTTCGGCGGACAGTCTTCGTTGTATTGGCACACTTGCTTGGCAGGCGCTGGAAATCTTACGGTATCATCACGAGCATCGCGCGAATTTACAGCGGCTTACCTGGCTGGCATTCGACGAAGCCGTTGCCGGCGAAGCCTTCGATGCAGCTGCAGTCGCATCCGTGGTTCGCGTTGATGCAGAGGGCGTTCGCGGCGCAGGGGTTCCTAAAGTCGCAGGGTTTCTGGCAGGCGCCGTCTATGCAGGCGTCGCTGATCGGGCATTCATCGTCGCTCGAGCAACCGGCTGAACGTGAGAGAGTGCAAAGAGAAACAACAGTGAAAGATAGGAAGAACTACGATCGCTTTGTACATAATAATAGTATTCGACTACTGTAGGAGTTTATCTACAATTTATACACGATTTATTCACAACGATTCGGCCGACGGATTCTCGCTGGTGTTGTTAATATGTATATAAAGCGAAGAATCCGATCGTCCGTTCGGTAATTATCGATTAATTCATTAATAAATTTAGTCGCGCGATAAATGATGTGGGTGGTGGTTATCTTACTTGCGGATGATTTGTAGCAATTAGTGGCGGGATTTCCCTCGTAACCCGCTGGGCACATACAAATGGGCCTGTGCATTTTGGTCTGGCATCGAGCTGTTCGAGCACAGGCTCGCGTAAAATGGCAGGGATCGCGGCATTCCGACATGTAACAAGCCTCGGAATCGAGACAGTCCGTGTCTGACTTGCATGATTTCGGAGCGTTCGGTCGTTCTGTTATAAAGTTAGATAATGTATTAGATCATTAGTGAGAGGTGGTATTTACAGGGGATTCTGTACACCGGGTGGTTATAAATTCATCAAATAGGGTAGATACCTCCCCATTTATAAATCACCCGGTACAGTAGTATATACAAAAAAAAATCAACACGATTAATCTAACAAATCTACTTCGACTAACCCTAAACCAAAAAAAAAATAAAAACATTACTAATTAAAAAGCATGCATTAATAATCATTAATCGAATTAAGTGCAAAATTCAAATTAAACAACTTTCAAAATATTTATATACAAGAATCGCTATATAGTGTTTTTGTTGTATGTAGTTCTCGTTTATACCTTTGTAGCACATCCTGGTGGGATCTCCGATATAGCCGGTAGGACAAGAGCACGAGGCCGTGCGATTGAGGGCCGTGCACAGCGCGTTCGGGGCGCAGGCACCTCCTAGTGAGCACACGTGCAGGCACCTTTTGCCTTTACATACCTCTACCTCCGAGCAATCGATGTTCTCGCAACATTCGCCCGGCTGCGCGGTGATGTTGTTTATAGAGATTGAAGGTAAGGTGGTGCCGATGTCGGCGGGTTCTGTGGTGATATCGAAATCGCCTTCTCTACTTTCGATTGTCGTTTCGTTTTCTGGGGTTAAAGTGGTGGGGTATTCGGTAGTCGGGTAAGTGCTTTCTTTTGAAGGTGGTTGAGTTGGTAATTCGGTGGAGGTTGGTGGATTTGTGGTGCTTTGTTCTTCTGAGGTACTGGAAGTTTCTGATCCAGTAACAGTTTCTATTTTTTCTGTAGTTCCTTCAGCAGTAATTGAAGTAGTAGATTCAAACAAAGTACTTTGTACTTCTGAGGTACTGGAAGTTTCTGATTCAGTAACAGTGCCCATTTTTTCTGTAGTTGCTTCAGCACTAGTTGACGTGGTAGATTCGAAAGCAGTACTTTGTAATTCTGAGGTACTGGTAGTTTCTGATTCAGTAACAGTGCCTATTTTTTCTGTAGTTCCTTCAGCAATAGTTAATGTAGTAGATTCGAATGCAGTACTTTTTGCTTCTAAGGTACTAGAAGTTTCTGATTCAGTAATAGTTTCTATTTTTTCTGTAGTTGCTTCAGCACTAGTTGACGTGGTAGATTCGAAAGCAGTACTTTGTAATTCTGAGGTACTGGTAGTTTCTGATTCAGTAACAGTGCCTATTTTTTCTGTAGTTCCTTCAGCAATAGTTAATGTAGTAGATTCGAATGCAGTACTTTGTGCTTCTGAGGTACTGGAAGTTTCTGATTCAGTAACAGTGCCTATTTTTTCTGAAGTTGCTTCAGCAGTAGTTGACGTAGTAGATTCATAAACTGTACTTTGTACTTCTGTAGTACTAGAGGTTTCTAATGGAGTGGCAGTAGATGCTTCGGTTGAAACTGGGGTACTAGATTCAGTAGTTTGTGAGGTTTCTTGTTCTTCTGTGGTTATTTCAGTAGAAATTGAAGTTGGAATGTAAGTAGATGTTTCTTCAGTTCGTTGTTCGGTAGTACTTTTCGGTACAAATTCAGTTGTAATTAATTGCTTGGTAGTGGATTCGAATGTGGCAGTTTCTGCAGTAGCAGTAGGTGTAGTAACTTCAGAGATTCTTGTGGTTCCTGCGGTTGGTTCGGTTGTGTTTTGAATTAACGATTCTGTTGGTAATTGTTGTTTTGTAATCGGGACCATTGTCATTTCTTCAGTGGGACTTTGGGTACTATATTCAGTAGTAGCTTCTGATTTAGTAGAAGTTTCTGTCATTAATTTAGTTGTGTTTTCAGTTGATTCGTCCGTAACTTTCTCTGTACTAAATTCTGTGGTTCCAGTTGCTTTATATTCAGTAGAACTTTCCCTCATTACTTCGGTTGTTTTTTCAGTAAATTCTGTTGTCGTTTGTGTTACTCCTTCAGTAACTTTCTGAGTGCTATATTCAGTAGTTTCTGTACTTTTATACTCTGTAGTAAGTCCTGGTTCAGTAGAAGTTTCTGTCATTAATTCAGTTGTCTTTTCAGTCGATATTTCAGTAGAATATTGTTCTGTTGTAGGCATAAGAGTTGTAATTTCTTCAGTAACATTTCGAGTACTGAACTCTGTAGTTTTTGTCATAACCGATTCGGTAATAAGTCCGGCGTCAGTAGAACCTTCTGTTATTAGTCGAGTTGTTTGTTCAGTTATTCCTTCAGTAGAATATTGTCTGGTAGTAGGTACAAAAGTTGTTGTTTCTTCGGTAATTTTCTGACTAGTAAATTCAGTAGTTCCTACTGTTTTATGTTCAGTAGTAAGTCCTGTTTCAGTAGTACCTTCTGTCATTAGTTCAGTTGTCTTTTCGGTTAATTCAGTTGTCTGTTCAGTGAGTCCTTGAGTAGAATATTTTCTAGTAATAGGTACAAAAGTTGTTGTTTCTTCAGTAAGTGTCTGACTAGTAAATTTAGTAGTTCCTGTTGTATATTCAGTACTAAGTCCTGGTTCAGTAGAACCTTCTGTCAGTAATTCAGTTGTCTGTTCAGTTAATCCTTCAGTAGAATATTGTCTAGTAATAGGTACAAAAGTTGTTGTTTCTTCAGGAACTTTCTGACTAGTAAATTCAGTAGTTCCTGCTGTTTTATATTCAGTACTTAGTCCTGGTTCAGTAGTACCTTCTGTCATTAATTGAGTTGTCTTTTCAGTGAATTCAGTTTTTTCAGTCAGTCCTTCAGTAGAATATTGTCTGGTAGTAGGTACAAAAGTTGTTGTTTCTTCGGTAACTTTCTGACTAGTAAATTCAGTAGTTCCTGCTGTTTTATATTCAGTAGTAAGTCCTGGTTCAGTAGTACCTTCTGTCAGTAATTCTGTTGTCTGTTCAGTTAGTCCTTCAGTAGAATATTGTCTAGTACTAGGTACAAAAGTTGTTGTTTCTTCGGTAATTTTCTGACTAGTAAATTCAGTAGTTCCTACTGTTTTATGTTCAGTAGTAAGTCCTGTTTCAGTAGTACCTTCTGTCATTAGTTCAGTTGTCTTTTCGGTTAATTCAGTTGTCTGTTCAGTGAGTCCTTGAGTAGAATATTTTCTAGTAATAGGTACAAAAGTTGTTGTTTCTTCAGTAAGTGTCTGACTAGTAAATTTAGTAGTTCCTGTTGTATATTCAGTACTAAGTCCTGGTTCAGTAGAACCTTCTGTCAGTAATTCAGTTGTCTGTTCAGTTAATCCTTCAGTAGAATATTGTCTAGTAATAGGTACAAAAGTTGTTGTTTCTTCAGGAACTTTCTGACTAGTAAATTCAGTAGTTCCTGCTGTTTTATATTCAGTACTTAGTCCTGGTTCAGTAGTACCCTCTGTCATTAATTGAGTTGTCTTTTCAGTGAATTCAGTTTTTTCAGTCAGTCCTTCAGTAGAATATTGTCTGGTAGTAGGTACAAAAGTTGTTGTTTCTTCGGTAACTTTCTGACTCGTAAATTCAGTAGTTCCTGCTGTTTTATATTCAGTAGTAAGTTCTGGTTCAGTAGTACCTTCTGTCAGTAATTCTGTTGTCTGTTCAGTTAGTCCTTCAGTAGAATATTGTCTAGTACTAGGTACAAAAGTTGTTGTTTCTTCGGTAACTTTCTGACTAGTAAATTCAGTAGTTCCTGCTGTTTTATATTCAGTAGTAAATCCTGCTTCAGTAGAACCTTCTGTTGTTAATTCAGACGTTATTTCAGTAAATCCTTCGGTAGACAGTTGTTCTGTTGTTGGTACTAGAGTTGTACTTTCTTTAGTAATTTTTTGAGTACTAATTTCAGATGTTTCCGTGGTAACAGCTTCTGTAACAATTCCTCCTTCAGTAGAACCTTCTGTTGTTATTTCAGTCGTTATTTCAGTGAATCCTTCGGTAGACTGTTGTTCTGTTGTTGGTACTAGAGTTGTAATTTCTTCAGTAACTTTCTGAGTCCTAAATTCAGGTATTCCTGTGGTTACAGCTTCTGTAACAATTCCTCCTTCAGTAGAACCTTCTGTTGTTAATTCAGTAACTTTCTGAGTCCTAAATTCAGGTATTCCTGTGGTTACAGCTTCTGTAACAATTCCTCCTTCAGTAGAACCTTCTGTTGTTAATTCAGTCGTTATTTCAGTGAATCCTTCGGTAGACTGTTGTTCTGTTGTTGGTACTAGAGTTGTAATTTCTTCAGTAACTTTCTGAGTCCTAAATTCAGGTATTCCTGTGGTTACAGCTTCTGTAACAATTCCTCCTTCAGTAGAACCTTCTGTTGTTAATTCAGTAACTTTCTGAGTCCTAAATTCAGGTATTCCTGTGGTTACAGCTTCTGTAACAATTCCTCCTTCAGTAGAACCTTCTGTTGTTAATTCAGTCGTTATTTCAGTAAATCCTTCGGTAGACTGTTGTTCTGTTGTTGGTACTAGAGTTGTAATTTCTTCAGTAACTTTCTGAGTACTAAATGCAGGTGTTCCTGTTGTTACAGTTTCTGTAACAGTTCCTCCTTCAGTAGAACTTTCTGTCGTTAATTCAGTTATTTCAGTTATTCCTTCTGTAGAATATTGTTTTGTAGTTGGTTCAAATGTTGTTATTTCTTCAGTTACTTTCTCAGTACTAAATTCAGGTGTTTCTGTGGTTGCAGTTTCTGTAATAAGCCCTGCTTCAGTGAAACCTTCTGTCGTTAACTCAGTTGTCATTTCAGTTTCTTTTTCAGTAGAATATTCACCAGGAATTCCTTGTGTACTAATTTCTGATGTAGTAGCTTCCACTGCACTAGTCGTTTGTTCTGTTGTAATAGGACTAAATGTTGTACTTTCCTCTTGAACCAATTTTGTAGAAGCAGCAGTTTGTTCTTCGGTAGTACTTTCTGTTGCAAACTGCGTAGTTTCAAATCCAGTTGTTTTCACTCCTAGTGTAGTACTTTCTGTAATTACTCCAGTTGTTCCTGTAAATTCTGTAGTAACTTCAGTTCCTAATGTAGTACTTTCGCTGGTCGTTTTTTCCGTACTATATTCGGTAGTTTGCGTGCTTAATGTGGTTTGTTCTGTTTGTGCTCTCTGATCGAGACCTACTGTGGTCATCTTCTGGACCATCACCGTACCAACCGTAACTTCGGGTGTAGTACCATCGTGAATTTCCGTTGAACCAGGATACTCGGGTGTAACTGTCACGTATTTCTGAGTACTCGTCGTTACCGGATAAATCAACACCTTCCCTTCAGTGGAAATATCAGGTTGTTCCTCTTCTGGGAGAGTTCTGGATTCTATTGTTGCTGTTGTTGTTGTTGTTGTTCCTGTTGTAGTTTCAGGCGAACTTTGCGTTGATGTGGTTACTGGAAGAGACGTTGTTTCAGCACGTTGGTCTTTAGATTCCGTGTTGGTTACGTATTCGGGGGTAACGGTGATGTATTTCTGAGTGGTAGTAGTGATCGGGTACACGTGGGCGATTCCTTCGGTAGAAGGTTCCTCCGGCAGAGTTCTGGGCTCCAATGATTCGTAAGTCGATGTTGTAGTCTGTTGCATTGGGGTTTCTTCTGACTTTGTAAAATCGACTTCTATAGGCTCTTGGTAGGTGGATTGTGTCGTTGTAGCTGTAGAAATCGTTGATTCTTCAGTTGGTATAAGTTTCGTTGTGGATTCGATGAATCTAGTTGTATATTCTTGTGTCGTGGTGGTTTCGATTTCTTCTGTAGTTTTACCAGTTTCAGCACCCTCAGTTAATCCCGCAGTTGAAAATTGTTGAGTAGTTAAGTCCGGTTTTTCAGAAGTACCACCAGTATCAGCTTGTGTTGTGGTAAATTCTGTAGTTAACTCAATTTCTTGTGTTGTACTTTCACTTGGAACAGTGGTAGAAGTTTCCGTTGATGATTCTTTCGTTGTTGTTTGAGCAGTAGTACCAGTTACTATGGCTGTAAGCATAGTAGTAGTCTCTGTAAATACTGGTTTCGTACTCAATTCTGTTTCGAAAGTAAATTGTGAGGTTGTTTCGAATTTTTTCGTTGTACTTTCGGTTTCAGTTGAGTGTGTAAGTGTTGTAATTTGAGATGTTGTTTGAGTTTCTTCAGTTGTACTACCACCTGCAAGAGTTGTACCTTCACTAATAACACGTTCTGTTGTGGATTCATATTCCTTCGATGTAGTTTCTGCTCCAGTTGTTGTTGGGATTGTTGTAGCTACTTGTTTAGTTGTCAGTATGGATGTTATTTCAGGTTCTTCTGTAATTACACTACCAGTTACCAAAGTCGTACCTTCAGTACTAGCTTGTTTTGTCGTGAATTCAGTAGTAAATTCGATTTCTGTCGAGGTTATTCCCTCTGCAGTTGTAGAAGGAATTGTTGGTTCTTCAGTTGATACTTCTTTAGTTGTAACTTGAGATGTTGTGTGAATTTCTTCTGTTGTACTCTCATATGGTAATGTTGTATACTCAGTAGTAGGTTGTTTCGTTGTATATTCAGTAGTAATTTCGAATTCTGTCGAAGTAATTCCTTCAGCAGTTGTAGATGGGATTCTTGATCCTTCTGTTGATCCCTCTTTCGTTGTAACTTGAGTTGTTGTTTTAATTTCTTCTGTTGAACTCTCATATGTTGTACTTTCAGTAGTAAATTCGATTTCTGTAGATGTTATTCCTTCTGTAGTTGTTGAAGGAATTGTTGATCCTTCTGATGATCCCTCTTTCGTTGTAACTTGAGTTGTTATATAAACTTCTTCTGTTGTACTCTCATATGGTAATGTTGTATACTCAGTAGTAGGTTGTTTCGTTGTATATTCAGAAGTAAATTCCGTTTCTGTCGACGTTATTCCTTCGGTAGTTGTTGAAGGAATTGTTGATCCACCTGTTGATCCCTCTTTCGTTGTACTTTGTAATGTTGTATACATTTCTTCCGTTGTACTCTCATATGGCAATGTTGTACCTTCAGTAGTAGCCTTTTTCGTTGTATATTCAGAAGTAAATTCCGTTTCTGTCGAGGTTATTCCTTCAGTAGTGGTTGAAGGAATTGTTGATCCTTCTGTCGATCCTTCTGTTGATCCTTCTTCCGTTGTACTTTGAATTGTTGTGTGAATTTCTTCTGTTGTACTCTCATATGGCAATGTTGTACCTTCAGTAGTAGCCTGTTTCGTTGTATATTCAGAAGTAAATTCAGTTTCTGTCGAGGTTATTCCTTCAGTAGTGGTTGAAGGAATTGTTGATCCTTCTGTCGATCCTTCTTTCGTTGTACTTTGAATTGTTGTGGGAATTTCTTCTGTTGTACTCTCATATGGTAACGTTGTACCTTCAGTAGTAGCCTGTTTAGTTGTATATTCAGTAGTAAATTCAGAAGTAAATTGATTTTCTGTCGAAGTTATTCCTACTGTAGTTGTTGAAGGAATCATTGATTCTTCTGTAGATGTCTCTTTCGTTGTAACTTGAGACGTTGTGTGAATTTCCTCTGTTGTACTACCACTTGGTAATGTTGTACCTACAGTCGTATATTCCGAAGTAACATTAAACTCTGTAGAAGTTCTTCCTTGTACAGTTGTGAAAGAAATTGTAGATCCTTCTGTTGATTGCTCCGTTGTGGTTTGAGAAGTTTGAATTTCTTCTGTTGTACTACCATGAGGTAATGTCGTACCTACAGTTGTAGCCTGTTTAGTCGTATATTCAGTAGTACTTTCAATTTCTGTAGAAGTTTGACCTTTTCCAGTTGTAGATTGTATTGTCGATGTTTCTGCTGGTGCTTCTTCTGTCGTAATCTGTGAAGTGTAATTTTCTTCACTTGGGAAAGTTGTACTCTCAGTAGTAACCTGTTTAGTCGTATATTCGGTAGTAAATTCAGAAATGCCGCCAGTTGAGGTACTTTCAGTGGAGACTACCTTTGTAACCACATCGGTTTCCATTGAAGTACTTTCTTCTGCTGTCGTTGTAAAGTTAGAATATTCTGTAGTTAGTTCAGTTTCATTCACAGTAGTTCCTATAAAAATCGTTGATTCTTCTGTCGATGTTTGTTTCGTTGTTGCACCACCTTCTTCAGTTGAAGAACCTTCAGTAACCGCTTCTTTAGTACTCATTTCCGTGAATCCACCGGAATCTGTGACGAACTTCGTACTGAATTCCATCGTAGAATCAGTTTGATTTCGTCCAAAAACAGTACTCAAAGTCGCAGTTTCCGTTTCCAATTTTTCAGTAGTAAATTGCGTAGTCACCACACCTTCCATAGCACTTTCTTTGGTGGTTCCCCCATCGAAATATCTCGTTGTATCCGGTATATCCGGTAAATCCGGCAATGTTCTCGGTTCGATTGACCAACTAGGAATTTCCGTCGTCGTTTCTGTTCCATTGCTAAATGTTAGAGTGGTAGTAGAGGTAGTAGTAGCGTTTGTTATTTGTGAAAATGTCACATATTGTGTTTCTGTTAGTGTTTCTGGTGTTGTAACCATATCTGTTATTCCAAAAAAAAACAATAAATCATAGTTAGTATCTAAAATATATACACAATTACTCTGTTATGGTATTCTCGATGACCCCCGATGACCCCCGCATGCAATGTTAGAGCGAATTAGAAAAATATTTACACAAATATACAAATTATAAATCGAGCTACTCGTTCATCTAATTTTTTACTAAAGAATCGAAAACGGAAAAAAAGACAAGTACAGAAACGAATATTAGAATACGAATGACGTCGATATTTTAGTCACACAGTGTTGCTATTTTTACAAGATTTACAAACAAACCATGAGAGTTAGAAATATCGTACAGTTAGATGACAAAAAATAAAGCTGCAACAAACAAATCAATCATCTTTATAACAAATAATCCAATCATCGACGATCCATCGGGATGATGAAAGCTTACCGTTTCTCTTACAATCTCCTCAACTCACCAGCGCGCGTAAATTAACCGGGGCATAAGGATAGGGAGAAATGAAAGGGACAATTCATAAAAACAGCAACACGTAAAAATGATGTAAATTCGCGATAACTCGCCCTTAATCTACACTTACCTTCGTAGCAGGCCCCAGTCAAAGGATCACAGCCGATTCCGGGCGGGCAATGAGGACACGAAGGCACTCTCGGTTCACCTACAACAACAAAATAATTAATTATTTAACACTCTACAAATAATTAATCAATTACTTGGTATGCACAGACACCCGTCGCATTGGTAGTTCGAATTTCCGCAGTCCTCGTGCTTCTGGCATTGGCACACTGGAACGAACAATTCTAAATTAATCTAATTCCGAGAATTAAAGCTAGGGTCCTTGGTTAACGAGAAGTGATGATGGAGGAACCGGTGCTGCTTACCTTTGACGCAAACGGGTTGGTGGTCTTCGACTTTGCAGTCGTGCGACTGCGTGCAGGGGTTGGACAGGGCGCAGGGGTTGTGGCATTTTCGGTTGATGCAGGCCAGGTGAGCGGGACAGTCGGTGTGCGATCGACATTGCACATCTGAGCAAAAGCATAATATGATAATGGTTTAGAAAATGTTTCGTGCAAAAGTGGTGCGTTCCGGGCATTTGGATGTTCGATAAATTGCGAGTTTAAAGAAGATCCAAATGGTCCGGTAAAATTCCTGTAAAAATAACGTAAAGTTGTTTAATGTTTTCGTAACAATAAGCGTTAATACAGTGTCTAATTCAAAACCAACCACCACCTAATAAATAGTATATACAGTTTGTACAAAGCGGAAGATGCGCCATGCAATCCTATATAAATAACACCTCGATGCGGTTGCATTTTAACCTAGTAAAATGCAATTAGAATTGTTTTTACAGCGACTTTACAATAAAAATAAATGAAGCGATTCGTTGAGAATCTATATGCGTTTAGCGGCCCATAGAAAAAATAGTTTATACCATTGAAAGTTAAAAAATAAATAGAATACAATATTACAATTTTTACGGCAGTAAACGGTGTTACCAATATTTAACAAAATGTACAACACTTTTTTTTTATAGTAGTGAATAAAGAGAACTGCGGTAAAAAGGTAAACGTATATATAAAAGAGATGCTGCGTATGTAAAATATACGAGGAAACTCATATAAAGCTGACTGTTCCGTACAAAATTGGTAGCGCTAGAAGAATGCGATCTTTGCACCGAGAATTTATTGGTGGTTTACCTTTGACGCATCCGAATTTGGCGTCGGATTTAAATCCGCTCGGGCACGACTGGCACACGGGCTTGTGTTCCTCGACGAAACACGGCGCGCCGTCGGCGCAATTCGCCCACGCGCACGGATCCTCGCACCTGAACGCCCTGCAGGCCTTATCCGTCGGACAACCGTTGTCCCTCAGGCAGATGGACAGCGACGGCGTGCAGTCCTCCAAGCAGAGGCACACCGCCTTGCGCTCGACCACCTCGCACCTCTTCTCCGGCGGGCAAGCGCCCTCCGAGCACGGGCTCCTGCAGGCGCCGTCCCGGCACGCCTCCGCCGCCGGGCATTGCTCGTCCGAGCGGCACTCCACCACGTCGGCGGCGCACGATATCTCGCCCCTGTCGTTCACCAGGAAGCCCTTGCGGCAGACGCACGTCGCCCGGTGGCGGTGCACCTCGCACTTTTTGTTCTCTTTGCACTCGAACGGCGCGTCCTGGCACGGGTCCGTGCACTCGCCGCCGGCGCACGCCATGTCGTCCGGGCAATCGTCGTCGATGCGGCAACGCCGCGAGCGGCCGGGCGCGGCGCCGAGGCAATCGTCGTCGGGGTAGCAGGCCGTGGCGGCGGCGCCGCGATAGCATTCGGGACACGAGCACCGGGGCCGGTGCGTGACGGTGTCGCAGGTGGCGTTGAGGCCGCAGGCGCCGCGCAACGAGCACGGGTTCACGCATTGGTAGTTGATGCAAGCTTTGTCTTGGCTACATTCTATGTCACTGTTACATTCGGCGGCTGTGGGGTGGCGCGCGCGCGGGTGTGGCGAGAAAAGAAAGCATCGGTTTTATATTACTAAAGAGACTAAGATAGAATGGTGGAACAACGGTAGAAAGTCTGACAGAACGCAACGCGCATGCGGGTAGTGTCTGAAGGGCGTACATGAAAGAGGCCGTCTCAACGTGCTCAACCCGGTAACTATTTACTTTTGTTTTTTTTTGTTTAAACAATCGGTTTGTAAGCGGCAAGTATTTACAAGCGGTTTTTTTACAGCTATACACAAACAACATACGATGTGAGAATGCTCCTTTCATCTTGTAGAATTCACGAGTCTTTCATCATCAAATATATGTACAGTATACTCCTGAATTCTACAGTAGTTCCCAATCTGACATATCATCATACCCGCTGCGCCTTTACATTGCGCTGCTGGTGCTTATTATCATTTTATTTAAAAAAAATCATTAAATTCGTCTTAACAATAACAATAAAAAATTTGTGCGTGGAATGCTCGTCGAAATAATAACAAAAAAAATCTAGTGGGTGACGGGAAGCGAGTGTTACCAGGATATAACGTGACAGGCAGATTGGAACCGTAAAGTGTACATTCCACATAACGGCACTAGTACTATATACAATATGTAAATAATGCGTTAACGAAACTGCATTCTAATTACCACGACCAAATAAATATATCACAATAAAAATAATAACAAATCATTCGTGCACAACGTGAATTTCGTACGATTCAATAGTGTGCGCTTACAACATCCTTCGAAAGGGCATCGTATAGCGATAAGATAACAAAAAGCCTGTGTACTGTATACAAATTAACGAGTAATATCCGATTCGATCCGTTAAGATGGACTTACCGCGCTGGCATCCCTTTTCCGGTGTACCTGCATAGCCCGGCAAGCATCTGCACACGAAGAAAGCGTACTCTCTGATGCACTCCGAATTCTCGCCGCAGCCCTCCGTCCTGCAATCCGCCGCCGATTTTTCTATGGAACCTGCAAACAAGTTCAACCGTTTAATACGATCCGAAGAATTTTTTAGTCAAGTTGCAAGCATCCGCTGTAGCGATACAAGCTTTTACCGGTTTTTTAATGCTTTAAGATGGCTTTAAATATTACACTTGTTTTATTAGCCTGCAGCGTGAGTTTATAGGATGTAACCGTTAAGAATTAAAACGCGGCCATTTTGTTAAAATTGAAAAAATTGACATTAGTGACACTTATGACAGAAGTTTAATAGAGGTGGGAAATGATTATTCGGTATAGAGTTGCAGTAACGACTGTTACAAAATAACCGTTATTCTTCGAAAATTATTAATCTACTTTTATAAAATACTCGAAATATACTCACATTCTATGGTGGGATCACCGGATGGTTTGTTATCAGGACAATAACATTGCGCTTCCTTTCCGTTCACCACTCTGCACTCAGCGCCTACTCCGCATAACTTAGTAGCGCACAAATTGACAGATTCCTGCGTGCAGACGCATCCTCTGTAAGGATCGCCCACGCAGCCCGGATCGCAGGAGCATTCGACGTCGTTCCTGCACTTGGCGTTGGCGCCGCAGGAGTTCTTCGAACATCCGTCGGTGCGGCCTTGTTTGCATTCGATTAAAGCGTTGCCCAGATAGCCGGGAGGGCAGGTGCAAAGGGGTTGCCTGTCGGCGACGCGACATTGGGCGTTCAGGCCGCAGGCGCCCTCCTCCAAGCAGGGGTTCCTGCAGGCGCCGTCGTCGCCGCATTTCTTCGTCGGCTCGCAGTCGTCGTCGCGGCGGCACTCGAACGGCTTGCAGGACTTTAGCGGATCGCCTCGGTAGCCGTCGGGACACAGGCACACCTTCCGGTGATCGATGCCCTTGCACTGGGCGCCGGCGCCGCAGGCGTTCGCCTTGCAGATGGTCTCGCATTGTTTGTTGTTGCACGATCGATCGCCGGGACAGTCGGCGTTCGATCTGCAGCCCGGCAGGCAGACGTCGTTCGTGCAGATCTGGCCCTGGGCGCATGAGGCCTGCGCCGAGCACCTGATGCGGCACTTGTTGTCGTAGCAGGACTCGCCGCAGGAGCAGTCGATGGCCGAGCGACAGGGTTTCGTGCAGTAGCCGCCCGATTCGTCGCAGTCGCATTTCGGGTTGCACTTGATGGCCGCCTGCGCGCACGATTTCAACGGGTTGCCCAGGAAGTTGGGCGGGCAGCTGCATTGGGCGACGTGGTTGTTGACTAGGCATTGGGCGCAAACGCCGCACGTTGTCGTCTTCTCGCAAGGATCTATAAACAAAACAAAATTGTAATATGTTTAAGTATGAAGCATACTCGAGTTGAAATACTTACTTTGGCATTTGTTATCGATGCAGGTCTTGTCCTGCGGACAAGCTGCGTCGCTCCTGCAACCGATTTCGCATAAACGATTGCTACAAATGTGGTTGTACACCGGGCAACTGTTGTCCGAATTGCATACTCTCTTGCAAATACCTCTAACGCACTTTTCATCCGCCAAACAATTCCTGTCACTGAAATAAAATTATATATTTAGTACGCCGGAAGGAATATCCAGTGAAGTAATTACTTACGTTTTACAATTGGCGTGACATATTCCCCCGTGGCAGGTTCCTTTGAAGCAATCTTGGTTGCCGCTGCAAATCTTCAACTCGCGTTGGCACCCTTCCAGCGGGTTCCCAATCAGCGGACGAGGGCACTTGCAGACCTTCGTGTGCTCGACGACGGCGCATTCGGAGTTGACGCCGCAGGAGTCGGGCGCGGCGCACAAATCGGCGCATTTGCCGTTCACGCAAGCCTCGTCGGCGCGGCACTTGAAGTCGCCCCTGCAACCGACGACGCAGCCGACGCCGTCGCAGATCTCGTCGCTCTTGCAATCGTCGTCTTTCCTGCACACCGGCTTGCACACGTTGCTCGTCGGCTCGCAGCGTTCGTTGTTCAAGCAGTTGCCGTCCGACGAGCAGACCAATCGGCAGCCTCTTTCGATGCAAGCGTTACCGTTCGGACAGTCTCTGTTCTCCCTGCACACCTGCGGCGGTGCTCTGGTGCAACCGATGGTCGCCGACGGGTTCGGCACGAGTCCCTTGGGACAGGAGCAGGTCGCCCGGTGGTTGGTTACCGAGCATTGGGCGTTGGGGCCGCAGGGTTTCTCCTTGCAGGGGTTCACGCATTTGTTGGCTCTGCAGGACTCGCTGCTGGTGCAGTCGTCGTCGCCGTGGCAGCCGAAGAAGCACATGTTGTTGACGCATATGTGGCCGAGGAAGCAGTCGTTGTCGACGCGGCAGGTCAGCTGGCAGTTGCCCTTCAGGCATTTCTCGTTGAGGGCGCAATCGTCGTCGATGCGGCACCGGGGCACGCAGATGTTGTCGATGCACTTGGTGTTTTCGCTGCAATCCGAGGTGTTGGAGCAGGCGACTGGTAGCCTGCAACACTCGACGTTTTGGTCGCCGGAGAAACCCGCCGGACAGCTGCAGATTTTCGCGTGGTTCTCGGTTTTGCATAAGGCGTTCACCCCGCAGGGTTTCTTGAGCTTGCAGGGATTGAGGCACTGGCCTTCGGTGCATTGCTCGTCCGGCTGGCAGTCTTCGTTCTGTTCGCAAGGCGGGCTGCACACGCCCTCGTAGCAGTAGGTGTTCGAAGGGCAATCCGATGTCGATTTGCAACTGACCAAACGCGGTGTACACCCTACGGTAGCGTTTCCTTGATAGCCGTTCCTGCAGGTGCAGTAACCGGCGTGGTCTATGGCGACGCATTCGGCGTTGGCGCCGCAGGCGGTGTTCTCGCAGGCGTCCTTGCACTTGTGCACGCCGTTGGTCCTGTCGCATTTCGCCTTCGCGGGGCAATCCGAGTTCCGGTTGCACTCGACGGGCGGGTTGCAGCCGCCGTTGTAGGCGTCGCCGACCGTGCCCAACGGACACTGGCACCGGAAGGAGCCCCGGGAGTTGTGGCACGAGGCGCCCGGGCCGCACGGTTTGTCCGAACAGAAATCGATCATGTGGCAACCTTTGTTGGGGTCTCCCGTGTAGCCCGGTTGACAGTAGCACACTTGCTTGTGGTTCTCCGCCGAGCAAAGGGTGTTCCTCCCGCAGGGGTTGTTCACCAAGCAGGCGATCTTGCACATGTGTTGATCGCACAGTTTGTCGTTGGTGCACTCGTCGTTGGCCTTGCACTCGATCTCCTGGCAGCCCAATTTGTCGTCGTTCGCGTTACCCACGTATCCCGGTTTACATTGGCAGGTGGGTTTGTGGTTGTTCGACGTGCACTCGGCGTTCCTGCCGCAAATGACGCCTTCGCAGGCGTCGATGCAATCCGATCGTCCCACCGAATCCGCCAAGCATTTCTCCGCGAACTCGCAATCCGCGTTCGACCGGCACTTCTGCTCTTGCACGCAAATGTTGTTCTGGCAGAACTGGTGCTCCGGGCAAGTCGAGTTCGATCTGCAAGTGGGCTGGCAGATGCCCTGTATGCACAACTGGTTCTCGATGCATTCTCTAGTGTTGGTGCACATCGATGTACACAAACCGTTGTAACATTTGAGACCTGCGGGACATTGCGATTCTTTAGCGCAGTACTGTATGGGCGTGCAGCCCAATCGAGGATCTCCGGTGGTACCGGCGTCGCAGCTGCACAACCCTTGGTGGTTGACGGGCGTGCAGGAGGCTCGATCGCCGCAAACGTTCGGTAAACCACAAGGATTCGTGCATTTGGAGTCTATGCAGGCTTTGTCGACGGTGCAATCGTTGTTGCCGGCGCATTCTATCGGTATGCAATTGTGATTCGGGTCTTCTTTGGTGCGAGAGGGGCATCTGCAGCTCGCCGCGTGCGCGACCGGTATACATTCGGCGTTTATCCCGCACACCGAAGGTTGTTCGCAGGGATTCTTGCAGCCGTTGTTAATGCAAGCCGCCGACGGCGGGCAATCCGCGTCGCTGGAGCAATCGCCGGGTTTCCTGCAGCCGGTGGTCAGCGGATCGCCGACCAAACCTTCGCCGCAAACGCAGGTGAATCCCCCGTCGGTATTGACGCAAGTCGCAGTCGAATGACAGGGATCGGAGTCCGAGCATTCGTCGATGTCCAAGCACACGTCGTTGTTGAAGGCGTATCCGGGCAAGCAGGTGCATAAAGCCGTGTGGTTTCGACTGGAGCAGGTGCCTTTGCCGCAATCCACGATGTCGCAGGTGTTTATGCATTTGTTCGAGTGACCGTCGCAGAATTCCCCGTCGGAGCAATCTTCGTTAACGATGCAATCCACCCTGAAGCAGCCCAAATTGAAGTCGTAGGGATCGCCGAGGTGCTTGGGCGGGCAGGTGCAGGTCATTTTGTGTTTGAATACGTTGCATACGGCGTTTTTGCTGCATTTGTGAGCGTCGCACGGATCTACGCATTTGCCTTTCTTGCAAACGAGCTTATCGTCGCATTGGGCGTCGCGACGGCATTGCACCGGCTGCGAACAGCCGGGATCTCCGGACGGGTTGCCCACTTTACCTTCGGGACAAGCGCAAGAGAAGGAACCCGGCGAGTTTTTGCAAACGGCCGTGCGATGGCAAGGCCGGTTCTGGCATTCGTCTATATCGGCGCATCCTCTGGTGGTTTCTTTAAATCCTGCCGAACATTTGCACTGGCCTTGCACGCAGACCTGCGATTGGCGGCAGTCTTTGTCGGCCGTGCAACCGGGCAAGCACATTCCCTGTTTGCAAACCTCCCCTTGCAGGCAGTTGCCGTCGTTGTGGCAGACTTTCACGCAGATGGTGTCGTTGCAGATTTCTCCTGCAGCACAAGCGCCGTTATCGATGCAACTCGGCGCGCATTGATTTCTCCTGCACACCTGCCTGGCCGGGCAATCTTCGTTACGGCGACACAACGTCGGAGTTCTCACGCAGCCTTGCTGGGGCGTCGGGTTGCCCTCGAAACCGGCGGGGCACTTGCAGAGCGTCTTGTGATCTTCGCATGAGCATACAGAATTAGGTCCGCACGTGTCGGCTTTCTCGCAGGGATCCAGGCACTTGTTGTTCACGCAGGCCTCCTCCGACGGGCAGTTTCTGTTACTGCGACATCCGATGATGCAGGTGTTGTTGACGCAAGCGAAATTCCCGGTGCATTGGCTGTGATCCGTGCACGGTACGGCGCAGATGTTCCTCAAGCACTTCTCGCCTATCGAGCAGTCCTTGTCGTTCCTGCAAACGGCCCTGCATTGATTGTCGACGCACAATTCATCGCCGCATTCCCTGTCGCCGGTGCAAGAGTTGATGCTGCGTACGCAACCGTCCTGCGCAGGCACGTATTTGGCCAGGCAAGCGCATATTGGCTGCCCGTCGTCCAGAGCGCAAGCGCTGTTCGGTCCGCACTTGACGCTTTCGCAGGGATTGACGCACTTGCCGTTTTTGCATATCGAATTCGGCGGGCAATCTTCGCTTCCTCTGGGACAAGCGCCTTCTCTCTTGCAACCCGAAGCGTACGGTTCCCCCACCGTGCCCGGCGCGCAAACGCAAGCGTACCCACCGGGCGACGGTCTGCAGATAGCCGTGGAATGGCAAGGGTTCGGTTTACAGACGTCTACAATAGCGCATTCTACGTCAGCTACGGGGTTGGGGTTGGTCCCGGGCGGGCATTGGCACGTCGCTTTGTGGTTGTCGGCTATGCACACGGCGTTGGCGCCGCAGGATTCCTCGTCGCAGGCGTCGACGCAAGCGTGGCTGGCGCGGTTGCAGAGCTGACTCGCCGGGCAATCGGCGTTGTAGACGCACGGCACTTCGCTGCAACCGACGCGCGCGTCGTTCGGATCGCCGATGAACGAACCGGGCGGGCATTGGCACTTCGGCACGTGGTTGTTGGCGATGCAAACGGCGTTGGGGCCGCATTGGAGCTCGTCGCAGGCTTGTATGCACGTTAAGATTTTGTGTTCGTTGTGTGGCCGGCAGACTTGTTGCTCGGAACATTGCGCGTCGGATTCGCATTCGTTCTGCAACATCGGTTTGCAACCTTCGCGGTCCTTGGGATTGCCGATATAGCCTTCGAGGCATCTGCACTGGGCCCGGTGGGATTCGGCCACGCAAGCAGCGTTGGCGCCGCAGGTGAAACTCGAGCAGATTTCGGTGCACTTCAGCACGCCGATGGCGTCCGGTTGGCAGGATTCGATCGACTCGCAATCGGCGTCCGATCGACAATCGGGTATCGATGGTATCTCGCAGTTCGAGCTCACCGGGTTCCACGCGTACTCGGTTTTACAGGCGCAAGTCGGCCGCCCGCCGACGTCCAATTGGCACATTTCGTTTGGCCCGCAGGCCACCGTCTCGCAGGGGCTGATGCACTTCGGCAATCCGGTGGAATCCGTGGCGCAGATCGTTCCGAACGAGCAATCGCTATCGCGCGAGCACAGCTTTTGGTTGACGCGCTCTTCGAGTTGACAGCCGACGTACAGGTCGCTGGGGTTGCCGTTGTAGCCGGGCGCGCAGATGCAGGACGATCGGTGGTTCTGCGCCAAGCACAAAGCGTTCGGGCCGCATTGCGCTTTGCTGCAACCGTCCACGCACGATCGCGCGCCTTTGCTCAACTGGAAGCAAATCTCGGTGTCGTTGCAATCGGCGTTCGACTGGCATTGTCCATCGGCCCGGCACCCTTTCGCCGGGTCGCCTACGTAGCCCGACGAACAGACGCACTTGCCCGACTGGCAGGCGGCCTTCGGGCCGCATTCGACGTTCTCGCAGAGATTCCTGCACTGGCCTCGTTCGCACGTGTACTCGTTGGGACAGAGCAGCTTGTCGCCGCACTGGCAGTTCTCGGCGTCCCTGCAGATGCCGCCTTGGACCTGCGAGCACATGACGAACGGGTTGCCGGCGTAGCCCTCCTTGCATCTGCAATCGAAGCTGCCCGGCGTGTTGATGCAGGCCGCGCTGTCGCCGCAGGCCTTGCCGTTGTTGCACTCGTCGATGTCCTCGCAGGCGATGTACGGGTTGCCGGCGAAGCCGCGCTCGCACAGGCACTCGATGCCGTTGAAGGTCTCCCTGCAGCGCGCGTTTCGGCCGCAGGCGTTCCGGTCGCAGGTCTTTCGCTCGATTCTCTCGCAGGACTCGTACGGGTTGCCGACCGTGCCGGCGTTGCAGGCGCATTTGTTCGACAGGCCGTACTCGCAGTGGGCGTTCCTGCCGCAGCTCGGCTCGCATTCGGGCGCTTTGATCGCTGGAAAAATCCACGCGAAATTAATATTTACCTTAGCTTAACAAAAGGTTAATAGGGAGCAGAATAGGGGCTATTTACCTCACTTAACAGTAAGTAAAAAGGGAAAATAATAGGTGGTAAATAGGAGGTGTAAGAGGGAGTAGACTAGGGATCAAATAGATAGCATATTTGTGACAAATAGAGCATATCAAGTAAATAAATTGCACTTACTGGGCATGCAGAGTAGATAAGGATTCCCGTCGAACATGTGATCGCAAACGCATTTGTTGGTGGCGTTGCTGCAGTGGGCGCCGACTCCGCATTCGAGGCCCTGGCACTTTTGCCTGCACCTGCCGTTGATGCATACATAGGGCTCCCGGCAGGGATTGTTCTTGGAGCAAACGTCCGTGGTGCACTCGCCTCCAGGGAACGGATTGCCCAGCAAACCGTCCAGGCATTTGCATGTAGGACCGGTCGTGGTGACGATGCATTGGGCTCCAGGGGCGCAAATGTAATCGGCGCAAGCCGACACGCATTGTCCTCTGGAGTTCTTCTCGTAGCCGATTTTACAAGCGCACTTCGCCTTGTGGTGTTCCGCCTCGCAAACGGCGTGGGATCCGCATAGAACAGTCGCGCACGGGCTGATGCAAGTACCGTCTTTGCAAGCGAGTATGCCGGCGCAGTCGTCGTCGTGCAAACATTCCGATTTCCAGGTACCCGTTTCCAGAACACAACCGCCTTTGTACGGATCGCCCGTCATGCCTTTGGGACAAACGCATTGGTAGCCTCCTTTCAGGTTCAAGCAGCGCGAGCCGTACGCGCACGGCTCGCCGGCGCATTCGTCCACGTCTACGCACCCTAACAGTGGATCGCCCTTGAAGCCCGGCTCGCAGGCGCACTTGGGCGGATCGGAGGCGGCGCATTTCGCGTTCACGCCGCACGGGAACCGCTCGCAGGGGCTCTTGCACTTATTCCCGTCCGTCGGATCGACGAAGAACGGCGGGAAGCAGACGCACTCGCCCGGTTGCACGCATTTCTCGTTCGCCGAGCACTCCTTGTCGTGGAGGCATTTCTTCTGAGCGGGCGAACAGTGGCCCTTGTACGGATCGCCGGTGTAGCCTTTGGGACAATGACACTCCCAGGAACCTGGGATGTTGGTGCACAGCGCGCCGAATCCGCAGGAAGATTGCGCGTCGGAGCATTCGTCGATGTCGATGCACGAACCGTCCGGTTGGGTTCTGAAGCCTTTGGGACAAGCGCAGTAGCTCACGCCTCCCGTGATCGTGATGCATTCGGCTCCCTTCGGACACGCGCCCTCCGGCCCGCAGCTGTCCAACACGCAGTTCCCTTCGTGCAGCTTGTATGGCGGCTGGCAGCGGCAATCGGGGCTGTTGCATTCGGAGCACTCCAAGAACGGGTTGCCGTTGAATCCGGGCGGGCAGTGGCAATCGTAGCTGCCCGGCAGGTTCTTGCAGACGGCGTTCGCGCCGCACGCCGGCTTGTCTCTGGGCTCCAGGCACTCGTCGTTGTCCTCGCATTTCGCGGTCGATGCGTTCCGCACGTAGCCCTGCACGCAAATGCAGACGTTCTCGTCGAGGTACTCGTCGAGCACGCACTGCTCGTCGCCGGGACACGGATTGGCGTCGGAGCATTCGGTGGACTTGGTGGTTTTGCCGCAGCCGGTGGCGAAGGGATCGCCGGCGGTGCCGCCGGGACATTGGCAGGTGAACGAGCCCGGTTGGTTTTCGCAGACGGCGCCCGGCGCGCACGGGTTGCCCGCGCATTCGTTGATGTCCGCGCAGCCGAACGAGGTGCCGGTGAAGCCGGCGCTGCAGATGCACCGGGCCGCTTGGTCGATCAGCATGCATTCCTCGTTCGGGCCGCATATCGTCGTTTCGCAAGGATCTGTGGAAGATGATAACATTGACTATGCTGTTCGGACTTCTCACCTTTCGGCAATTAGTCGAGCCTGTAGGCTTGTACCCACTATCGGGAAACCACCGGAAGATGATGTGGATGAATGTGGAAGATGATAACAATGGAAAATACATTTTTAATGAGTAACTCACGTCTGCAATCGTTGCCGACGTTGGGCGTTTGACACAAACACCTCTTCTTGGCGTCGCACACGGCGTTGCCGGGACAATCGATGTCGGTGTTGCATTTGACTATTTCGTTGCATTTGGTCCTGGGATCGGGGTCGGGTACGGTGCCGTCGGGGCATTCGCATCGGTACGAGCCGGGTAGGTTCTCGCAAAGGGCGCCCAGGCCGCAGCTTTCGGGCGACGAACATTCGTCCAAGTCCGCGCATTTGGTGTTCGGATTGCCGGTGAAGCCGGGTTTGCACTGGCAGGCGAACGTGCCGGGTAGATTGGTGCAAACGGAGTTCTCGCCGCATCGACCGCTCGGTCCGTTTAGTTTATCGCACTCGTCTATATCTGCAGGATTAATAAAGTATTTAGTAATCGATTATGCCCAGTTCCAAAAGTGTGTTTTGCTGGCCAGATTGCCAATGGAAATCAAAACACTCGCACAGTGCACCAAATGAAACAAAACTTTTGCTTTGAGTGCACTTTGAGTGCGCACTATTATACCAATGGAAAACGCTGTTACCTATGCACCCGGCGGATATGTCGCTGGGATCGAACATCCAGCCCTCCTCGCAAATGCAGTAGGCCTCCGGCCCGTCGGGTTTGCAGTAAGCGTGGTCGCCGCAGGAGACGTCGTCGCAGGGCGCTTTGCAGTGGACGCCCGGCGGCGCCCCCACGTAGCCGGCCTCGCAATCGCACCGGAAACCGCCGGCCGTGTTCGAGCAGCTCGCGAACGGTCCGCACGGATTCGTCAGGCACTCGTCGATGTCTACGCAAATCGATTTGTCGGCGACGAAGCCCTTCTGGCAGAAGCATTGGTTGTCCAGGCACTCGGCGTTGTTGGTGCAATCGAAGTTGGATTTGCACAGGATGTTAACGTCGATCTATAAGTAGTAAATGGAGTGTGATAATGTGAGATAATGTGGGTTAATGTGGGTGATAGTTTAGTAGTTGTACTTTCGAGGGAATGGTCTAGAATCGGTGCAGAGTTTTGAGGTGGTCTAGAAACGGTAGAGCATTTCGAGGTGGTCTAGAAATGGTACTGCAGCATTTCGAGGTGGTCTAAAAATTGTACAGCATTTTGAGGTGGTCTAGAAATGGTACAGCATTTCGAGGTGGTCTAGAAATGGTACTGTAGCATTTCTAGGTGAAAAAAATATCCAAAAAACGCTGGGTTTCAACCCCATTCAACCGATTCAAGACCATTCTCTCGAAAGTGGTGTAGACCTGGTAGAGCTATAGCTACTTGGTTTTACCTGTTCGCAGGCGACTTTCGGGCTGGGATTGGCCTGGTAGCCCTGCGGGCACTTGCAGTTGTAGCCGGGTTGGGTGTTTTCGCAGATGGCGTGCGCTCCGCAGGGTAATTCGAGCGCGGTGCATTCGTCTATGTCGACGCATCCAGCGAAAGGATCGCCCGTGTAGTCCTCCTTGCAGGTGCAGGCGAAGCTGCCGAAGGTGTCCTTGCAGACGGCGTTGGCGCCGCACGGGTTCGACCGGCATTCGTCTATATCTGTTGGCATTCAATAGAAAAATGTTCGCGAAAATTGCTTGGTAGAATGAAGAGTTGTTTCGACTACCTACAGAGAAGTTCCCAAAAAAAAATAATACATACAATTAAGGCTACGAAAGAACAAGTAAAGACGGCAGAGAACAGGCTGAAAAATATATAGAATTATACAAAAATTACGCAGTAAGAGAAAATGTAGTTTGTACAAAAATACGTATACAGTACGAATTAGGCTAGAACTAAATAAAATATTAGTATACAGTACCTACAGCGAATATAACAGTTCGTAAACGCTCAAATTACATCGAATATATAGTACTAAAATACCGTTACGAAGGGAAATATACCAAACAAATACGGTTGTCGTGTTAAAGAAGCAACCAAATACTCTTATACCTACGGAAAAAACCAACAAGAATTTCACTACCTAGAAAGAAGAGTTGGAAAATTTGCACGCGCTTTAATCCGGCGGAATTGAAAATTCCCTAAAAACGCAACGAAACACCGCGACGCGGCAACGCCGCTCGGATTAAAGCCCGGCTCGGATTGCGATTCGTCAACTAACTTTCGCAGAAAGCCCGTCCGTGGCCGGCGTTCGTGGGCGTCTGGGGGGCATCGTTGAAGCGTTAAGGGGCGATTACACGGCGCGGGGGATTCGTTCAATACCAGTGGTGTTTGATAAATGCATAATAAATGCACTTCTCGTATTGTTTGTATGTAGTGTAATCGCCCGTTTGATTAGTGTTAATTAAAGGTAGGTTTACACTTGCATGTACTAAGGTGGTTATTTGGTTAATGTTATGCGATTTGTACAGCATTTTTTCGACGAAAATCGGTCGTTTGTTACGGAATGTTTGAATGAAAATTAGATGTTTTTTTATGAAAATGAAGTATCTTACAAATAAATATACTTGCAGTTACTCCGTGCAACCATTATTATTGTTTTAGACATCCATTGTACTCTTTTCTTTTAATTGTCAGACGATCCCGTTATACACACGTTAGTTTTTTTTCCTACGTTAAAAACTGATTTTCAATTAAAGTTAATTAGGTAACTACAGGGGTTGATAGGGTAGTAATAATGTGCATATTTATCTTATGCCCCTGGTAAAATCTACAGCATTCTACTTAGTTAATGTTCCGGTGCAAGTTAACATTTTTGTACAAGAAAATCAGTCTTCACTTGTTTAAAAAAAACTGAAAATAATATTTACAAAAGATTTGACCCGAATGAGAGAAAACATCTCCAACTACAACATCTTCTTTACAAACAATCCTCGCATCAATACCACGGGATAAATTACGAAGACATTTTCTTTCATCCGGCGAATGTTCCGATAAATAATCCCCTCATAAATACCTGTGCATTCGGTCAAAGGATTGCCGATGAATCCTGCGGGACAAGTGCATCGAAAACTACCGTCCAAATTCGAGCAGAGGGCGTTCCTGCCGCAAGGATTCGATCGGGAACATTCGTCGGTATCCAGGCAACCTGTCGTATACGGATTTCCATCGTATCCTAAACAAAATTATATAAAAATCCACGGAAAATTCAAGCTACAAATAATCAACTCGATAGATAAAAAAAGGTGCATCTGATGCATACATGCATATTTGCATATCGTTGTTTTGCCTAGGTACTAACAATTTACAGTAATCTCATAAACAAATCAACGGGATTACTCGTTCGTTTTTCATCCTGTTTTCGAATCGTTAATTGCGCGCATCCCGTTAATCGCAATGCTATAGAGAATAATACATACCTGGTGGACAATAACATTCTCGTCCTCCTTGTACATTTTGACATATGGCGCCGGGTGCGCACGCGCCCGGTTGCTGGCACTCGTCGTAATCGTAGCAGCCTTGGTAAGGATCGCCTTGGAAACCGTCCGGGCATGCGCACGTGTAGTTGCCCGCCGTGTTCCGGCAGAGGGCGTTGTGACCGCAGGCGTTCGGGTTTTGGCATTCGTCTATGTCTGAAATGATCCAAAATGGAGTAAGCGTTTTGTTGATGTATAATGACGAGTGTGTTGACGTTACCTAAACATTGTACTTCTCCGTCGCCCTCGTAGCCGGGTAAGCATCTGCAGTAGAAATGCGCCGGTAAATTGCAGCATTCTGCGTTTTGGACGCATCGCGCTGCTAAGGCTGGGTCGTCGCATTCGTTTATATCTGGAAAATCGGTGTCAAATATGTCAAAATGGGTCAAAAATGGCATACATGTCGAAAATGACAAGAACGCCAAAAGTGACAGGAAACGTCAAAACTGTCAAAACTGTCAAAATTGTCAAAATTGTCAAAATTGTCAAAATTGCCAAAATTGTCAAAATTGTCAAAATTGTCAAAATTGTCAAAATTGTCAAAATTGTCAAAATTGTCAAAATTGTCAAAATTGTCAAAATTGTCAAAATTGTCAAAACTGCCAAAACTGTCAAAACTCTTAAAACTCTCAAAAGTGACAGGAAACGCCATCTGTCAAAATTGTCAAAGCTCACAAAAGTGACAGAAAACGTCATACCTGTCAAAATTGTCAAAACTCTCAAAACAGTCTAAACTGTCAAAACTCTCAAAACTGCCAAATCTGTCAAGACTGTCAAGTTAGGTATTAGATACAATTTATCATTATCAAGTCGAATAGCCCCAACAGCTGAGGCCTCAAAACAGAAGAAGAAGAAGAAGAATTTATCATTGCCTTCTGCTTGTTTATACCTATTTTATCAATTAAAAATTTCCTGCATTTCCAGTTAATTATCGATTCATTAAATTCCATTAACTATAAATATCTCGATATAGAAAAGAAGAAGCGTAGATGGCAATTTTCCATCTACTTTTACTGCTTTAATTCGCATTTAATCTAGCGAATTAACGGCGCTTATTTGCATAGGCATTCCGCGTTGGCAACGAAAATCGACAGCAAAAGAAACGAAATAACTAATCCAAAACGAAATATTATTCCGCGTATTTCTCGCGCCTATCCGATAAACTACCGGACTCGTCCAAATTGAGTTGTACAAAAACCTAACGGTTAACCAAACAATGACCGGCCATCGGTTTTAATATTAATGTATTTTATACCAACGCCGGTGTCCGCGTAAACGCTTTCGATTCTTCATTCGAACCGAACGTTTATTATTAATTAATGCAAATGCCTTCGGTCGATTGGATATTTTGATTAATTTCACGCGTACAATTCGACAGGAAAGGATATCTAATCGTTGGTATACAAAAGTTATTGCCAGGTGTACATCAGAAATATATCCTGTTTTTGGGGGAATTAATGAGAAGCTTGGCAATGTTGCGAGTATCCTGTCATCAGGATAACATAGTTTATCTTGAATGATCCCGCGTAGTTGCCAGGTGTAGGTCGATATCCTGATTTTTGGGGAAGTTTGGCAACGTTGCGGAGTATCCTGCGGAGTCGTCTTAGGTCAATTTCCACCCGGGGATATTTAACCGGCCGCCAAGGACACGGGGTACTTTGCATACAACGCGAGGATGCGGTCGTGACCGGTAGATATACGTCTATTCGATTCGATATATTCGATTCGATTCGATTGGAAAATCGATTTCGGTCGACGGGAACGGAAACGGGCAAATTCCGTCATCATCATCATCAACAACGGGGCGGACGATCGACGGATAGAAATTCGAACCGTTATTATGCCGAGCGAATTGTTTTCCTAATGCTCGGTGCACGAGAGATTCCGCGAAATGTATCATTATTGGATGATGTGCGCACGTCAATTATCTAACTGTACCTATTTACTCGAGTTGATAAAACAAACAACGATAAGCCGACGTGCCATTAGCGCGTTTCGGAAAACTGGGGCAATTTCAGGCTCTACTAGGCTCCTCTGATTTTTCTTGGATGAATTTTTATACCTTATAGATGCATGGTGAGAAGAGATATGTACTTGCTTTACGTGGGTGCAATTGTATGGGAGATTCAAATAGGGAGTGAGAAAAGAAACCCACTAATTGTATTAGAATTATATGGGAGATTCAAATAGGGAGTGAGACAAGAAGCCCACTAATTGTATGAGAATTATATGGGAGATTCAAATAGGCAGTGAAACAAGAAACTCATGAAAATCATAAGGAAGACAAGAAACCCACTATACATGAAATTTATAGAGATTCAAATAGGAAGTTAGACAAGAAACCCAGTTTACATGAGATTTATATGGGAGATTCAAATAGGGAGTGAGAAAAGAAACCCACTAATTGTATGAGAATTATATGGGAGATTCAAATAGGGAGTGAGACAAGTAACCCACTAATTGTATGAGAATTATATGGGAGATTCAAATAGGCAGTGAAACAAGAAACCCATGAAAATCATAAGGAAGATTAAGGCTCATATCTGACACAAATCAGGTACAAAAAATATATAGCGCACAAACAAACAATTCTATCAACAAGCGCGATAAATTCGAATCGACAATTAAAGTGCAACATTCCATTTCGCCCGGGCCGTTTTCGACAGTCGAAAATAATTAAGAATTAACTCTTCTCGGTGTAGGCTATATACATCTAATCCGAAAGATCAACGTCCTGAAAGATCAACGACTGTTCTCGCGTCGCGTTCGAGCGAACGATGACGGTTGACGTTACTTTTTCCATTACGAAACCGACGAATTTATCGCGTGCCTATATGGGGAAAGGAAAATTAGCTTCGAAATGCTCACCTTCGCAGTGGAAACCGTCGCCTTGGTAACCCGGAAAACACGTGCAATGGAAGCTGCCCAATGTGTTGGTGCAATGGGCGAACACGTCGCACGGTCGGTATTTACATTCGTTTTCGTCTGAAAAAATACAAAAATATTGAGTTGGTAAATTGATGTTTTCAAAAGGGAATTTTTTGCGCTGTGTATAGGTTAAAAATTGAACCATTACGGTGGAGATAACAGAGGGAAATTGTGCTTGTTATTAGTCATTATCGCGGACAGTTCGGACGAGATAATCATCTCGTTACGTCGTTATTTATTTCGCCGAGGAGGTGAATTTTTACGAAGGAAAGGATTTTAATGAAACGCTATTAATACCGAAAGGCGTGTCGGAAATAATAAAGCAAAACGCGGGGGATATGAAAAAAAAAACCGAGGCCTGGAAAAGGAGCAACAGAAACAATAGCGCGGGATGAGTTATAATCGACTGTTATAGAAACGAAAATAAACCATCCATAGTTGCGAAAACGTTTCGGTCGATGGAATCGGGATGTTAACTATGGGTACTTTTTGTTTATTTACCTGGTACTTCGCAACTGCAGCCTCCGTAACCGTCGTTGCAATGACACTGGCCGTCCAAGCAGGCCCCGTTATGGCAACCGTCTTTTTGGCAGTGATCGCTTTGAGCGCAATTATCTGCAAATAAAAAGAATTATAACAAATATTACTAACAGTTTTTCTCATAGTAACGTAGAGGATATACATTGCTGTTGGGAAAATATATTTAGGTAGCGAACAGACTCAAATTTATTCCACCCCGACTGCCTTAAACTATTCATATCTGCATATAATGCGATATTCTAGATATCATCTGCATATATAGGAAGTGTAATATTCAAATAACTGGCCACCTATTCGAAACTGTTTGTTCACGGAGTTATGTTATAGGTTAGGAATTAGATCATAGTACAATTATACTGGGCGTCCCAATAAAATTGTGGAAGATTCTATCTATATAATTTAGTTTATTATTCCCTTAATAAACTGCTCCTCAAAAGTTAAGGAAGTTCGCAAATTTTGCGATTATTTTCAAAGTTACAGACTTTTTGATCCCCAAATTTTCAAATATCCGAAATTAAATGCGTTTTCTCTCATATCTGAGTGGATTTTTTGACTCTTCCTCTACAACCCATACTAAATTAGGCGATCAAAAATCCTGCAACTTTTAAATTAATTTCAATATTTGTGAACTTCCTTAACTTGTATATTTTTCAATAACTCTCTCGTACTATATATAGATCTTTAGCATAGCAAATAAGGTATTTACTATCGCCTGATAGCGAACGGAGTATAATGTTTATTTAACAGAGTGTTTTATATGGAAGGATACGGTCCTGTCCGGCGGGTTTTTCATCCACATCCCGAGCGAATATTATTTCCTGATTGATATAATTTTCCGCGTTGCGGCGATCAGTCGCACCTGCCGCGTTCCGTTACACTTTGTAATCTCCATCTCCGGTCCGCGATTAAAATAATAAAACGCGAAAAATCCGACGGAATATTAATTCATTCCGGCCGTATACCGTGCATAAAATGAAGAGGAAAAAACCGCTAGATATGGAAAAAATGCGTTCGGAAAGGGGAATTTCGTGCTGGCCCGAGAGATCGTCTAACGAGCGCGAAATGGCCGAGGAAGAGGAAACTTTATCGGTCGCTTCGACACTTTAACTTCGAAACGGTGCCGTTGTTTCGACGAAATCGTAGCGAAAGAAACCAATTATAAACCGCCAACAATGCACTAAGTGGTTTGTTTAGGACGAGAGGTCTTTTGCCGATGCAATTTCGCTCCAATTCGACTATAGACAAAGCAATTACAAAAGCCTATAACGGTCACTTTGTTGTATTATTATACTCCGTTCGCCATCAGGAGGTGCCTAATTTTGTATGCAATCAAACAGTGATTATAAAGGTTCATTTTTAATATAGTTTTATTCAAGGAAATAAATATTTCTGAGCAACATCGAAATCTGAAACTCAACATCAGAATACAGGGTGTTAATTAATTGAGTACCGATACTTCAGGATGTGAATATTTGGATGATTTTAAAAAGAAAAGTTTTGATCAATATATGTCCTAAACCTTTTAGTTTTCGAGCTACAAGGTGTTACAATTTTGGAAAAAAAATAACTCTATCGCCACTCAAATAATTAACACCCTGTATATTCAGAAATATAAAACCTTTGATTTTGTTAAAATAGCAAAAATAGTTAAATTCAAAACAGGCTTCTAGAATTGCATAACAGTAAATATTGTTTATTTCCTTTTAGTAGTACCACCATGTATATACAGGGTATTTAACAGCATCTCTTTATTAGAGTGCGTGCTCGATTGGCCTAAATACTGGGCCTATAAAACTGGTCCTTCTTCCGCGTTGGATTTCTGGGCCTCTCGGGCCGATTCTCCAAAAACGAAAAAAATAAAAAATCGGCCAACGGTACTTCGCACGCGACCGTCCCGGCCGCGATTGAGGCAGGTCGGGCGCGTTTCGGACTGGAAATCGGCCCGTTTGCGTGGAAACTGACGTGCAAGATAGCCATCGAAATCGCAGCGCTCCTCGCAGGATGATTAAAAGCGCGCCGGCCATCAGTTAAGGTTAATTTTCTCGGTCGGACGTTCTACATAAATCCCGCGTTAATCTGATTTGCGTAATAAATTCTAAGCGTTTTTTTATTTTCATTTTTGTCGTCGTTGTTTTGCTTTCATCTTCCAGCGAATTGAATATAAATCTAGCGCATCGTATATGTACTAAGTGTGCTAGTTTATCAATTTATACCAACGTTCTTCGTAAACAATTTTACCGCTCCACCCTGTATACACGCAAGACGTTGCTTATATAAATCAATTCCGCCAGAACTCCAGCGCGCATTTGTCATGAATTTTTTCAGAGTTTCCTGCGCGCGAATTGAATGGCTTTAATTAATGAATTATCGTCCTGGCAGAATCGTGAACGGCCGAACGTGAACTTGTTAAAGGTTAAAGTTGGCCGGAAGAAATGAAGAAAACGAAAATAAACGCGCGAAAAAATCTCCAACAAACGAGAATAAGGATTCCTCGATTCCGACCTAATAGCGCTGAACAACAGCCGTGTAAAAGGCCGGAGGTGCTAAATAGGACTGAATAAGAAGGCCCTAATTTGTTATATACATGGATTACAACTGGAAAACCTTATAAAGAAACGTTTCTGTAAGCAACGTTTATAATAAACTCTCTTAAGAAGTCCTCTAAAGCTTCTAAAGCTATTAAAATATAAATTCCTTACCGGTGCACTTGAGTTCTTTGGCCAGCTCGTCGGAGCCGAGGAAGCAGTTGGGGTTGCCGTCGCAGAGCTTGGACAATTCGAAGAGCTGCAGGACGTCGGTGGACTCGTTGACCTGACAGCCGAAGTAGCCGTCCTCCAGGTTGAGGAAGAACACCTCGCGTTTGATACCGAAGCCGATCCCGCCGAAGGATTGGCCGGTCTGCGAACAAAGAGAAAATGAAAATCGAATCAATCGGAGCGCTAAATGCGTATCAGAGGAATAAAATAATGTGTACAGTTATTCGCGTTATTAAAACGTATTTTGCGATGGGATCTCGACTGGTTCCGTCGAGGCGACGATCGTTCGATAAAAATCTGCTCGACCATGCGTGGTTTTTTCCCCGGCGTTGGGATTTTATTTCTGCATGTTCATTCGATATATCTACGAGTCAATTTCCCGAGATAACGGTGCGTCGTATGATGGAGGAAACAAAACGAATAAATAACTGAAAATCGTCTGTGTGTTGGTACGTTAAATGAAAATAGAAAACACCACGCGGACCGTAACAAACGACTTTTATGCATCGCTCTCCAGGAAGTCTGAACTAATCTCGAGCTGTATAAAGTTCGTGTGCGCGTCGGAGAGGGCGTGGATCCGGCACAGTAAATAATAATAGATGAAACGAACGAGCTTAATTCAAACTCCAGCACCGCATTCGGGATGTTTTATGCCCGGTTGCACCGAAGCATCCTAATAGGATGAATTCCTATCCTGAGTCAGATCTAAGTCTAAAATCAATTGTATATTGTTGCACTAACTAAAAATCTCTTTCCTGTGATTCGAATCGATTACAGATCGTAGGTTGTCGATTTCGACGAGTTAAGACGAAAATGTTAACATCAAAAATTTGAGAATTGTCGGGGCAGTTGTAAAATTATGGATATAAATGTGGATGTAAATATTGTGGTTAATGTGGATATAATAGATGATGCAGAGGAAGAAATTAATGTGGTAGATGTTCCTATGCAACGACAAATTCGAATAAGAACTAATTATTTTGAAACATTCTCGGAGGAAGGATTTTTTAAAAGGTTTCGTCTGCAAAAACGAACGTCCCTACAATTATTTAAATTTAACCAAAAATTAATTATGAATGCACTTATTTCTAGGTTACTGCAGGTCACAAGATATGTTAAAAAAACCACAAATTCTTCTTCTTTTAATCTTTTTTCACTTGCCCCAACAACTAATAGGTTATTTTGACACTTAAAATGACAATTACCTCCTTCTTTTCAAGTTTTTCAATATTATTGCTACGTTGCCAGTTGTTATCTAAGTTAAAATGGATCGTAGGTAAAATTTTAACATGGTTTTTGAACATGGTTCAACATATTCCAATCTTAAGTAGATCACACATTTAAGTCAGGCTTTTTTGGGATTGCATTTTTTTGGGACACCCTATACAATCGCCACCAATTTCTAACTGCAAATAAAACGTGCGAGGCATCGTTGAAACCAGCCTCTCGAAAGGGATTCAAAAAAATAGTATATTCTCGAGTATACAGGGTGTCTCAAACATCGAGCTTCGAAATATCCTCTTTAGCTCGCGGCCTCTTACTAGCTGCGGCGTTTAGCCAGGCGCTTGGCGTCTCGAAACAGCCCGCTAACGGAGCGACGAGAAAAAGAAAATCAGAACTGATCTCCATAGATGGATATGCATCGGCGATTGATAATGCCCCGGCCTCGGGCCCGCACAGTTTTCAGGCACTTTTGTGATCCGGCGGTCAATCGAACGGAACGAAACGTCGTCCTAACGACTCTCTCGGGTCGTGATTTAGAGCGTAATGGCCGCGGCATTCGCAAAATGGCCGACGTTTCGAGCGCGCCCATGCAGTCATTTGAGCTGTAGTGTTTCGATTCGAAATTGCGGGTACTTTTGATAAATCGTTCAGTGAGTAGCATCAGGCCTGGCCGGTTGCTTCGGTTGGTAAGAGGCCGGGCGAGATGGCCGAACAGCGCGAGGCCGGAAACGAAAAAGACTCGGGATTTTTCGAGGTTTTCGGCGTAACACCTGTTGGTTTGTAATTGTTGCATCGGCCGAACGATATTAAATTGCGATGTTAATTTACTGGTAATTATGATAATTTCGCGTTAATTGAAGATGCTATCGCATTGGCGTTATTAAAACGTAATTGCGATGACTCAATGGATTTCAGAAAATCGCTCGAAAAAAATGCATATAGAACTAATCAGTAATTGCCGGTATATTCGTTGTGTGGTCTTTTACTGATTACAAAACGAGTTAACCGAATAGCTACGACAATTCAGGCCGCTATTAATAAAGTCCTGTCGAGGATATTGAAGTACAAAGGGCTCTGCTCAATCTGATGATGTCACATTAATTTAAGACGGATTTATATAAGATTGAGTAATTCTATAAAATTAACCTTGTGTGTAGTTACGTAAATTGTAGTTCGAATTTTAATTGATTGAATCGAAAAACAACAACAATTACGTAATTATGGTACATCCGAAATATCGATGCCATTGAAGAATCACAGGTTATTATTAAAGATGAGTTAAAAAGTATTTTTCGGGAGGCAAACTCGCCGGGTTTACTTTGCATCATTTTTTTCCATTCAGGGTCTCTTTTTATATGTTCGCTTCGCGATGATTTAACCTTAGCGATATGCAATAAAAAAATATTCCTTTATTGTTTCTGATGTCATGCGAGTATACGTTAATTACCGTTTCGGATATATAAATAAATATTGATACAAAATTACGGGTGTTTGCGCATGTAAATTATGCACGATTCCCATCTCTACAGCTCTTAAAATCGTATTTTTTTCGTATAATTATTCAATCATCCTAACGGAGTAAAAAGTAAAAAGCCGCCGAAACAATACCGGATGAATTAGATACGAAATAAGGAGACTTTTTGTTCCGCTTGGAGCGCGTTTTATTCATATTTTTCGCTAACTGTTCGGGCATTATTTACGGAAAGATGAGCGAAGCGTGCATTCGAAATTATTAATTACCGGCTCGATTCTACGTTCAAACAATTTCGTTTTCGATCGAATTAACACCTTCGAAACCGGCCCGAATATAAAATACACGCTCGCATATATGCCCAAAACGAGCGGTCATTAGCTCAGAAAATAACCGTAATTTTCGTACATAAAATTTAATCAGGCGAGATCACAATTGGTCCTATTCCCACATACATAATATTCCTCGCGCATGATAATTTATTAATTTATGCCCGGATCCTCGAAATTCCGTACTGTTTTAATTACCTCGTATATGTATAACAATTCGATAATTTCATAACTGTTTCGCGCAGAAGTAAATTCGAACATGTAAATGTAAAATTGCATGTAATTCCCGCTCTCTAGTGGTCATTGAAAGACAACGAGAGATTCCTCGGATATTTCCTTTTCGGAATCCGCGCAGAAATAACGAGAAATTCCACGTTCTCGTGCATGTAAGCACTATCATCGTTGCAAACGAGTTTCGGACGCTATTCGCATGGTTTTCGCTAAAAAGTAAATAATATATATTCACCGGAGGGCATTAGAACCTACACTGTCCGTCAAAATTAGCTGCACATTTTTATATATACATCGCCTCTTTTAAAGAAGCGGTTCGACTCTTTAGGATTGAAAGAGGATATTGCTAGTTTGGGAATCTCAAGACAAGATATGAGGCTATTTCTGTTTAAAATTTCGAGCCTCTAACTCTGCTGGTACCTATTTTACAGCGCTCCAAAGAAGGGAGTTTTTAAATTCGCGCTGGATGAGTAGAGATGGGAAAGGGGCGAAGAACGGTTACTTCTCGAAAGACGCTGTTAGATCACTTAGGTCGAGGCGGAATTAAATTAGCCGGAAACGGGTCCCGGAGTCGAACGAAAAACCATCCTCCGGAACCGCTTCCGCTCCTCAAGGCTGCGAAATTGCCGAGGCACCGTTATCACAAAGGTCGTCTAATTTTACATTTTAAATATGCGCCTATGCACTTTGATACGTTGCCATTCTGTTATAATTACGTAACCAAATGGAAAATTATCCCGCTGTAATTGGAGCTCCGTATATACGGGGTGCAGTCGCGGAGAAACTCTCCATTCGCAAGTTGGCTTAGGTTAGAGAGATGTCAAGGATTGTGCGATTTGTTTTGAATTTAATAAAGTCGCTTGAGAATTTGAGTGAAAAACGAAATGCGTTACGACATAAATCGAGGTTTTTTTTTCTCTTCGGTAATATTAACGCCCGGATTCCTCTCAATCAAGGTGAAAAATCGTAAACAAATCTATTGCCTCATCTGTTTATTTTTTTCTCCAACTCGCTTCGATTAATTTCGATAATTAATAAACCCGACACCTGACCTTTACGGATTTTTCCCGATCGGCCCGCCATTAATACATCTATACAACCGATTGGATTCGAACGGTAACGGAATCCATCAAAACCGATCGTTCACGAATAATAATTTAATTCACCGCGGTGTATACGCTTATTGGCTTTATTTATCGACACACGGTCGCGACGGGCAAGCGCAGAAATTCCGAGAGCCGGAGTTTCCTTAACCTACGGCCCCTGGACCGCCGAGATTTCATACAGGGCGGCCCCAAAAAATCACCTGCACCTTGTAATTTCTTATAAAAATATTCGAGCGTTAAAAAAGAGACACCCTGTAGGTTTTTTGTAGTGTATCGTGTATAAGTGCAATAAAGAGAGAAGAAGAAAGGGTGATATTGTGGGTTGATTGCAACTATCTCACTCTAACTACTAATATTTGTGTTGTTATCTTTGTTAAACTCAAAAAAATTGCACTATATAACAATGCTAGAAATTTTAGTGATTTTAGCATCATTCGTATGAATAGGTATTCAGGAGGCCACCCTGTATGTTCAAAGCGAAGTCACGTATATTCGAAGTCACGTATAGTGGAATATTCATCGCAAACGACGTGGGAAATTCGATGAAAAACGACGTTCTTTTTCTAACTGGCAACCGTGCAAGAGTATGTACAGGAAATTTTCGCGATCCCACTTCTGATCGAGCCGGTCTAATCCCGCTTCTGATTATTACCGGCGATTTTGTCAGATGCGCTCGCTTAATTACCATTTAATGCGAGATTTATTCCATCTGGCCATTAAACCGGATGACTAAAAGGAATAAAAAAAAAAGTAACATGGACAAACTCGAAAGAGCGAGTTT